GAAAATGGCAAACACATAAAAACAACAAAAATTACTATATCCACAAAGGCCTATCCCCATCATGGAGGTGAGAAAATGTTACAAAATTGGGGAATTTTGATGCCGGAAAATGGCAATGTCATACATAAGAACTAGGAAAATTACTATATCCACCCGTCATGTTTGTGGCTGCATGAGATAAAGTTGGAGAATGGCACTTTAATACTTAAAATTTATGTTATTTTTTAACATTTGAAAAGGGGATGTCAACGGGACGCAACTGCCAACTATTTTTGGCAGCGAAAGGCCGCTACCAATAAACAATCAACAAACTACCGGGTTTCTGGGTTGATTTGCAAGGTACGGTACTACACTGCTCAACTAGTTTTTACTTAGGGGTTAATTGGTAAAAATCTCACACAAATCATACGACATTACTGACAACGCCGGGGACGGCAAATCGATTTTGAGATTAATTTTCCAAATAAAGTTATACTAAATAACTTCTAATAACGAACTATTGTCTTCAGTTGTCTTTGTTGGTCATTCAACCGTCGTTTTATCTATTTTTTTCGATGATATTACCATTCCCAATAATCTATAAAACACCCACATAACAACGTCACGTTAAGATCGATCGGTGGGGACGCCGTGGTGACCCTGGTCGGGTCAATTTTCGTCGGAGGTATCAAGATGATAAACAGTTTCATTGGACTAAATTCTTGCTTATGTTAACCACATGCTTACCTAAGATTATACTAACTCTGGTTTCAAATCAAGGTCAAGTACCGGTAGTTAAAAATTACCTAAAATCACCTTATTTTGCGAATTAGCGCCCCTTAACTGATCATCGAGCCACCCCACCCCCTACCCACTTCACCTTCGCCATCCCCCCACTTCACCTTCGCGCTCCCCCATCGGTCCCCCGTCATTTCAAGACATCTAGATACGCCACTGACTTACATGGCCAGATGAATGAAAATAATCAATCGATGTGCCACCAAATTGTAAATTGTAACCAGCCTTCACCATGCCCTCACGATGTCACCGGGGACGCAACTGCCAAAAAAACTATTTTTGGCAGCGAGGACGCTACCAATGAACAATCAACAAACTACCAGGCCTCTGGGTTGATTTGCAAGGTACCACATGGCTCAACTTTTTTTTACTTAGGGGTTAATTGGTAAAAATCGCACACAAATCATACACGTCAATGACAACGACTGGGACGGCAACTCGATTTCGGGATTAATTTTCCGAATAAAGTTATACTAAATAACTTCTAATGACAACTTATTGTCTTTAGTTGTCTTTGTTCGTCATTCAACTGACGGATATTAGACGAATTATGGCGAATTTTTATTACTTATTTGATAGGCATCAATTGCTACTATAATATGACTTCATGTAGGCTATGTTTTCTAATGTCGAAATCAGCTTCCAAAACCAAAATATTTTGAATAAAACAAGAAACAAAGAGTTTGCAATGTAACCATATCATTTCCTTACAAATCATCTTTCTTTAAAGTGAAATTCTAAATTATGGAAATTTTGCATGAAATCTGTCAACCGCGATGTCAAGGTCAAGGTTACTTCCCCTATCGCGATGTATTCCAAGCATCATCAGGCTATCCAAACGAGCATTTGTCATAACAGAACGCAAAATATTTTAAATTAGTGTCATTGAACTATTATTGTTATTATTATTATTATTATTATTATTATTATTATTATTATTATTATTATTATTATTATTATTATTATTATTATTATTATTATTATCATTATTATTATTATTATCATTATCATTATTATTATTATTATTAATGTTATTATTATTGGCGCCACCACTGGATTCACTAATCTGCTGTATACCTTGCTTTGCCATTTTCGATAGATGACTAGGACCTAATTGAAACTTTAGAGCACCGATGAATATTTATTACTTCGTAATTTGCATAACGAATTATTTATAAACCATGCTTCCTACGTTGTCATTATTTAGATATAATGGCACTTGACTTCAACGGTTATTTAGGCCTATATTTTGGAAGTAAAACCATTATTTAGATATAATGACCGTGACACGATAACACATGTGCATTACTGCATTACATATAATGAGTTAGAAGTCAAAGCATTATGGTTTTGCGACAGCTATTATTTATATATAATAAAATGTAAAAACAGTTATTTATAAATAATGAGTTTGAAGTCAATTCGTTATTTATATATAATTAAATCAGTGAACTTATTATATATCAATAATTGTAAGTTACTTTTCATTATTTACATATAGTGATTTGTCACCTTTTCGTTATTTGTATATAATGGAATCAGTGAACTTATTATATATAAATAATAATTATTTTTCATTATTTATATATAATGATGTGTTTCCCCTCCCTTATTGATATATAATGAAGCCAGTAACCTTATTGTATATAAATAATGTTTGGTTAGCCTTTCATTATTTATATATATTGTAATCAGTAAACTAATTATATATAAATAATGAAACGTTAACGCAATTATTTACATATAATTTTTTAGACGTAAATGCACTATATATATAATGGGTGATCTAGTCAATTATATGGGCAAGGTACGAAAGCCATTAGTGCCACTGAAGTATATGTTTAGTAAGCCGTAATTACGGATAACTAATCCGTAATTACGAATTACCAATCCATTATTATGAATTAACTAATTCGTTACAGATTACTAACTTCAGTATTAACGAATTAGTACCGTAATCCGTAACTAAGGATCGTTATTACGGATTAATCCGTAATAACAGATTATTAATCCGTAATAAATTAATCCGTAATAACGTATTAATTAATCCGTAATAACACATTTTTAATCCGTAATAACGGATTAGTTAATTCGTTATAACGAATTAGTAACCCGTAATAACGGATTAGTAATTAGTAATTACGGATTACTGAACATATACTTTGGTGCATTAATGGGCTTTTGTAGCAAAGAATTACAGTAGGAAAATTTAGTATTAAATAAAGATTTTTGTTTTTTCCGTTCATTCAATACAGGTAGCGATATTTTTGCCGGGAAAGGGGTGAGAAGGACAGTCGAGTAGCCTATAGTCCGTGGGTTGGGACCTGGTCCGAAGGGGAAGCGTTGGGAGGGTTCTTTTAGACCATACCCCCCCCCCCACCGACCCTCGATTGCCACATCTACCCCATCCCAAAATAATAACCCCATGCCCATCCCCAACCGGCAAAAGCTAAAAACTTGATCCGCCACAAAAACGAGCATAGACTAGTTAAAATGGTAACCAAAAAAATCGAAGCTTCAACGGCAATTGGTCAACAATTACAGTAACATTTAGAATTATCTTGGAAAAGTTTCCTTTGCAGGCGAGGTCGTTGTTCTAGTGGTGCGGAAAGCCGACCTCGGGACTCTGAAAGTAGGAGTAAACATACAGAGGGTAGAATAATGTTGGAAGATGGAAAAATCCACCACCGCAGAGTTTAAGCCGCCGTTACGTTGCCGTAGGCCTACCGCCTCACTGGGGACCTGATATGAGCAAAATAGGAGGAACTCACAATCACGAGCCGCGTCATTTCTTTCAGTAGCATATCTAGGGGGAATTGGCGCCCCTCAACTGATCATCGAGCCCCCACTTCAAGACTTCTAGATACACCACTGATTTCTTCATATCCAAAATCTAAAATATAGCCAATGAGCCATGCCTGGCGGAACATCCATTCCCCCACCCTTCTCCACTTTGGCAGAAAATATATAATGTCTATACAGATTTTTGTATCATCGGAAAGAAATTCTAGTGGCCCCGCCCACCCCCACATTGAAAATGTTCCGCCGGATCCGTGAGTGTATCATCGACATCAGTTTTATTAGACACAGGGCCTCCGTGTCCTCAACAGGGAAAGATCCGGTTAAAGGTTTCAAATTTATTATGTAAAGTTTTTAAAAGTCGTGGCCGTCTAAACTAAATATCATAGCCTATAATTAGGCTATTTTTTGTTAAAAATATATGTTTGCATGAAACTAACTACACTATTTTTGAAATGTTTGGATCGATTAGGCTAGGACAATTTTTTGCATTGCAAGAATATATGCTCTTTCAAGGAAGTTATTTCATGGCTTTGATTAGATATTGTGGCCACCTCTCATCAATATTGATGGTAGCGTCAGATCTGACATAGCAAGATAGAAACAATTCTTAATACCTAACATTTATATTTGTGTTATACAATACAATAATCGATTTAAAATGCAACAAGACAAGTACAGTCTGATGATACCTATGATAGTAAAAATAACGAATTAAGTAACATTGGTTAATAAACTTTCAAACAATAATTGAGATTGAACAAATTTGTGACAATAATATTAATTAAAAATCCGAAATGTTACTTTAGTTGCCGTGGCAACATTTACATTTGTGTTATACAATACAATAATCGATTAAAATGCAACAAGACAAGTACAGTGTGATGATACCTTTGATAGTAAAAATAACGAATTAAGTAACATTGGCTAATAAACTTTTAAACAATAATAGAGGTTAAACAAATTTGTGACAATAATATTAATTAAAAATCCGAAATGTTACTTCAGTTGCAATCATTTTGTTTTCAATTTAAATGTGATAATTCGATTCATTTCCAGATTATTCCATGCTTTCCGAAAATGACTGTGGTCTCTTTTTTGCTCTTTGAGGACAATCAAAATAGTGTATACGCCCTCTATAGGTTACTAGCTAGATATGGTAGTTTTTTTTTTCCACTGAGGCTAGAAGATGCAATTAATTTAACATTGTCTTTTTATCATGTAAATCCTGTTGATAATGAATACTACTCTATTCATATTATATGCCTGAATATTATGAAACACTAATTTATACCTCCATTGTGAATTTTAATAAATACCCATTTCATATAATGCACAAATACACCTTTTTATGAACGGATTGTTAAATGGATCTGACAGATTTGTTGTTTATCCGTCCGGGCGTAGGCCAAATACACTGTTTTCCTCCGTTGATGATTAATACCAGAGTTGACGTAATAGTGGAACATACAGTACAAATACACACATAGGAAGAGAACCGACCTAATACAGAACTATATTTGTGTTATTTTCTTGTTAGGCTGGTCAACAGCAACAGTTTGATTTGTTAAGATGTTGCCTAAAGTAGTCAGCCAAATTTTGTTAATTTTCACAACGTTGTGTATTGTCAAAATTCGTAAGTATGCGGAGAAAACAAATAGTAAATACAAGGCTACCTAGGCCCTATGAGAAAGGTTTTCGTGAGATAGTCAGGCTAGGCTGCAGTCAGCTGTTCAGTTGTTACACTCATGTGCTGATTGTCTTCGTGTTATTAAGGCTAGGCCTAGCTTGTATTTTTATTATATTTGCAAACCACCAGTATAAAGGGCCTAAGCTAGAAAGCAGTTGCAGGGTAATCCAAGCTAGACATAGTACTGCTATTAATATATTGAGTAGGTAGGCCTAGGCTCAGTAAATTCAGGGAGATGTTATAGGCCTAGTAACAACTCCCTGGTAAATTGTACATGTTTAAAATTAAGGGCCTATGATTTGGAAAATTTTTTGAAAACACAAACAAGAAAACCCAAAATATTGGGGACTAAATAATTGATTGTCATGTTCCTGCTGGGCCATTAAGTTTGTTGAATGTATCGAGTTCCTAGTCCACATATCAAGCGCCCTGAGCATCTTACACATTAGATGGATATGTGCGCTATTATATAAAACTACACTATTATTATTATTATTATTATTATTATTTATTTGGTTATAGTTAAGCCAAGCCAATAAAGCACTACTGCTATCTAGACCTAAAACCTATGCTTATGGCAAATAGAAAAATTTATTAGATTATCACTCCCGCCCGCGTTAAAAAATTCGGAAAATATTGGTGCGGGAATAAAAAAAAAATTTTTTTTTTTTGCCGCATCAATTATTTCAACAGCATAAAATAACAATGCAATTTTGTGACTTCAAATACATTTTCTTTAAAAAACTAGAATTAAACCAGTTTTTATATAATATTTACTATTACAAGCCCGGGTACAGGCCAAATATAAACAGTCCCTCCCTCATCGATAAAAACAAAATGCTAATAATAGACTATAGATACCATACTGTCGTATCTCAAGAATAATAAATTTAAAAGTGTGTTTTAGGGCACTCTGATTGCAGGAGACTTGATAATATAGAAGACGTGAAAACGTGGCACTGGCAGCAAATGAAAATGTACTACAAAAAAGAAGCAATCAAAAACCTATGGAACGAGAGGAGCAGGGCCTAGGCCTATATGATCCAAGGAGGTGGTTTTAGGGGGTCATCCCATACCTATTGTAGGGTCCTGGGGGCCATTTTTTTTATTTCTGGAGCAGGAAACCTGTGCTCCTTACCTGGACAGGCCTGAACCCCTGTCATCTGATGACACAAGGTCGTTGGACTATTTGATGCCGATATTGAGGTCTAAATGCACAATTTTGGGCTATGTACTTACTAAACCATAAAAACACTAACAGGAATTTTTATTCCGGGACCTTGACTGGCTCTAGTCGGCCCCACTTTCGAACATTTTGTCCGAAAATTTCTGGAGCCGCAACTGCTCCCTCCCTTCCCCTATATTTGCATCTTTAAATCACATTGAGTAAATAATTATGTTTACATTCACTGAATAATATTAATAATAAATTGCATTAAAAATTATAAATTAAAGTATGTTGTTTTTATAGACATAAAAGGTCGCGTTCTACAGTTGCTATTACTGGTTTTCATACCATAAAATACTTAAAATCTAATTTATTTACTCAGGAGCTGCAAGGCTGAATCAGTTCATCAACCATTTTGAAACTTTGGATTATAGCAGAACAGATCTGAGCAGAAAACATGAGCGGGCGAGGAGGTCAGTCAACCATCCAAACCTGTACTTGGAATTCAGCGCACATGAAAAGTAAGACATTGATTTGATATGATTTCTATATCAAGTGCAAGGGCCTGTATTGGTACACCAAGGCACATAATGCATAAATTGATTGATTAATGGATCTATTTGGTGTAAACACCAAGGATAACCCACAAAAGTTTGAAGGAAACTTATTTCTAGTGGGGTCCTTCTGGTGGTGATAGGGCAGTACACTAGAAGACAATCCCCTACTCTTTTCCGAAGAGTGCACTGCGTTCTTTAACGTGCACAAGGGCCATATGCACACAGGACCAACAGCATAAATGTCTTATCCAAAAGATGGTGCACTACATTGTATATTGCATTTCAGCCCTCCAACTGAAATACAAGGAGAGCAGCGATGGGAATTAAACCTGGAACCAAGAGATCTCCATGGTTCAGCGCACACACAGTGGCTACCACCAGTTTAGCCGACTGAGCTAAGCTGCTCTCACATGATTAATTGAAATTACCCATTGCAAATAGACAGTGTCACTTCAATCATGCGGTGATGCTGGTTCCTCTGCTTGCGTTGTGTTTTGGTTTTTTTGTTCCAAGGTTTGTTTACGATAGATCCTTGCTTTAGTTTTTCCCCATTTTTCTTCCAGTTCTCTCAGCGCATAGAGACCTTTGTATTATACGCTATATATCACACTACACACCACATACAGTACTTCAAGTCTTAAATGTACTGTATAGTACATACTTTCACACATCACATGTTATACAGTACACATAGTATATATACCAGGAAATGAACTGGTATTATGCAATTAGAAACCCCATTTTCATGCATAGAACCTTTTTTTTTTATTGTAACAATGACTTATATTTTCATTATGCTAGGTTTGATAGCTCCATTCAATCTGACATCATACTTGATAGTTGGTGAACAATAAATATTATGCTTCAAAAGAATAGAAAGTAGAAATAGAAACTAAGAATAAGAATTTGCGAAGTAAATTCCTACAGATGCAAACTGATGAAAGACATTTAATCTTGAACAATTCAATAAAACAAAAAGGTCATTAAGAATGCATGAGCATATAAAAGGAGAACTACACACTTGTTTATACTTTGGCTATGCTAGTTATTATTATTATTATTATTATTATTATTATTATTATTGTTATTGTTATTGTTATTGTTATTATTATTATTATTATCATTGTTGTTATTATTATTATTATCATATTATTATTATTATTATTATTATTGTTATTATTATTATTATTATTATTATTATCATTATATGTATTGTTAGAATTTGACATTGCTGTGTTTAAATTAAAATGTCTTTTATTTGGATGACATCCTTTTGTACAATATACCCCCATAAAATGTTAGCCTACTGTACCTACTATAGTATAATATCTTTGTGTGCAGCGTGTGGAAATAAAACAGGTGATATATATCTCATGAGTTGTAACATTTCCTTTGTGACCGGTGTTTATGATTACACATTTTGAACAAAGGTTATTGTGAAAGTGGAACAAATTCTAAGTAAACCAAGAAGTATTTTGCACATTACAAATTTTGGACCACTAAATACTTATTGGTGTGCCATATTCATCAATGATCACAACACAGGTCTCCCTCCAATTAAAGACTACTTTTCTGCAGTTCCCCTATTACTGTAATAAATGTCTTATATCGTTATTATTCTAATTAGAGACCAAAGCTGCTAAAGCCCATGCAAACTGGAGACCTATTATAATACACTATACATATTTCTTGGTTCCGAAATGATTTTCCATTATTAGAAACCAGATGAAATAATTTCAGCTTTAACATCTTTGTCATTTTTGAAATAATCTAATTTAATTTTCATGTTCAGCTTCAAAATCAGGTGTAAATTTTGTTGAGATAAAGAAATGTTGGTTGTTCAGATATGAGAAAAAGAAAATTGGTTATTATTCTGCAATGAATTATGGAGTACACTATACAATAATCCAAGATTTTTATATTTATTTTCAAGTACTTTCTATTGTACTTCATTCACACCCAACATAAGTGTGACTCACTATTACAGCTGGAAATCTACTGTCAGTCTCATCATGGAGGTATAAAAATAAAATAGGTTTTCATTTCTTTTCATTTTTCATTCAAACTCTTATGAGTCCATCCCTGTCACCCCTCTTAAAATAAAGCAAATACAAAATTTGTTGGATTTATCTTAGGTAAACTGGCATGTCACAAAATTTGAATCCAGAGCTGTAGGATTGAAAGTGCTTTGGTGCTTTTACTTACTACTGTTCAATTGTAATGTTTTTATTTTTCGAATCCCCTTTTAAGTTAGGTTTTTAATTGTTGCTATACAGTCACTGTGACCCTCATAAATAAAATAAAAAGTTTCACCTGACATATTCCATATACCGTAATGTGGAAGACTACAATATAAAGTGCCCTAGTTGGTATAGTCTGTTTTACCTGTCACTGAAGCATTGGACTTTGATCAGGATGTAACTAGGACTAATTCTGAATTGGTACTTCGTCATAATACAGCCATACTAAACAGGGCGTCTACTGTTATTGTATTGTAAACATACTGTGTTTTCAAATAAAGGTGTCCATAACTAAAACACTCAATAGATAACAAATTGATTTGCTTCAAAAGTTTTTTTCCTCACAACCACCAAAGGGTCCACTGATTAGTTTCAGATACCGAAAGAGTACATTCTGTACTCCCAAGAAAAGAAAATAATACAGTACAGTAAATCCTAATAAATAATTAGAGGTTTTCAGTACACCATGTGGCTTAAATACTGCAAATCTCAGTTGCTGGTATTTTGGTTCTGTGAAGAACCATTTTGATTGTAATGTCATTACATCCAACACTTGTAACCCTAGTTACATCATAGAGAAAATATTTTCTCTATGTGGTTACATAGTCTGGTGATGACACACTAAAGAGTCAAAATGTTGAATTGCAGGAATGGCCTGTATTTTTTTTCTTGGAGTACAATATGTATTATTCTTTTGTCCCTGACAACACATAATGGAATTGATTTTTTTTTCAATTATAATTTTATAATTCAATTAGTTAGAATGAACCAGGAATAACACTAGCAATATTAATGGACTAGATATACAGTATTATTAAAGGATAATGAATATATAGTCTAAATAAAAAATATACATATTTTTATCTAAAAAGTGAAAAAGTATTCTTATAGTCTTCATTGAATCTTCTCAAGCCTATGAAAATTCATACAACACATTAAACACCATAAAACCCCAATGGGAAGCCCATCTTGAATCGGAGCCTATCTCAAGTTGAAGCCCACCCTCTTTAATTTGCAAAATTACAGTACTGTAGCCTTGAGAAGAAGCCCATCTCGAAAAGAAGCCCGTGGGCTATCAGGGTTCTTTTCAAGATAGTACAGTATACGCTGTACAGTACATGAATTTAAAAAAAAAATAAAAACTAAGCTTGGTTTATTTCACAGTAGTGTAGGTGATTTAATGCCAGTTAATACACTCTATGATACACATTGATGTTACAATGGCCTTATTTATTGTTTTATAGTACAAATTCTCAAAATTTACAGCATTAATTTTGAAAAAAGCCCCTCTTTACTTTGCAAAATTAGCCCATCGCAAAAAAGAAGCCCATCCAAAGTTCGCAGAAAAAAAGAAGCCCAGGGCTTGAATTTGAGGTTTTACGGTAGTGTATTAAGTTAATTTAATGTACACAAACTCCTTTGGTGGTGTACAAATTGCCAGGTTAAAAAGAAAAAAATGGTAATTAAATGTGTAATACTATAGGTATATTGAGTTAGTTCTTTCCTTGTTTGATGCATGTTTGGATTTAGTACAGTACATGTTTTATAGTGAAGGGATAAAGCAAGGTCATGGTTTATAGCTCTTTGTGACAAATATAATTTTGGGTGTCTCTGTAACATACACTTAGTAATTTGAATTTAATTTAATTAGTCAAAACATTTCATTTCTCATTTCACAAACCTACCTTCCTGCCAATACTAAATGTTCTGAATATGAAATAAAATTTTGTTTTTGTCCTGTTGTTAGCGCACCTGTTTATAAGAATTACTGTATAACATTTCCAGGCATTAACATTATTATCATATATTAATATTTTATGGTAACACTGTACTGTATATTTGAGCCACTCTTCTTATTCACTCTATAAAGATCAGTCAGTAATCATAGTTTAGTCTTTTCCTCTCTAACATTTATGAAGTCTTATGAATATTGATTACTGTATAATTTTTTCTTGCATTGAGCAGATGTCTATGATTGTAGTATGTGTTTTTTTCTCCTTAAATATAATATGCTGCTGTACAGTGTTGCTAGTTCTTTGGTTGTGTGAGTAATTGAATGCTTTTCATGGAAGGTTAAGCTTGATATAAACTTGTGGTTTGTTTCATCTGGCCTTCTCTAAATCCGGTTTCCTATTGTTCAGCAGAAAACATAAATAATTGCTAAACATTTCAAAAGAAATTTTGCTTTGAAACAAACATCATGTACAATAAATAACAAATTCATGTAAAACTTAATAAAATGCGCAGAGGACCCCTGCAGGTTTTCAGAAGAAAAACTGGTGTTGTTGTTGAAGGGCTGGTCACTATTTTAGGTCTACACTTTCTTTTTATAAGAACCAGTAAAATTTTGACTAGGCTCAGCAGAGAGCAAAAGCTAAGCTTAGCTCAGTCAGCTAATCTGGTGGTAGCCACTGTGTGTGCGCTGAACCGTGGAGATCTCTAGACTTTCGTGGGCTATCCTTGGTGTTTACACTGAATAAATCCAATCCAATCCAATTTTTTTTTAGGCGATTTCAGACTCAAAATGTTCTTATTTTGTTCTTATTTTACACACTTTTCAAAGATAGTAGATAATTATTATTGTACAGTACTGTACTGCATGGTACACTTTTTTTTATAAGAACACTAAGGCTGAAATTGCTTAAAATTAGGAACAAATAAGAACAAATTGAGGCTGAGGTAAAATTTCAAATGAGGTTTATATTTTTAAAAACCAAAATATTATATCTGTACATTATGTGCAGTAGGTGTGACTGTAATTCCCTCTATAAACTGACATTTGGGGGCCATTTTTTGTGGGGACACTTTCACCTACATTCCAGTACAGTGCATACTGGCGTACAATTTTTTGTTTAAAAGGTGTATAAACTAAGAACAAAATAAGAACATTTTGAGCCTGAAATCGGCCAAAAAATAAGAACACTGAGCCTGGGCAAAATTTTACTGGTTCTTATTTTTAAAAAAAAGTGTAATTCATAGTGGCACCTAATGTACACATAAGATTGGTTGGTTTTTCTGTTAAAAAAATAAATAAAAACCTCATTTGAAATTTTACCTCTGCCTTAATTTGTTCTTATTTTGTTCTTAATTTTTAAGCAGTTTTATTCTCACTGTTTTTATAAAATGTGTTCTTATATAAAATAAAAAGATGTACACATAAAAAAATCCAAAAATCGTACAAGTCATGCTATTTGTTGAAAAAACGAGTCATTTTATTATTAACAATTTAGTGTCACTGATCCTTATTCTGTAGTGAAAAAAGTAAGATCATGACACAATAATGCAGGATAGCATAATGACAAAAATTCATGTTTTGGTAACAATATACATAGTACATGCATGATTTCCTACAACACAGTGAGAATATTGATTGAAATATTTATTATAGTACTATAGTGTGTCTCACTATTTCCTGATTTTACATGACTGATGACTGACTGTAGCAAATTTTAATACAATTCTTTATAATACCAATTTTGTTGTAATTATGCCAATTAAAATTAAGGATCTATGCAATTAGGGTAGCTTGTTTCGTTAGATGCAGTACTATAGTTTCTGTGGGTAGACCTACAGTACCATAGTCTTAGACTTTTTCAACTATATACAAATCAAGTTTTAAAATAAAAAGCATGTAAACTTTTGTTGTTTTTTTTTTAATTACCTCAAGTTATTGATAAGGAGAAAGTTAAAATTTGAAAGATGTTTTAGTCTATGTAGTCTACATTTAATATATTATTATATTGTAATATAATATGATTATTATTTAATACTATATTAACTTTTTACCCCATAGGGTATACTATAATAAGATAGGCTATAATAATTGTACCAAATTTCATATACAAATTAATAATGTAAAGCCAAAGCAATGTATACGCTGTTCTGAGAATTCAACCAGCAATATTATGGTCTAAGTACCATTCAATATATGCAAAAATCTGCAGAAGAAGATTACTATTATTATGTAAGTGCATTGTCTGACATTAGAGGCAGATAGTATACTTTACCTTTAATTATTTTTGTAACTCAGTTGGCAATCAATGAGGCATTGTAAACATTTCACAATAGATTGAACATCAATAATTATCCAATCAATAATAATAATAATAATAGTATGTACTGCAAAACTACTGTCTGACCTATGACCAAAGCCACAATACAAGAGAAATAAAATAGGCAACACTTCCACAAACCTGACGGCCCTGATAGCCCTTTGCATAAACATCATACCATCTTTGTTTTAATCTTTAAATCAGCAAAACTAAAATTTGGAAGTTGACTTACTTGATCCTTTTTACTTGTGGAATACAATGTTTTCATTTTAATTTTAAAACCATTCCTGGATAACATTAAGCAATATTTAAAGATTTATTACCCCTGAAAAATGACAAAAAAATCATAAAAAATAATTTTTAAATTAACTTGCTCATTTTACAGTAACATACAAATTATTAAATTGAAAAATTATTGAATTTAAAAAATGTTTACCTTGATTTTTAAGTGGATAATTATAATAAAAATAATAAAACCAGTGACTGGAAGTATTTCTACCGTTTTTCGCAGTATAAAATGATGGGTAAACATTGTTAAATACACTAATTTCTATGTCCAAGTTGATAATTTTTATGTTAATTTTTATGTTACCAAATGGTCAAGTTAATTTCAAAAATAATTTTTATGATTTTTGGAGTATTTTGCAAGGGACAATATGTCTTTAAAAAGAAAATGTTTGAAAATTCTAAAGAAGTCAAAAGAAAGAATACCTCTTATACAGTAATTGTTTGTAATCATTTAACTATCTAGTTTGAATTTTTCAAGTTTTCATTTCAAATGAAACTGTACTGTAGGTGCATGTAATGGTGTATAATCAATCTATTATCAATCAAGCAATTCATTAAAAAGACAAAATTGATTTAATTAAAATGACTAAATTAAGGTTATAAGTCAAATACCTTAAAGCTAATAATTGCACTGTTAATATAAACAAATGTCTCACTGCATCATTAATCAATGCTTATACGGTGCAGTAGTAGTTTAAGTTTACGGTCAGACTAGACTACAGAGTCAGGCTGAATTCACTCGTGGGGGTGGGGGGAGTTAGAAAATTGCAGTCAATTCTGATTCTGCTGGGTTCATTCGAGCTGGCATTGAATTGTTCTTAACTCGGATAACTAGAGTAATATTTGAAGTTAAAAGGTACACTCTGTAAAACCAAACAATCCGTGTTCTAAAGTCAGAACTATAGCATCTCCCTGTCTATTAAAAGCATACCCAAGGGCTGATCCAACCCCACAAGAAAAAGGGGACGTGAATGTGCGAACTGGGAGTCTCAGAGAAGAGCCCCTAGTAGGGGAGCAAGTGGATAATCTCCCATAAACCTCTAGTACCTTCATTAATTTGATGTTGTATTTAATTAATTTTTACTATTTAGCTTGGTAATTTTCTGATATACTTAAACATTTTTTTTACATAAAAAAAATAGAGGGGGCATACGCCCCTAACACCCGCTCTATATTCGCCACTGTTATCCATTGTGTTCTGTACCATATCATCATTACCTGTTATCCTTATTGTTGAGACCAACACAGCTACAACTACTCTTACACAGATATCTTGTGAGTTCAAACCCATCTGTGTAGCTAGAACACTAGGAATAAAAACAGTTGCACAGTCCAATAGTGCCTAAAAATATTAAATTATTCCTCTATACAGTATATCATTTGAAAGAGGAGATTTGTTTTTCACTCAAGCCAATTCAATATTTAGCCAACAAAATTTGGAGCCATCACATTATGTTTGGTTTTTATTTCGAATTCATATTCAAGAAACATTTGGACATATTCGGGATGACCCAATTAATCCTAAAAAAAAGAAAAAAGATTATTTTCCATTGGGAACCGAGTAAAACATTGATAAACAACAGAAAAAAAGAAGGAAAAAAAAGACAAAATTAAAAGAAGTGCTCATATTTGTTCTTAGGTAAACAATTAAATCAATTCATAATCTCTCTCCACAGACATTTTAAGCTGCGATTAAAGAGGGAGGCTCCCATGTTTTCTAAAGATCTAGTGGTGGAGAGTAGCCAAGGAACCAGGAGGTATACTCCAGATCATATATATACAGGAGTATTAGAAGGTAAGATGTACTATCAAGTAGAAAGTAATTGTTTTCTGTTTCAATACATGTACAATATGACATTATTTCTTGAATGTGTGAATACTGAGTATGTTGCATACAAAAATGATTTTTGTATAGTGAGCACTGAGCAGTGTTGTACATATGTGCTTTAGTTCTGTGGTCATTAGCAGTCATGCAAACCTATGTCAACTCCATGGATTTTACAGTAGTCCTGCTGCATGATCTGGACACACTACACTACACTACACTCACTACAGTATCTTATAACATGCACATTTTATTTTTGGGTACTGTAGAGCGAGGTGTGCAGTTATTCTGTAGAATTTTACTTAAGATTTATACTTTTAAAATTGTACTTTGATAACTTGTCACTTAAGTCTGGTGCGATTCTACAAGGCCATGCTTAACTGGCAGTCAGCTGTATCAGGTAAGCACCCATACAGAACGGTCAACAACCTTTAGCCAATAAAGAGTGAATTTGCTCAGCTCTATCTGAAATGTAATATTAATTTGTACATTATTCCACCAGATGATCCTAGCAGTATTTGCCATGGATCCATAATCAATGATACATTCCGGGGTAGAATTGTAACAGGTGATGATGAGTATTTCATAGAACCAGCTCATCGGTATTTCGATGAAGAAACTGACTTTCATTCTGTGATATATATGAGCAAACACATTGAGCCCCCTCCAGAGCTGTACGGATGTGCCGCCAAGGACCAAATCCTTCAACGTATGCAAGAATATGCACAAGAAAATAATGATGATGTAAGTAGTGTGATTGTATTGTGGAGTAGTATATCTGTGAAGTTGCAGACATACCATGTTTATGGTAAAGTCTGGAAATCCACTTAAATTAAATTATAAAAATAAAATAAATAAATAAATTATAAATTATTAATTATTAAATTTAAATTATATTTTCGTAACCCATCTCTAAAAATTATCAATGAGACAGATCTGTACATTTCAATTTTTCTGATTTGTAACCCAAACCTAAACAGAATCTTCAAATTATTATTCCATGCTTATTCTAGGTTTCCAATAAAAATGCAGAAAGTCCTGCAGAAATGTATTCTGCCTCACAACGTCACAAACGAGCAGTAGTCAACCCTGACAAAAAAGGCTGCAATTTATACATTCAAGCTGATCATACATACACTGCCCTATTTGGCAATGATGAGAACGAGGTCATAGCCGAGCTGCATGATCATGTCACAGCAGTAAACATTATTTATGAGAATACACGCTTTCAGTCTCCGTGGGGTGTCGGCATCGGATTTGAGGTAGATAGGATTCGCATCAATGGAACAAAAGAAGCTGCTGACACCTCAAACCCATTTCGTAAGGATAACATTGGTGTTGAAAAGTTCCTTGAGCTAAACTCTTTACAGAACCACAACAGTTACTGCTTGGCTTATGTATTCGCAAATCGTGATTTCAACGATGGTGTCCTTGGGCTCGCATGGGTGGGCTCTTCTGGTGGAACGTCCGGTGGTATATGCGAAAAGTACAAAACATTTACTGGTGGATCACAGAGTCTCAACACGGGTATCGTTACTGTGAAGAACTACGGAGCACGAGTTCCATCAAAGGTCTCGCATATTACGTTTGCGCATGAGCTCGGTCACAACTTTGGTTCCCCTGTAAGTATGTTTCAAAAACCTTTATCATTATCATTATTCTTCTTCTGAAGAAAAAGATCATTATTGATTAAATTACTATTTAATATGGTGTTCCAATGTACTATCTTATTGCAGTATATCAGGCTACAACTTAAACTGCTAATGCTACATTCTCTGATGCCGGAGGAGTATTTCTAGTCATTTTGAAAATTTAGTGCAGAGACCAATAAAGTAGATATTAAAGTTTGAAAATGCTGACAATAGACACTGATAATGGAATTTAAGTCGGAAATTAGCTTGTTTTGGAGAACCATGCTTCTCTCTTCCTCTCTTTTCTTTTTTCTTTTTCTCTCTTTTTTTGGTTTGAGCCCTAGCCTCCTCCCCCAACATATTCTCCCTAGATCTGCCCCTGACTGCCCTAACTCAGATAGGGCTGTGTGCAATATGGTACGATTTTAACGCTGCATTAATTTGTAACAAGTGCCGGTCGAATAAGCTTTGCTGTCAAATATACAGCACACTGAAACCTATGAAAATGTTGATAGTGCTACCTGAAAGAGTTAGGCTGGGCACCCACTACACCCAACATGCGCAACGGATTGTTTTTAATAACGATCTGTTCAGACAGCTGCTGACAATCAGCAGACCACGTCGCGACGTCTAGCGCTCACAGAGAGCGTACTTGTCGTAGTGGTACCGTTGTACGATGCAGTGAGCTTTAGATTATATTTACTTTTGATAGTAGGGTTAGTCGTAAGTAGTACTTGTGAATCAAGACATGCACTTAATCCTCAGTCACAGAATATTATTATAAAGTGCCCTCTATTGTTTTCAGCATGACTATCCATCACGATGTCGGCCTGGTGACAGCTCCAACTCCCAAACGCGTAAACAAGGAAACTTCATTATGTATGCGAGTGCAACGTCTGGGGATCGCGTGAACAACAATTTGTTCTCCGAGTGCAGCATCGGTAATATCTCGAGAGTTTTGGACGCCAAAGCCACATGCTTTGTCGAAGGTAAGTTCCTGTAGAATCAAATTTTATGTTTTTACCTATCAATAAAAGTTCAGTACTATTCCATTTTTCATTATGTTTTTCTTTATTTTTTGTTTACTTAATTCTCAATAGCAGTGGCAGACCATAGGGTAAATTGCAGGGTATGCTATGTATAGGCATATCTGTAATGTGCGAGGGTCGCACACGCCTATCCACCGCCCACAAATCATGCTTAAGAAGTTAAAAATCACCTCAAATCACATATTATCTTGTGAGTTAGCTCCCTCACCTAATCACTGATCCCCACTTTACCTTCCCACTCCATCAGCTCCCTTCCATTTCAAGACCCCTATGCCACTGATGCGAGGGCCTACTAGTAGGAAAAGTAAGCCTACTACAATACAGGATCAGATTGCGCTGTAGCCAAAATACAAATGTATGTTATTTTTAATACCGGCATGGTTGTATTATCTTCTTTTCAAAATAATTCTTATTCCTCTATTTTAACATATTTCAATTCAAATAATAATAATTCAAAGTCTCTTCTATACAGTTATATGCATGCAAATTTATTTAAACTTTAATTATTGAGATTAGGCATATAGATAGCATATCCGATCAGCAGTGGAGGTCCTGATTTGCGAGAAGAAGAGCATGCGCACATTAGGTATTCTGATGCCGCCACACGGTTTTCACAATAGCAAATTTAAGTGTTGTAGGGTATGCTCTGACTTCCATTGACTCACTGAATACGTGATTGGTTGATATTGAAAACCAGCCATGCGGAAATTCTAAGCAGCTGAGAGTACAATGCGATAGGCCCGAATGTGACTTATCCTAGATACCAAAGTAGGCCAAACATTGGAAAACTTTGCTTTTCCAATAAGCTACAGCAATCCACTCGAAAAATTAAGGTTTACATAGAAGATTGTGGCTAAGAAATGCTAAATCAAACGCAGAAACTGTACTACGATATTTTCTTATTTGTTTTAGTCAGGGTATGCACTGCATACCTTGCTTGCCTTGACGGTCCACCACTGATCAACAGTAACTTTATTACGTATGGGAAGTTAGTCATTTTTGTAAATATGCAATATTTGATGAATATGGTTACATATTATAATTTTGTAGGTAAAGTGGTTTAGATGCTATAATATGAAGGAAAACAAATTTTACCTACATAATTATAAAAATACAAAAATATATTTAGCATAAAATCTACCTCCAAAGAGTATGCTTATTTGGCTAATTTTACATGTAGATATTAACTGCCGGTTTATGTTCTGATTTTTGCAGTCACTGGAGACCGTGAAGTTTGTGGAAATCGCATTGTTGAAGGTAACGAACAGTGTGATTGTGGTTACCAAGACCAGTGTGAGGATAAATGCTGCAATGCCCGTATGGATGACCCTAGCCAAACGAACATGTGTACGCTGAAGTCCTCTGCAAACTGTAGTCCCTCGCAAGGACAGTGTTGCAATGAGACTACCTGTGATTATATTGGTGCCGGTATGAAAACGTGTCGTGCTGTGACGGATTGCAGCGATGAAGCAAAATGCGAATATCCTTTTGTGATGTGAAATTAAGGTTAATAGTTTAGGGTTTTTAAATATAAAACCTTTAACCTTTGACATGTAATGCATTAATACTGTGAATGATCCAGGCATGGGGTAAATTACAGTGAAAATGTAATCAATTACAGTGAAAATGTAATCAATTACAGTGAAAATGTAATCAATTACAGTGAAAATGTAATCAATTACAGTGAAAACAGGGGCGGATCCAGAATTTTTCAAACGGGGGGCACAACAGTTTAAAAACAGAAAAGTGAGTAACACATACAGCAACATTGATTTGCAATTTAATTTTTAAAATTTAGAGGAAAAATGGGGGTGGGGGGTAGGTGCTCCTCATGCCCCCTACTGAAACCACCCCTGGAAAATGTAATCAATTACAATGAAAATGTAATCAATTACAGAAGTAATTGATATTTTCACTGTAACAGAGTAATTGACCCTATACCTGGTATGAACTGGTTGGTGATGCAGAACTGGAATCAGATATAATAAAATATAATACTAAAGATGTCTGCTATTAATCTGGGTCAATTGTTTTAATTATTTACCTTACAGCTTTTCTCACTAATGAATTTCTCCCAGTTTGACTGTACATTTTTTAATATCGATGCTCATTTTTTTAACAATTTGGCATTTTTGTAGTGGCGTGACCCATGTGGTTTGGCTGCAGTGAGTAGGGTTTTGATGTGAACTTTCCTGCACTGTAAACTGTAGATTCTTAGTTGGGTTTCCTTAGCTACTGTATACTGGTTCAAATGCAACCTGTCCAGCCTCAACACATAAGGACAACAAGACATTCTGTAATAACAACAAACAGATATGTTATGATGGGGTGAGTATTGCTCATCATCTTTAGCTTAAATGCGTAATTTTCTAATATCATTTGAATCACAATGACTTAGCCGAAAACTTTAAACCTGGCCAGTGTCGGGTTTTAATTGGAGTCTGATACCTTGGCTCCTCGAATAACCCTCATATTGAGAGTTAGGCGTGTCAAGGACAATGTCGAATAACCCTCATATTGAGAATTAGGCGTGTCAAGGACAATGTTTGTATCCGTTTGTGTCCGTTGTTTTTTTGTTAAGTTGTGTGGCACGGAGCCCAACATGAATTTTTGATTTCTTATTTGAATGAGGACCAATAAAGCAGCATTATTATTATTATTATTATTATTATTATTGTTGTTATTATTATTATAGCAACCAGCGCTAACTCGGACTTAAGGGGAATAACTTTTGTGTTATTTTCCCTTTAACGCCATGTTATTTTCTCCTTAATATCGTTTTTTAATCGTTCACTAATTTCTCTATTGTCTAACTTCCCCTTAAGGTAGGTTTTAGTAATATTATTATTATTATTATTATTATTATTAGATTTAATTGTCCCGCTCTCTTGTTTGTTTAATCTTCCATTCCAATCCTCTTCCTTTCTCTATAGAACTATTATTTTTTTAATTATGTCGTTCTAATTTTCATTGGGTAGAGCTACAAATATCATCAAGAGGTTATCCAATATTGTTTAGTATGAGCTACAAACTTTGTATTGTTGTTGCAGTATTTTTATGCAGTTTTCACAGAACTTGTGAGCATAATATTTTAATTTCCTAACGAATATAGGAGTGCTCTGGGTCAGTTTGTGACAAATTTGAGGGATTAGAAGCCTGCTACTGTAGTCTACCAGCTGGAAGTCCAACTGAAGCAGACAACAAAAAACTCTGTCATATCTGTTGTCAAGAAATGGGTAAATTTTAACATTGTTTATATTATACTGTTGAAAAAATTGGGTAAATCTCAAATTTTGTCATTATATTTATATAAATTGTGATTTATTTATTTATCTGTAATTTTGGTAATACAATTTTTTTTTATATTCTCTGCTTTCAAGAGATACACTATAGAAAATAGCTTTAATTGAAAAAAAAATAAATTGAATGTAGCACAATTACTTGACACAATCTGTTTTCTCTTAGGTAAGGAAGACACATGTAAGAGTAGTACAGAAATACCAGCAATGGCACAAATTATCAGTGATTACGGTGAAAATTACCCTGATGAAAGTAATAATGATGAAAAAGTCCTGTTTCAACCTGCTGGAACGCCATGCAAGAATTTCAACGGTTATTGTGATGTGTTCTATAAATGTCGCGATGTAGATTCTAGTGGACCATTGTCTCGCTTAACTACCGCCCTCTTTAATCCCCAGCTTTACCAGGATATTGCAGATTGGATTAAGGTAAGGTTACTTCTTGATTCCATATACTGTTTCAAAATAGATTTTCTAAATTATAAGGTATGATTCGTAATGACAGCTTTCCAATTCCACTGTTCAAAGTAATGAGAATCTTTCAGGCTAGCTGCTCATGTCAGTTATTATAAGCTTCTCATGCTCATGTAATAGCTTACATGACCCAGCATTCATGCTTCTTTACCTGTTGAAAAAGTAAGTATGTTGAGGTGTCCATCCTATGTAAAGCACTGATGTAGTGCCTAGACTACTTTGATATGAACATTTTAATGACTGCGCATGAGGGGAACGGTGAAATCTATTGGCCCGAGGTGATGTGGTGATTAGGCTACTAGTAATAGGCTACGGTCTCCACATCACCAAGAACTGGAGCAGTCAATATTTGTTTTATACCTCAAACATAGATTCTATGAGACCTAAAAAAAGTCATGTAAAGAGTACACACCTTGTGGCAGAGGATGTAGTCCCCTTTACCATCTGTGCATGTCATAAATTACACAACAACGTTACAAGTGGGGCCTAGAGATTACATCGTGATCTAGTAAAAAAGTATTATCATTCAACATGGTAATACTTTTCCCCAGGTAATTCAACCCAAGTCATAGGAGTGATGGTTGAAGTTATTACCCACTTTTTAACCAATCAGATGCCTGGATTTTATGTATGTGGTATATACTAGATGTTTGTGTATTTTCTCCACACAGGAGTGATTTGGAATGCTCCCCATGAATCTGAGGAAGATTGAATTTTGTTCTAAAATTTTGAAAAAATATTGTTGAATAAGTAATAATAGTGGTAAGAATGATAATAATAATTTATGTATTAATTTTTTTTCTGTTCTTTGCTTTCTAGCAAAACTGGTGGGCAACGGCATTGATAGCTCTAGCTGTGGTACTTGTAATGGGACTATTCATCGCATGTTGCAGTGTTCACACTCCAAGTAGCAACCCCAACATGAAGAAAGCACGAGATCTTCCTGGTGCCCAGACTCTTCGACGTCGTCGCAAGCCGACCGGGCCCCAGCAAGGGCGCCCTCAGAGCAGACCACAAAGCAGACCACAAAGCCGTCCTCAGAGTCGACCACAGAGCAGTCCGCACAGTCGACCCCCACCATATAACTTGGGGGATTACGAGATGGCTTAATTTTAAGCCAGTCAGGTATGGAAGAAACAGGTTTAAGCTTAGTTTGATTATTATTCATCTAAAAATAGATCTATTTTCAAATATATTCCCTTTTTTATGTTTAGAATATAATCACAGACAAGAGTCCTGAGAATGATAGAACAATGGCACAAGAATTTATAAATTCTACTTACTAAATTAATAGGTAAAATGCAATTATATAGAATAGATATTAAGGTTTAGTATTTAGTATCTGGGGGAAGAAATTGTGTGTTACGTTAAGAGCACTGACAGTGACTTTTGCAGACAGATTCAATCGACAATATGTTTGTAGTGTTCTTTCCTAATAAATAAATAAATGATTGATTAATTTTTTTCAATTAGCCTTTAACCAACTAATAAATAAAATTAGTTTCAAAAGCTTTATAAATAAATGTAAAAATTAAGTAAAAATATAATTGTTTGCAGACTAAAATGATATAAGAGTTTAGATTCTAGGTTTGCAGACAACTGTTTTGTACATGATATGAGCATTACTGTTTAGCTCAAATTGTAATTATGTGTGTAACATTAACAATGCTTGCAGTGGCTTTTTCAGGATTAGCAACAGGGTTGTGCTACTGATTAACAGTGGATGAGAGACAAAGTTCTTAAAAAATCCAGTTCCTTGATTTCTTAAAATATTTAGTGAAAACTATTGATAACACTCCTGAGTCTGCCATTGGATCCTGCCTTTGTGGATGAGAGGACAAGTATTCGACAGAGTGAAACTTAAATAAATGTATATAAAGTCAAACACTCTCCATCGTTAATGGAATACCAGTTGGATATAAAACTAAAGCATAATGCTATTTGACAAATAATGTTAGGCCTAGCAGAAGGCATTGCTAGCCTAAGCAGCGTGCCTCCTGCAAGGGGAGGATGAAAGAGGTTTGGTCTGTTCTGTAAACTTATTCAAATTTATATCTAATGATGTGTATATTGGAAGTGAATCAACTTCATCCTCTGATGGTGGAAATATCAACATCATCTATATTATTTGTTAAAGTTTTCTATGTTTTGTTGATTTTTATAGAAAGTGTATCATGTTTGTGCTAATGTGTCTGTAAAATTACTTTTCTATTTTTTTTTAGAAAGATGTAAATGATAAAATTGGATGCTTGTGAGAAAAATAAACATAAATTCTTAGTAAACTTTTTAGATAGATTTTTTACACCTGTGAGTTTCAACTCAAATGTTTAAATAATGTAATGACAAGTTCTTAAATATTGTATCAAATAATGATTACTGATATCTTTCATTTATTTTATCATCTAATTGTTGTTCTATTTATTTTCTCTCATGTTCTATAATTCTCATTTTTGAAATCAAATATGCACTGCTGTGAACTCTTTACTCAGGAATCTATTAAGACTGTGAATGGGTAATTTTCAGTTTTTTTCATGGTAAAATACAGCACGCAAGCAACTATGTTTTTCTACCCCCAGTTACTTTATAAAAAAAAATGTTTGTGCTGTGTGATTTGGAGACATTAGATTTTTTAACGGGAAAAATAGCCCCCTCAATTACAAAAAAACATCCAGCCTTATTAAGGTACAAAAATGAATATGACTATGATGTAGTTATGATAGATCCTTTTATGTTGTAACCTTGATGACATGCAATTTAAGTGTTGGAAAATACAGTGCAGATATTAAACTACATTCCTGGATAAGCTCTGCCAACCATCATGGTAGAGAAATTAGGGACTTGTGCTTACTGTGGTATACTTAACAAATCGAATGTAACATCTCAGAGTAGGAGAGTGCTGTTTGTTTTCAATTGATGTTGGTGATTCTAAACATATCAGTATGAATAGAGTGATTTACTCTACTATATACTGGAATATCACATGATCTGTACAGATTTAATATCCACTTAATAGTCCTATTGCGATTTCATCCATACTGGGATCTATATAGACATCATAATGTGTTAGAGATGCTAAAGGATGTATATATATCAAAAAGAAATTACATTCAAACAGTAAGATATGATATTGATAATGTTGTTTTTATATTAGCACCTTGTATGAAAAAGATTTGAGGAGCTTATAACAATGATAATACACTATATGTGGACTTCTATACTTAAAGATGAATACACACACAGAAATCTATCCATACGGAAAGATATTATCATCCAGAAGTACATTTAGTAAACATCCACAGAAGTGTATCATATAGATAGAGACGTGTATAACTCAGATAAGTAGATTCCATCCATGCTATACAGACACTTATATTGTTAGAAAACCAACATTGAGCCTTGCTTAGCAATGGAAATTTCATTAAAGTTATTTCTGTTAATTATTTAATGATATTCTGATAGTGCACTATTGAATATTGATGTATAATTTTTTTTATATACTGCATAACCTGGCAAATGAATTAATATATTGATTTTTTTTTATCTGGTGCAAAACTGGATTTTTTTTTGGTGTTTTTATTTTCTTTTTGTGTTGCATTTATGCACTTGTAGCACTTCATTGAACTTTTATTTCACTATATATTTTTAGAAGTTTACTTTTGATGTTGAAAATAATACTCAAATAAATTGGTAACAAAACATATATATTGTGGTTTCTGCTTATTGTCAGATAGTGAAGCCTGATGTTGAGCTCAACATAGTGACAGTGCTAGAGATTTTGGGACAAAGGTCGAAGGTCCCCAACAGGTCCAAAATTCACATCAATCCAGCATCTCAATGGTACTCTCAGACTGAAAATTATTTATTTAAAGCAGTGTTCCCCACTTCTTCCTCTGACTGGGAGTCCTCCGCCCCACTGGCCATTGGCCAAGGGCCTGTTTCTGCTGAGGAAAGAAACATGTTTTTTAACAGTTATTAAAAAACACATGCTTTTTCTCCAGCAGAAACTGGCCAAAAAAACAAAAACGCAGTTAGGAATGCGTTCTAAAAATGTGTGTTTTAGCACACATTCTTATAGGGTTGGCTTTCAGAAAGCACATGTTTTGCGGTATACTTTTCAGCTGCAATACAATACTGTGTTAGCCATGGCCCCGTCGGTGACTTAAATTTGAATGAAGTAAAGGCAGTTGTCGTTTCACAGGCGATTAAAATCACTGTCACTGCCAAATTCACATATTAGGTGAAATCAACTAATACTAATTATTAATAGGCTAATCATAATTATTTTTTTATTTTGCTGTTTATTTTGAAGCATTATAGTAACGTTAATGCGCATGACAACAGTAGGTTCAATCTAAATTTCCATTGGTTATCGTTAGCCCACACACCAATACTCATGTTACATGTTTTTAATTGTTGCATTTTTTCACTAGAAACGCATTTCGAAGGAATTTAACCGTATTTGTGTTTTTGGCGTTTTCAGCAAAAACCTGCCCTAGGAAAATTAATGGACACATAAATAGTAACGCTCCTATGTTTTGCTTAAAGACCCTTGGTTTCATTATCAAGAACGTCGATCTGGTGATCAATAATCTGTACATAGATCAGTTATTTTCACAACCTGTCTCATAAAGATGAAACTTACCAACATACAGAAATACTCAGATAAAACCTGCAAGAACACTCAACCCCTGACAGGAAGCCCCTTTTCCCTGCCCAATGGCATCAAAATTGTATGGTAATGATGCTAATGTCCATGATGTGGATATTGGATAATTATATATGTATAAAGTATTTATTGATATTTTCCTATATGTGGATAATACTGTAGGCTTCATAGTAGCTTCATGTTCACATCATTCCACAAGGGCAGGGGCAGAAATGAACCACAGCATCGGGGTGACCCCTACTCTTCCGAATGATGCAATGGGTGTGAGATGTGTACACTGGACCTCCATTAAGTATTTATCTAAGACGACTTGGTTCTACCAACCAGAACCTGGACAAGATTTCGGCTCAAACCAGCACGGATGTTAGTTGTACTTAGTGGCAGCGTGCCCCCTCCCCTTAGCCCTCGGGGTCGAGTAATAATAATAATGGTGTTGATGATGATGATACTTATGACGACACTGACGCAGACAATTCTAATGATGATGTTTACTTTTACTGGAGACCAACTAATAACTCTTGTACCACATTCACTTAAATAGATGCGGCAGACTGTAAAATAAATCTCCATTGCATTTATTCAAATATTTCCACAATTTATCCAAATTTAACCTTTGTATAAAGAAAATCATAATGACCCTGACAGACAATAAAACAGGAAAAATAGATAGAAATATCAAAATAAACCCACAGTAAAATGAAATCATATACAGTATATATATATTGCAGTAAACAATATAAAAATATATAATTAAGGAGAAATAAACAAGTATAACATAACAAATATTAAAATACATGTACCTGTAACTTAGATATTTTATTTTGTCAAGGAAAGGAACAATGCTCAAGGCATAAAAATTCAGCCATTATCAGGGGCGGATCCAGTATTGGGGGGGGGGGCACATCGTTTCGCCACTAAACTTTAAAATTTCAAGGCATATATTGAAATTAGCGCTTTTTCTATTCTATTCTGAATATGTTGTTCTCCCCACCGTTTGAAAAATTCTGGATCCGCCCCTGATTATATAATGAATGCAAAAGGTGTGACACTGTATAATTATGGCAAGGCTTCAATGGTATTTATGTTAGTAAACGAACTTGAGGTTGAAGATAAAAACTTTTCCTTCATAGTAGGATACTAGTCCTACGATACGAGTAAATTAACATTAAATTAAGGCTAATTAAGGTAGATGGCTCGTTAACCTACTAGGTAAACAATTTCTCATACAATGCATCTAAATATTCCCACTAGATGACAAGTTAGTGATCCAACACAAGGAAATCAATTACACCCAGTTTCGGCCGAGAAGCAATAAGGCCATGATGTATATTACACCTTCCGGTGGTGATTGGGCAGTACACTGGGAGACAATCCCCTACTCTTTTCCGAAGAGTTTACTGCGTTTTTAACGTTCACATGGGTCAAAATGCACACAGGACCAATGGCTTAAATGTCTCATCTGAAAGAAGGTGCTTCATCATAGCTTGCATTTCAGCCCTCCACCTGAAATAAATGGAGAGCAGCGATGGGATTGAACTGGAGACAAAGAGATCTCCACGGTTCAGCACACACACAGTGGCTACCACCAGTTTAGCCAACTGAGCTAAGCTGCTCTCACTATAAAATTTTATGCGACAAATGAATGTGATGTGACCATATATGGGCATGATGATGTCACATTACACCTATATATGGGCATATCACAGTTTTTTGTCACAAAATTTGCTACTGTGGACAGGCCTAAAGCTCTGTACAGATTATCACATTTCTTTGACAAAAAAACTGGTGTATGCCCATATATAGTCATGATGTGCCTATATATGGTCATGATGTGATGTCGTCATGACCATATTTAGGCATATCACATGTTTTTCTCAAATAAAAGTCTGCATAGGGCTTTACAAGTAGGCTTATATATCATGTGTCATGTATTTTGTAAAATGAGAAGTTTTCATTTGTTATACAAAATTTTAAAATATTTCCTATGAAATTAAAACAGTGCAACGTAAAATCAAATACTATGGGGAAAAGGTGATTTAAAACTCCAAATTGCATATATACAAGACAATGTGACACACATACACACAAATATTTGAAAACCATCACCAAATATTAAATGTATTACAGACTTATAAAATAAAAAAATAAAATATTCTACAAAATATACAAAAATGAATTTAGAATACAATTTTCATCAAATATTTGTGCAATTATATGTACTCTTTGGATATTATAATGGACACTTTTTGAACTTTGAACCCAAACCAATAGAGAACAGGCACTTGGGTGGTGTACCACTTAATGAATAGTAGTACTATAAAGTGTATTTTTGTACTATATAAAATCTAAAATATCTTTTTATTCATTTTAATATTATTGAAGCTAAAACAGATTAGCTGCATAGATTGTTCAAATCTAAACTATTTTCTATAAAAGTCTTTTTTTGTGTGTGTTTGAAAGACTAGGATAAAAAAGTAAATAACACAATGGTACAGTTAAATAAATAAGTGCATTGATTCATATCTGTAAAACAAGAAAGTTCAAGATACAAAGTAAATATTTAGTAATTGTACATGTAGAGATAAAATAGAACATTGGAAATGAATTCCTTAATTTTTCAAGATGATATAAAGTGAATTTAAAAAAAATATATTAACACCTATATAGTAATGTTGAAATGCAATCTTTGTTATTATACATTATCTACGATTCTGGTAAAAACAAACAGATTTCTGTAGACTCCATGCATTTTGCTCACATTATTTACCAATTCTTAGAATATATTACTTTTATGCTAATTACATGCTTGCATTCATTCCTTATAACACTGATAAAAAAAAATCTTGTCTAATATATCCAATAAAGTAATATAATTATAATATGCTGGTCTTTTAAAAGAGAAGCACACTAGGCATACAGCAGTCTAGCTATCAAGGTTACAATTAATGAAAAATATGTTAATCAGCTTTATTGAACCTTCAACCACAGCAGCTACTGTTTTGGTTGATAAGCCATTCAATCTAACATCCTCACACCCTATGTTTTGAAAAAAAAAGCAAAGCCATAACTATAACCTAAATGACAGCAAACAAATAAATTTAATACACAAATTTTGCTTAAAATGTCCTAAGTGTCTCATTTACCTCTGTGGTTTTTCTATGAAAATTTTAATAAAAAAATACTCCCATAAAATATTTCTTAAGACATGAGGTATTCAGTACAACGAACACAATATATTAATTAAGAGATAATATTTTGCACATGCATGTTTTGATTCAAGCCACCATTATGTAAACCCACTGATAAAAAAACAGAAATCCTATCTCCTACAAGAAATCAATTTAACTGTTAAGATGAAAGTACTGTAACCACAAAAGTTCACTGAAACATTATCAAACTCTAGTAAAGGGTGGGTTTATACTTGTGAATGGTAAACTTTCTGATTTCATATAAAACATTGAACTCCTATAAAATCACTTCAAATTTTTGGATGGCAATTTCATGTTGTGTTTGTCTAAATTTTCGTTGCTATTTATTGTGCTATAATGAAGTCCCTATTTCTACAAATGCACCTCATTATTCAGCATTTGGTTTTCTGACCTCTGTAAAATCATCTGCTGCCCTCATTGTTGATAATTAAAACGCCTGCTGCTGTGGATGTTCATACTCTAAAATCGCGTAGCTTTGTTTTCGGCCTGGTCAGGGTGCTGATCAGTTCCAACAGGATGCAGGCCTGGCATTTGGCTACCTCTGTACTTTCGATTTGTCATCTTCACAGCCTGGCTACTTTTAAGTTTATTCTGCTCTTTTTCACGTTTATGAGGATTGTGGGTAGGAATAACTTTTGTGCAGAGGAACACAGTTCCTACCATGACCGCAATCAGAACCAATATGCCTATAAGCAATACATACCATTGTTCCTGAAAGTAAACACATTAAACGATTATTCTCAATATCATTAATTTTCATTTTTTTGCAACAAAACTTGAAAATCATCTTAGTGTGAGTAAGTTAGAGTTGAATAATTTTCAGCATCTTCATTTCAACTTCCTTATATCTGAGCGACATATATAGTCCAACAGACGTTGTACCATTTAATGTACATATCATCTACTACAAAACAGACTACATGGACAAATACACTGGGGATAACCGCTACTCATCTTGAAAGATGAACCGGGTTCTTTATAGTACACAAGTCAATTGTGTATACACGTAGCTCTTTATCCAAGAAAACTTGTTCGATCACCAGAATTATAAGCGCCAATATTATGATTGTAGGTTGCCACTCAACCTGCCTATTTTAAAATGAATAGCCTTTCACTTAATGTAACCCTCTGGATATGATCTTACAAACGCTTACCTCTATCCATGTTTTTATCGCCTCGTCAACTGTCTCCTCATCACTAAAAAAGATACGCTTGATAATACTAGCCAAAGGACCATCCTCGTCCACATTCTGGCACTCGTTAAATACATCACAATAACCGCGGAAATTCCCGTCCTTATTATTGCAGGCAGAACCAATCGGCATGTAGATTACATTTTTATACATGTCTAAAATGTTGATGTCGCTGGCAGGTACGCAAGATGCTGGATTATTGATGTTTTGACAACACACCTGGCACAGTTCAGAGGCTGGTTTGTTGGGGGTTGATTCACATAAGCACGATTCTAAATTGCTGTGGGCATCACAAATGGATCCACTGCAAGTTCCTTGCTTGCAGACCATGGTGCCATTGTTGCACTTTGTATCGTCTCTTTGTCTTCCAGGCATTGGGCACGCGGCTCTATTTGACGTATATGCTCAGTTAAGGAGATAAAGTATGAAACAACAACAGTGTCATGCTATAAAAAACATGCATGCTATATTTTATATCACATGATTTGAAAATTTCTCTTTAGTGGGACTGCCTACTGGTTAAATATCTGGCAGTGAAATCACTTATATTATTTATCACATTATTATTTCTCTATTGTATGTTTTTGTGTCCTGGATTATCACAGGCTGTGGGTGGGGATGACAAAGATGTTAAGCACTAGAGTTCCTGTGCCAGTCCTTTTACTACATATCATAGTGAAATGTATTCAGAATGATTATTGGCCCCAATGCCATTTCCAACAGTATATACCAAATATTTGCATTAATAATACAATTAACATTGAATTATTGCATATTGAATAACAAACAGGTATGAAAGGATATGTGCAAGTGGATTGTTGACGGCAATCGGTTCTACTGCTGCACACGTAATTAGAACTACGAAATACGCAGTTGTTTGAGCAGCACGGGCCTTGAGAGGGACTGCATTGACTGCCTGATCTCAACCGACATGCATTCGGGGCATTGTGCGCATCATTCTGAGCCACACAACAGGTCTCCGTACAATCCCCGTCTTCATAACCACAGTCGCATTGTTCATCACCTTCAATGATCTTATTACCACAAAGAGAGATTTCTGAAAGTGCTGGAATAAATAATAATAAGATTTATGAAGAGCACATATCCAATGCAGTAGTACATAATATACAACACTATATAATATATTATATAATTATAAGTCAGTATAATATTTATGGAGAATAACTGTGTGCCCAGCACAAACAAAACATTTTAACATTCATAGACATTGCAATTACGTATTATGTCACAAAATTCTGTTAACACAACATTTCAGCATCATTTAGTTGGAGAGTAGGCCTATTTTATATATTATATACTGGCAATTGCAAGTTCTACAAAAAATAGACGGTTTGAATACCAAACTGTAATTTATTATGTCATTTTTTTTTACGTAATTATAAGGTCGAATTGTTAACTGGGTGGTGAGTCCAAAGTCATACATTTACGCACTCTTAACTATATGGTGAAGCATAGGAAACAGGCATGTTGTAAAACATTCTATGGTTTTGTGTCAAATACATCACTTGTGTCATATCACTATGGTGTGGACACCAACATCATATCCAGGGGTAATATAAAGGGGAATTGAAGGAAGACACGTAAAGGAAGTGTAAGAGGGCGCTAGCTAGAGAATGAGGTGATTTTAAGCAACAAGAATGTAATAATTTTCTTTAGCAAATTTTTGAATGCTTATATATTATTTAGCATTTCATTGGTTATATTTATGGTATGACTACCAACTTCATCTAGTTGGGGCGAAATGTTTCCTGCTGGAGATTGGTTAACATATTTATTTATTATTTATTATTACTATTATTATTATTATTATTATTATTATAAATAATCCCTTACTTTTAAAACAATTCTGTTTACTTATTCCATTAAACACAGAGCCAAGAACATTGGTTATGTTGCCAACTGAGCATGAAGAAAACTTGTCGTTATTCGGTTGGTCAGCATTTGACGAATATGCGTACATCAGATAGTTGCCATTGGGCATTCCTGGTAGGCAGTCGGCACGTGCATCATGCTACAAAAACAAAAGAAACACGTCAATGGCTGTTTTTTTGTAAAGTGTACACCTGCCAACTCTCACGCATAATGCGCAAGTCTTGCGCACAAGCATTCCATTTATACGTCTCTCACCTACATTGTATTATCTCACGCATAAGATAAAATGTATAGGCTGATTATACCATAAACCAACAGATGCACTGATTTTGTTTAAATAACATAAAATGAACGTTACTCCGAATAAAGAGAGGGAGGCCATGATTCAACGTTTCTACCTTTATTGGGTCATCATCAGGAATGAAAAAACTTAGTGATTACAAAAAATGCTACAATATTTAAATGAGGGGATTAAAAGCTAGTACAATAACAATGGTGAATATAATAAATGGTGATGATGACATAATTAATGTCGAAATATTGAATCCCAACATGATGGCGTGTATTTCAATACTTGGAGTATGTATTATACTTTCTTATAACAATGGTGATTAAGCATAATGGTGATTATGAGAGAGGCAATTAAGTTGGGTTAGATTACATTAGATAAACAATTTCAACTCTCTTGATGCTTTGAGACCACAGTTTAATTTAGGGTTAAGGTGATGGATAGCAAGGGCTTCTTTAAATAGTAAATGGGACCAGTTAGGAGAATTATCAATTATTGCAGTGTTGGAATATATTAGAGATTTGAAATTAACAATGAAATCATCTTTAATTGTGTTAGGAAAATTATGAAGTTTTAAAATATATTGAAAAGCATCGCAAGACTCAATATGATTGTGTAGACACTGTTAGAGATTGTAGAATGATTATACCATAGAATTCAAAAAAATAATAATGTGAATTCATGATTAAAAAGTGAATACAGGCCATAATTTTTTCTTAAACGAAGCAATACCAATCGATGACTTTAATCAGTAGCAGTTCCACCACTACAATAAAAAATAAAATAACATAGAGTGTGCTCTATTTCGTAATTTCTACATAGAGGGTGCTATATACTTTTTTGTCTTTGTCTCGAGTATATCAGACACCAACAAAGTTGACAGGTATACAAATGGATAAATTTTTGACAATTAACAATTATTTATATAGAACTATATCACTAAAATATATGCACAGGTGTGCCAAGGAGTATGGTAGCTTATAGAGGTTATATTTGAATGGCTTAAAATTTGTTCATTTAATTGCATAAATAATACCTGTATTTATTACACATATGAGTATGGTGGTAAAGAGATTTCATAATAATATACTTTATAGGTCAGTGGTGACATCATCACTTTCTTTTGTGTGCACACAATCTTCCTATTCCTGACTGATCACTAATCGATAATATAGTGCCTCCGATTTTTTTTCTTTTGTGTGCAAATAAGCTGAAAGCTGGGGTGATTTTACTACAGTACAACACGATAGAATATTTTGTTGCTAGAGCTAGACTTCTTTTATTCCTTGTTTTGCGTACAGTACTTATTTTTTATAAAGATCGTTGGATGAGGGCAGAATAAAAATAAAAATTTATTTATTTTTTCTTATTTAGCAAATAGTTTTGCCAAAAACATCCAGACGGAGGAGAAAATTAAAAATAAAATTTTATTGGTGAATATAAAATAGAATGGTTAAATGCTTCAAATAATTAGGAAGAAATATACATATCTTATCTTTGGAGATTTCAAGGCAGTGCTGGGCGTAAATAAAAATAATGAAAAACTTTTATTTTTTTCTGAAATTTCCACTTGTTCGTGGCGGCGGGTGCGCTAATTGGCCAAAAATAAAATTTTATTTATATTTGAAATCGTCAATATTTGCAGTCGGCAGTTTGTTAACAAGGTATAAAAACAGTCTCGCCTAGGCCCAGCTATGAACGCACACAGCAAACCTAACAAATCTCACTCTATGTTTAACATTAATAATGCCTAGACCATCCAGGCATGGCCTAGAAAGGCACAATGGTTATGAGATTGACTTATAAAAGAACTGAAAAAAATATGGCAATGCTAAAATAATTCATAATAATGTTGAGAATACAAAAATGTCTACCATCTCAGCTTAGCACATGTCTTAAGTCAAAAAAGTTAAGATGTCCAAGAAGTTAACTTTTCTTTGTAAATGTTATTAGATGATTAAATATGTGTTTGATAACTAATATAATGCTAGCTTTTTGTGTTTTCAGTACATTTCAATGGTAAATTATTAGGTTTTAAAATGCCTATTCCAGAAATCCTATTATAAACCATTAAGATTATGAAGTCATTCAGGCGTAATGAACGGTAACCAACGGTGTTGTCACGATACGACTGTGGTACTCTATAAAAGGCCATAGAAAAGGTGATGGTCGTCGCAACTGCCTTATAAAGCAATTACAGTCTAGTAATTTCGTACACTACAGGAAATAAAAAACCATAGGAACCATTATTTCCTTCAAAAATTGTCTTCACTCCTGCGGGCTTCAGGCAATTTTTTCAGGAAATAATGGCTACTTCGGCTTCTGTTTCCTATAGTGTACTCAAAACCTGAGTAAAATTGCTTTAATTATAAACCAGATAACTTTAATTAATTCAAGTTTGTCTCATAGGAAGGAAGTACATAAAAAAATTGATCCTGTTAAATGAGTAATTCGATGTTTTCAATAGTTTTTCTTCCCCGATTTCACCATAATAAATAGAAAATACTGCTCTTATATTAATCTGTGGAAATAAATTAAAGTAGGCCATTCTTTTAAAAAGTGAATGAATACTGTATGTATGTGGAAGTATGTCATTTATACTTACTGGTGATCCAAAACTGTGCCCAAGCTCGTGGGTAAAAGTGAGACTTGAAATTCTCGCTGGAACATCAGCACCGTAATTGTTTTCGGTCACAATACCGGTGTTAAGGGATTTACCATTTCGATATTTATCGCAAATACCACCACTTGTGCCTCTATTGGCACTAGCAATCCATGCTAACCCAAGCACACCATTGCTGAAATCTCGATTGGCAAAGGTGTACGATAGACAATACTGGTTATAGTTATCGGAAGATGCTAAATCTAAAAATCGCTCAACTCCGATGTATTCATCTGAAAACTTGTTTCCGTCAGGCGTGGAAAAAATCTATGAGAGAAAATAGTAAATATGATAAACTTTAATATTCTCTATTCAATTAAATTTTACGGTAGGCCTACCCATAAAAATAGCAACCTGGGTATTTAAACAATTTTTAGGGCTTAGGAGTGCCGATTCAAATTGTGAGAATTACTTCAAGCTTACTTTAATCCTGGCAACAGCTAGGTTGATATTTGTGTAAATTCCAAATATCGTTGACTGAAATACTTCATTAGCAGACATTACATGCTCAGAGATGGCAGCCACAACTGCTTGCGTTGAACCATACCTATAATTTAAAAAAATAACAATTACAACGTAATTGAATATAGTTAGATTTATATGATACTTTATACCAAAATGGTCTCAAATCAAAGTGCTCGAGGTCTGTGCTTTCACTGAAAAAATATTGACTACGATGAAGAATACCTTTATCTTGGCTAAGCAGTAATGCTGTTCCAACTTTCATTTAAATACAAATTTCAGAGTAAAAAAGCTGTTTCTATCTGTCTCATCGATTGATACTTTCTGAGGAGCCATTCAAATTTGTTTTTCTAGATTTTTGAACAGTGTATCTTTTGGAAGTGACTCAATGGTGAACACTTACTTCTTAAAATAGGTATGGTCAGCTTTAATATAAAGGTCACATGTCCTCCTTCCATTAGATTGTCGTTTAACTCTCCCTTGTGTTTCCTCAAGATTCTGGGGAAGAAAACAAGTTACAATACCAAGTCAGTGTTTTACTCATTTTCTTCTTCCACTTCTTCAGTGGTGTATCTAGGGAAGGGCGGGGGCCCCCCCCCCCCAAAAAATTACTTGTGCTTGTTAGTAATTCGGGAATCTTGTTGTTCTTCCATTATGAGTTACAAAGAGATGGAAATGGGAGTAAAAATTACAAACGGTAAAAATGATTTTACATTCCTTATGAAAAGTAAATACAATTTTAAATTTCATTATGTATTAAAGTAGAGGTAAACCTGATTTTACATTACCTCATCAAATGAAATAAAAATTAACGTAAAAAAATTCTACATACTATCTGATCTTCCTTGGGAATATTTTGCTTTTGTTTCATGCGTTCAAATAATTCATTGCCAAGCCCACAAGTCTTTTCGCCAATATCCTTGACGTGTTTATCCATGTAGATCACAGAATGGAACTTCACGTCATTTGGATCAAAGTAGCGGTCAGCAGGTTCAACATAGTAAATACTGCCATTTCTTATAATCTGTCCCTGAAAACGTCCGTCCAGAACAGACCCATAAACATGGGATGAGTATCGTTCACCTGAAATGTAATGCATCATGGGATTATTACAATGCACCATGGGAATAATGCACTACATCATATTAAAATGAACTATCTGCTTTGTGTACTACAAGTATACTTGAAAATTATGTGAAATGTGAAAAGAGTACTTTTCAAGAATTAATAATTTTCTTAAACATGTTATTTAACCCATTGGTTATCATTTTACCCACCTCAACACATTTTAGTAAGTTGTGGGTATTATAGGTCTAGATTTACGCTAAAATAAAAAATTCTAACTTTATACTAAACTAGATTTCTGAGGCAACACAACAGCAACTTTTGTGCTGTGACATACTATGTATAGTACATACTATACTACACACATTACTGATGGCTTATCTATTGTATTAAATGACGCACACCTTGGTTTCCTTCCGTATTATTCTGACGTTAATAGAAGTCTTCGTATTTACATTAATTTTTGTGTACACAAAAGGAAGGGAAGGCATTTTCACCCAAATTAAATTGGCAATATGCAGTCCTTTAAAAGGAACTGGGATGTCTTCCTGATATAAACCTAATTAATTTCTGTAATATCCATGCTGAAATTAAGCATACTGTAAATACCACTTAACAGAAAATAACATGCTCCATGCTATGCCTGCTACATAACTAGAATATTTAATTCACTTGTTGCATTTGCTTATAGTGATTTTACATGCATTTACGAAATGTTAAACCTCAATCCTCAAAATATACAAATAGAGTACTTACTCGCCACGTATCCGGTACAGACATAGTATGGGAAATGTGATCCATCACTCTCCGTAGATTCTACTTCAAATCCCTCAGCAAAGATGGAGGTGTCCCTCCGTAATCGCAAATTGAAATCACTACAATGAAAAGTTACATGTAGAATTTGTCAACAGCAAATTATTTAAATAATATTTAACTAATAGTTAAAAAAAAAAACTACCCAAAAATACAAGGTATAGCATTTAAAAAGAACAATTTAGCAAATAAAAAAATTAAAAAGCTTACCCTATGTAATTGTGCACTTATAATTTGATCAAAGAAACAGTAGATCATGTTCTTTTTCATTTTAATACATTTTCTCATTTAATATCATAATGATTCTCATAACAATTATTGCCATATTATCTAATTAATTACAATAATTAATTTAAAGTATATAATAGTGTATTTACCAAGCATTAATCTTCATTATAAAATGGCTGTCTTTATAATTTTATTATGAAAGTAAATAGGAATGATATGATGATAAGGAGTGGTTCATTTAGTGTTTTGCTTTCTTTTGTGGAAAAGCCTCAGATCAAAAGCATGATATGCATGAGTGATTTTGTACCAATAGACAAAGGTAGAGCTGCTCAGGCATACCTCAGTACGGTATGTACTATACAGCAAGTCCTACATGAAGCATTCTGCACTGTAATAGCTTTCAACTCTGTATTTGTATCAGCTTTTTATGAAGTTGTATTTTTGTTAACTTGTAATTGATGTTTTCTTATCTCTTAACAATTTCCCTGTAGCTCAACACTCTCTTTGTGATTCCTAAATATCTTGCCTGAATCCAATCTCCCTTAACACTTTCTTAGTGCCATCAGAACCCAAGTTCAACATGGATGATAGTACATGTACCATATACATCATGAGCAATATTTAGAATAACTATAGTACTGTATGTATTGTATTTTATTAAACCAATAAACAACTATCATCTTGTTATCAAATACATTAAATTATTTAATTTAATCAAATCACAAAATCAAAATACTAGCAATTAATACAGTAGGCATATGTGAAATAATTATTAAGTCTCTAGAAACATAAGTACATATTACTATATATTATTGTAATCAGTAATATCATTTAACCTTAAAATTAAATTGCTCTCAATAATAATTACCAAAACCTGTATTTTAAAGCTTATCAAAGCAATTTTAAACAAAGGATCATGATTGTTTCTTACCGGTTGAACGCATTAAATTTTAGGCTGAATAACTGTCCCTCAGCTTTAACAGACCGGGTATGACGTGCATGGATTGTGCTTCTGTCATAGCTCAGTTCTTCAAAATTTGACACAAACTTATTCAGCTTCTTCACTGCTTTTTTTGGGGAGAAAAATACAAAATTAGTACATTAAATCATCACAATATGAAAAAAAATCATACATTGTAAACTTAAAATTGACTTGAATTAAATAGCATCGAAACAGAAGTGTCTGTAGCCAAAGAAACCTTCATTCTAATTTAAGTGTACTGTGCAGTAAGTACATCAAATCTGTAATTAAACAGATTGGTCTCATTTATCTCACCATATACTTAGGATGCATACCAGTTAACAATAACTGATGACACTTCCCTAGCATCTAAACATACATTGTGTTTTTATTGAATCATATTCTGCCTGGCGGTGGTGCACTTTTGAGAATGTGCAGCCATTTTGAAGGCAGTGGCGGCACTACTGCCTTCAAAATGTGTGGGTGTGTGGGGGCGGGCCAGGAGGGCACATGAGCCCCTAGACAAAAAACCCTGGACGACTGACCCATCGAGGTAGAAGTCAATCACACCGTTTTGAAAAAGCATTTTCACTGTGAGTACCAATTTCATGTACCTAGATGTGCCTATTCTTAAAATTTGCTTTAAAACTTAACCATGGACTGACTTGGGTATGGACCCTCTGGCAAAGATTATGAACCTCTTTTCGGGGACCTTGAGCCCACTGTCAGGGATTTTGAACAATATAATATGATAAATAAGGATACAATTATCAACCAATTCTATTCTGAGGTTTTACTGAGATTAACATATTTTTAAAAAATCAAAAGAAAATAAATGAATGTGAACTTTGATCATGGTTACTATGACGTTATGACTAACCCGCTGAAATATATCTGATGTAAAATTAGCCTAATTTCCCTTAGTTGCTTATCAAAACATTTCCCAGCGTAATGCAATGATTCATCGGTATACAGCTTGTCTTAAGTATCAATACAACATCCACTTTCAATTTGTAATTTTCACGTGAATTTTGAAGAGAAAAATCGGAACACATAGTTGTTTAAATGGATTCATTTATTGGCTTAGCCTGCAACAGGCATAAAAATATAATGTAAAAAAGAATTTCTTCATGTAATTTTTTTTTACATTCAAGTATAAATTCTTTTTTTTTAGTAGTTTTAAATGCAATTTAGACCTTAAATTAAACTTATTTTTTGTATCTATATGCTTATACTTGGGTACTGAATATGATTGCAAGTAAAGACTTCAAGATTATACAGTACACTACAACAGATTAGTTCAATCAACCTTGTTGTAAATTGTGTAGTACTGTATATTTGCACTGAACACCAGAAGCCAAATGTCTTATTCGAATGGGAACTTTCGTGCTCAACAGAAAGTGTTTGTAGTTAACGTGCGAAATACTTTGTTGAGTCTGTACTTAAGGGGGCTAACATACTCAGCGGATTAGTCCCAATCGAATACGCCATGTTAAACACGGCTAACTATGATATCTTGGCACCTGTATACATTTGGAAATAATTTTATTAAAGACTCATATGTTCAAAATCAAGCAATTTTCATTTTTTCTACAAAACAAAAGATAATCTTTGAAGTTGAGAATTATTTTTGCAGTTAACAGAAGAACTTGCAATGCCAGTGAAGCAAGAGCAGCCTTAATTTTGTGAGTATCTGCACTGTTATCACCATGGTATTATTTAAAGTATAGTTCTCACAAACACATTTTTAAACAAAATGGCATACATTGCAGTGAACGTTTATTGGACATGTGTTCACTGCTGTTGATAATGTACCCAATCCTAAAATCATATAATACCCTTTGAAAATATAAGATCAACACAAGGCTGTTGATGGAAAATAGATAAAACACTGAAAATTATTTTGTTTGGATACTAATTCAAATTACTTAAATTATTTTCTCATAAATATTGAGAACTCATGATCAAGTTTCTCTTACTTGGATGCCTCATTAAGCTTTATGTTACAGTACTTTCTAAGATTTTTGGCATCCATTATTGATAGTCTGTTACTAAGAATAATAAGATTTTTATTTTTCAATTTAAATATTATCTGATACAATTTCAAATTAAGATTTAAGATTATTTGAGTTGTGCTTAACCTTTTGTGTTGGAATTCTTTTAATTTAGTTTTCATAACTGGCCAGCACTTCCTTTTGCTTATAAATCTCCTCTAAATGTGCTTTTTTTTTAATGGAAAATACTGATTTACTTCTAAAGTTAGTTACCCAATTCACAATTTGAGCTTTTTACAGCACAAATACTTTCAAAATGACAATTAAATAGATCGTTTAGACCTACAAAGCTAGCTTTAGAAAGCTCCAGCTCTGTGTACAGGGGATTTTCACTCCACCAACCCCTTCCCTACTCCAACACTTACAGGGGTCTTTCCCACCACTCTGTTTCTCACCAATATGGGCATGGAAATATCTTTACCAGTCTGGCCTTGAAACGTAACCCAAGAAGTTCTGGTTACATCTGAAAAAAATACCTCTGAAAAATCTCCCTGTTATAAAAACAAATTTAGGGCTAATCTACGTAGGCCTACAGTATATAGTACTTCCCAGGTATAATGTATGTAAACCCAAACATTCAAGAAAGACAGGGACTATTTCGTTTCGAAATATGAGCATCTGCTTTGAGTGAGCCCTGCTAGTCGGTGGCATCAAAAAGTGGGTTAAGCTGTCTTGTTTAATAGAAATTACATATTAATTTATAATTTAATATTATCGGATGGCTACGGGAATTATTCGAACTTACCGCTAGGGCTTCCAGTACTTATTGTAACAAAACACAAGAGTATAAATAATTCCGACAAAAGCATGATTGCTTTAAAATTGACAGGCCCGTAGCGATACCAACGATTTAGGCTTTACCCTGTTGTTGATGCACTCTGTAGGCTTTTTTTACTGTACAGTTCTAATCGCGTTATGTGTCATCCATCGCAATCCATTGAGCACAGACTGAAGGGTGGACGCCCAAACAATAAAACTGAGGGCGCTATGCATTTTTTACCAATGCACAGCGCAGGGTCGCAGTGGCGTAAAGCCTATGAGCTCTGGGGACGAGCACGGACCCCAGTTTCAAGGGCCTCGAGATTTATTTTCATTGCATGGATATCAAAAAACACATTTTTTTTAAACTCAATATTCTTCTCGCTGATGGAGGCCACATCAGTGACAGACATCAGGGCGGATTCAGGGGCCGGGCCGTCTCTCCCCCTTTTAGAAAGTCAAAAAAACAAGAAGAAAGAAGTTATTGATAGATCGTACAGAACCCCCACCCCCATTTCCTTCAGTTTATCTGGACCTGCCCCTGGAAATATCCGAATAAATCAGTGTTAAAGTCTACTATTGACGTTGTTTTATTTTTTTCTATATTAATTATATTATATTTACGATGCCAAGCAGCTTAACATAATTATATAGGCCTATGTGCGTGTTTATTTTATTTAATTATTATAAATAAATAATAACATTGCCCCTTTATCTGGACCTGCCCCTTTATCTGGACCTGCCCCTGGAAATATCCGAATAAATCAGTGTTAAAGTCTACTATTGACGTTGTTTTATTTTTTTCTATATTAATTATATTATATTCAAGATGCCAAGCAGCAAAACATAATTATATAGGCCTATGTGCGTGTTTATTTTATTTAATTATTATAAATAAATAATAACATTGCTCAGATAGGAATATAAGATATTATATTGTATGAAGCATAGCCCTACAACGAAAAGTTACCTTTTTAGTTGTGTGGAAAGTATGTCTAGCGGGATTTGAACCTGTAGACTCTCGCTATCAAGAGAAGTATCATGCCGCGTTAGACCACACAGACCTTACAGTAGGCCTATACGCAGAGCTAACCCCAGGTATTCTCCCATACAACTGACTGGAACCCTCACACAGTGGAGCTATAGGTAAGCTAGAAAATCTTAATGGTCGCAGCTTGAAAATCATAGTAAATAATATTCAAATTAGGTTTGCTGCGTAGCACCGACAGTATAAGATAACAGAGCTGAGATAGGAACATAAGATTAAATGAAATTAAGTAGTAATAAAATGTCTAATCAACGCTACTGTTCTTAGTACTGATTTTAGCTAGGTGCTAAAGGGCCCCAGTGCAAGATTAATTGCCGGGTCCTTTAAATGTGAAAGGAGAATTCCTTAATTTAACAGAAAATACATCGTAAGAATTGCTAATTCCTAAGGGCCTATCTTGGTAATAAATGTTAATGACAAGGTTTTGTAACTATTTTAAAGGGCATATTTGGTCTCAGCAGCTGTTCTAAACTAATCAAAAATATTGGTGGCATGCAAAATTAAACAACTGCAGTGGCCATCAGGAAATTCGAAACGTATAAATATATACACACAAACCCCCCCCCCACACACATATATATCTGTCTCTTATACACATCTAGATGTGTATAAGAGACAGGTTGTAAATTGTGTAGTACTGTATATTTGCACTGAACACCAATATAATTTAAATCTAGCTAATTATATAAGATACAAAATGTAACAAATGACACAGATGTGCATGATGTATGTATAATGTATATTATTAAGAAAAGATATAGACTGGACAAACAGAATCCGATTCAGTCAAATTTAATATAAAATAACTTCATATATAAAATCACTACCAATTATGGTAAGCAGTCACCAACCAATCAACAGCAAAATAATTGAGATTCTTAGATTAATTAGATTTTTTTGTCTTGCTATCAATAATTTAAATTACATTCAAATCCATTTTTTAAGTTTCTGCCTATTAAATACACAAGTAGTCAAGAATCAATGTTTTTGCATGTTATGTACTGTACACATATTTACATACATAAGGTTGAAACTCTGATTTTGATTGCTGCGTATTTTGTATGCGAAGACTCTGAAACTAAAAATGTGACTGAATGTTTATGAGTTGAAATTGCTTGCTCGTCGTATTGCTTGTGTCCTTGGCCACATAATTCATCTGCACTGGTCTCTCTTCACACAGCAGTGGCGGATCCAGCAATTTGAAATAGAGGGGGGCCCAGGAAGGGACTTCCACAAATAGGGGGTCTAGAGGGATAAAATTTATGATTTTGGCACCTCTAGATGGCCGGAAATGGCACTCTTAGACCTAAATTTAATTATAATTTTGTAATTTTGAAAAATGTAGGGGAAGGGGGAGAGCCGGGACAGTTCGCCACCTTCCCCTTATGGTCCTTAACAAGGATTTAGATTAGACCTCTGGAGACTCGACGTGCCCACAGTGCAGCGCTGACCTAGGTCAGCACACCGGGAGATTTATCCTACTTTTTTGGTGTAGAGCAAAGTGTCCTACCAAAGGACAGGAAAAAGAAGGGTGGGATTCTAAGGTCGGTCTGTCCATGGTCTGTCTCACACCAAAGTCAATTCCCTCCCTACCTTGACCTCTTGGTATGGTTTGCATTGAAATAAAATTGGTCAATGCTGAAATATATGCTGCAGTACTAGATTATTGAATCTATTTCTGTATTAACAACACAATCTGAAAATAATACATTTAATTGAAAATAAAACCTATATTTAATTTTGTTATTATATATTTAATTTATCTTGAAATCAATAATTGCATTGATAAAAATTGATGTTATTTTATTCGACTGAGCACAAATCCTGCAAGATTAATTAGAGCTGCTTGTTCCTGAGATGCTTTTAATTGTTTGATTTGTCTGATGGCTTCATCACAATGACGTTCAGCTAAAAACCTTGTCTGTTGTATTCCATCACTCTACAAAAAAGAAATTAAAAAAGATTTATAATTAATAAATTTACTTTGACTTTCTATCCTGCATCAATAGAATATAAACACATGACACTAGAATTTGAATGCAAGAATCTTAACTACCAAACAATGGCTCATATTTCTCTCACATTTATTTTATACGACTATTTAAATCTTTTAATTGATTAAAGGAAGGCTACCAGGTATTGTATTCTTCTATGATGGCAATGAAAGTATTTTTCTTGGTATAGCTAATCCAACTATCACCTGTCTTGGATGGTTGCATAGTAGACCTGCACCACCTGATGATATCAAACAAATGCTGCAAACCTGTCCCAACCAAATTCTTCCTCATGGACAGGTGAATAGTGATTTGTAATGCTTGGGGACCAATGCACTCATTTACTTTACCCAAGCAAACATGCACACACACACACACACACACATGTGGTGGCTCTATGATATACATTCAAAGGGCCAGACAACTTCCAAGTTACAGCCAGCAGGTTCAGATGTGCAGCACTGGTAGGTAACTAAGTTAAGTATGATCCATTTTAAGCTTTTCTCAGATAGGTTTTAAACACGTCCATACAATTAATAAAAAGTGGATATTTTGCCTTTGACAAGCAAGTTGTGGCCAATGACAGGCTTTGCCTGTCTCACAGAAGAATTTAAGCCTCTGCTGGCAATGCCGCAGACACAAACAACTCTGCTACAAAATATTTCTACCTCAGAGTCAAGACAGATCAATTTAGTATAAAATTGTTCTCACCTCCTCAACAGCTAGCCTAGCTTTATCAACATCACCCTCTTGTCTGAACCGTCGCATGATCATTTCATGGAGTTCAGGAAACTGAATAAATAAAGAAAAAAATATGACACAGTTAAACAACAAAAACAGTAAAGTTTTAAGAAACTTTCCACATATGAAATGAAAATGTTAGTTGAAACATAGTAATTAAAATTATACATGTATCAACTTATATACAAGAATATACAGTACTATATTTTAGGCGAGAATATTTTGGAATTAGTGACAATTATTATGTTTCATTGTAGCAATTACTAGCTATAGCTTCAGGAATATGCATGAGGAACTGTAAAAGATCCTAAATGTATTTTATTAATAAAAGATTATTAACAAGCATTCTACCTTATCAGCAGCAAATAAAACAGGAGCTGTAGCTAGACCTAGATTCAGATCAGCTGTGGTTGGTTTGCCAAACGTTGCACTGGAAGAAACAAAGTCTAGGACGTCGTCGATCAACTGGAAGGCCATGCCGATGTTGCGTCCAAAGTTATAGGCTATATCGCAGACTTCAGGATGGCTGTCCCCAAGGATTGCAGCCTACAAGTGAATCATTACTTTTCACAAAAGCAGAATATTCAATGTTTGATAGACAACAAGTGCCCATTAAAATATTACGCAAACTATATGTAGATCATCCGCACATTTTAAGGATTCTGGTCTCAAGTGGTTAAATAATATTTACATTATTATCCTTTTTTGTGCATCACCAAGAGTTAATCTAATATAAATATTTTACTAAGATTTCCATTCAATTAACCAACTGAAGATAAATTAGGAAAAAAACATATTGAAATGAATGAGATGTGCTTCTTGATCCAATTGGGTAATGATGGCTTCTAAATAGTTTCATATTCTTATGTAAAATGTTTGAAAAAATAATATTTGTTGTAAAATATCATTAATAATAATGCTTGTGTTTGTGAAAATCCAAATATTATTATACTTTTAGTTACAGTAGTTTTAAAGTTTAAGGATTTAATTATTTTCATGTTCTTATGTAAAATGTTTGTAAAGATATTTTTTTTTTTTTGTAAAATATCATTTAAAATGCTTGTGCTTGTGAAAATTCAATTATTATTATATTTTTAGTTACAGTAGTTTACAAGTTTAAATGTACCCTCCACAAATTGCTTAAATTAACTACTCACAGCTTTACAGCTATTTGCTATCAGGCTAGCTGTTTTCTTATAAGTCTTTAGGAGGTAGTGATGAAAGCGTTCATTCTCGTCTTCTTTAGAGCCAAGTTGCATAAATTCACCTGTGAAAATTAATTGAAACAACATGTTCGGACACTAAAACAAAATGTTTTGAGTGAAAATGGTAATAAATAAAAAAAATAAGACAAATGTATTTGGAGTTAGGAGAGAGAAATGTGGGTAAAAATGGAAGTAAACACAAACATTTTTGCTGTGTACTATCCACAATGGTTATTAGATTGATGTTTTGCCAAAGCACAGTTACATTTGAAGTATGCACTTTTTGAAGGACTAATTCTATGGTCTATGGCCAACATAACTCACACCTCATGCATTTTAGATGATAAAGTGATAAACCACATAGCTAAAATCTATGGCATCAAATTTATGAATCAAAGTCTCGCAAAGTGGGTCCTTGAAACGCAATACAAGTATGCTGGTTTCCTTCATGGTCAGAAAACAAAATTTTCCTAGAAGAAAAGCAGACTTTAGATTTATAAATAAACCAAATTTTGTATAAATACAAAATTGGGTTGATTAGGCATATTTTGGGTCTTACCTCTCACCAAGTCTTCAATGACCTGGCTTAACACAACTATTACATTCTCATTCCTAAGCCTAGCTAGTAGAAGTGACGCTACAGATAACACATAATCTCCAGCCAGTATTGCCTTCTTTTCACCCCAAACTTTATACACAGTGGGCTTGCCTCGACGAGTGGGTGAGGCATCAATGACATCATCGTGTATAAGGCTAGCTGTGTGGATCATTTCTGTAATCATAGCCAGCCTGTATTGTGAGTGCAGCAATGTTCTGTAAAGATGTAAAAAAAAATACATGATCAGAATTTAATATCCACTTTTTTCCAAAATTCTCACAATACCTCTATTAAAATTCTTATCTTAGACTCTTTTCAAAAATATATTATTTTAAAGTAGTTTACCAATTTTATATAATTTGATACTCAATTCCATAATATCATATTTTTAAAATTATAAATCGTAAACGTAAAAGTATACGTAAAATGCTCTCACCTAGATTTGTGATGACGTCGCAGGTACATCACTCCATTTTGGTTTAGTGACAGGACATTGTAATGCACAGGTTTAGGATGATTCTTAGACGAGTTGTTCATATTATTATTATCAGTTCTCAAATTATATAATTTAAGCTAATCAACTTGCTTTGTATAAATATTTAAATTATTTAGTTTCAGTTGAATAGGGTTTTTTCTATCAAAGACATTTATTAAATCAAATAACAGATGTTTAAATAATACTATCCTACATTATCTGCATTGACCTTGCTGGTAACTTTAAATTAATTTAGAATTTTGTGTATAAAAACAATGAATAAAGTTTTTCCTTGATAGTGTCTTAATAGAAGATGATCTTTTAAATGTGTAATTCAAAGTTTATTTCTAATTTTGATTGGTTTTTCTCAACGACATTAGTATATAGCTTACAAAAGGATAGACAATTTGATGCTGTTTTGCTGTTTTTGTGTATGTTTACTAATAATTTTCTATAAAGTAAAACCAGCAACTGTGCATCATGAAATTATATATTTTTTGCATTATAGTACTGTACATTATATATTACACAATTTTTTTTTTAACTGACTGACTTCTGAAAACTAGAAAGAGCAAAAATTAACATTGTAAAAATCTTACCTACTATCTTGATTGTGATGTGTATTACATGCTTTGGACATAAGTACAACCATCATAGGTCGGAAAGCTTTTCCCTCACCATCAAAGTGGTACTGTGATATAATCCTGAGCTCATCATTTGAGGTATTCAATTCCTATGGAACAACAATATTTGTTAATTTCACAACATTCAAATATTGCACTTTTGTATTCAATTCAGTGTGAGGCTCAACAGCCTAAAATCCAATGTAAAGGATAAGATTATTAGAGTAGGCCTACTGTGCCTTACTGTACCTAATAATACAGAAGAAAATCTGTGCTGGTTTCGAGCCAGAAAGCAAATTTGCTTCCAAGTTCATTCTCTTGGCGGCTGTCTTTAATATACTATGACACTACACTTGCTTTATCACAGCCAATCACAGACACAGCTTAGAATACTTACATTAATTGTAACCAAAAATAAAAAAGAGTAAATACATTTTTTAAGCATACAATTTTTACTACAGTAAATACCGGTAATGACATACCTCTTGTATATCGGAACACAGCACTGAAAGATCTTCTTTGGCCAGTGTCTTTATTGTTTCATCAACTGAGTTAAGGTTGGTAGAATATTCCCTAATTTATCAAATTGTAATAAACATGAATGCAAGTTGAATGATAAAATGGCTAAAAGTTGAACAAGCTCCACAGTATAAAGAATAATTAAATAATCAAAATAAAAACATCAAATTGAAGAAATCCAAGGAAAACCACATAAGAAATTTTTTTTTTAAACTTCAAAAAAGTATGAAAACGAATACAACAGGCACATCTTTTAGATGACTTTTGAAACAAATTCTTACCTGAGGTATGTTTTTCTTAAATTTGTTGAGTTCAATCGAATATTTTTTGTAGTTATCATATATCTTCTTGTGATGTTGGGCAGTTGCTTCTGTTATTGAGATAAATAGTGTAAAATAGTATTAAAACAATATAGGATAGGCCTTTATTTTATCACTAACAAAACAGAAGCTTGTTGCTAGAAGTACAATGAGTACCGTGCGTGTTTTAACACCGGCACAACATCGATAGCCTCTACACTTTTCCAACTACTTTGCCTAGGCTATCTCTAGGCCTAGTCTAGCCACACGCTAGGCAGCCATAGCGAACCCCCTGTCCTACCCTATCTGTTAATGCCGGTAAAATCGTGAGGCCGGTTAAGATATCAATCTCCAATGCACTGCTTACCTGTATGGTATATGATGTACAATGCCTTACACAATACATACAATGAGGGTTTATTGAAGTTTTAGCTACATTTAATTTTAATTTAGGAAGTAATATAACATCATTTCGTAAGTAAAACTGTACCCGAAAAGTATTTCGTAGCCGCATGGACGTCGCCATTTTAAAATGAATGTAATATTGCCAGAATGTAGAGAATTGCTTCACATTACTGTTTGATGCAATTTATTAAATTATTGTGAATGATTTTAATTCATAAAAATATTTGATTTTAATTCATTTGGTTGTAAACGCAATAATACCTATTTGATTAACTTATGGAGGTTATTTTTTTATTAATATGTACCATTTGGATTTAAGTAATTTGAATATATTCCTGGCAAACATTGTTATTAAACATCCGATAATTCCAGAATATCATTTCTTCAGGTCTCTCTGCTCTGTAGGCTAGGTTGATATTCTTTCTCTTCGAAGTAGCAATTTGTTGACTAAACAAATTAAAATGACTGCACCTAAGCCAGAATTGTGCGAAAATGAAAAGCTTATTTTCAAGAACATCGAATCTGGTAAGCCTACTCTTCAATGATGAGCCACTGTTGGCACTGATTTGGAAATCAGGACAGACTTGAGACATCTTCTTTGTTGATGATGTTGTTGATGATGATTACAGGTTATGATAATGTAAAGCCTATCAAGGCATTGTGTGTGTGTGATTTTTGTGAGCCGGACATTTGTAATCTAGACATTCTATCGTCACCCAGACATTTCATGTTTCTCTTCACTCCGTTTCATGTTTCTTTAATACCCACTTCCTTTTTTGCTCCGCTATAATGATTATTATTTTTTAGGTAGGAATAAGTCAGTAGGTAGACGCAGACAAAATAATGCATGAATTTAACTGTTATGTTTTCATGCAAAAAATATCCCATGGATTTGTGTATTTTTTTTTTCTCTTTTCTTTCTCAGAATAAAAAATATTTCCGTAAATGTTTTCAATGGCCTATGTACATTTAAAATAACATTTCAGAATAAAAAATATTTCCATAAATGTTTTCAATGGCCTATGTACATTCAAAATAACATTTCAGTTATAGGTAAAGTGGCGGGTACGCTGAATTGTCAATATCTGGGTACCCGGGTAAATTCCATCTGCTGCTTACATTGTGTTTTCAACTGGAACTGTTATGTTTTAATGCAAAAAATATCCCATGGATTTGTGTATTTTTTTTTCTCTTTTCTTTCTCAGAATAAAAAATATTTCCATAAATGTTTTCAATGGCCTATGTACATTCAAAATAACATTTCAGAATAAAAAATATTTCCATAAATGTTTTCAATGGCCTATGTACATTCAAAATAACATTTCAGTTATAGGTAAAGTGGCGGGTACGCTGAATTGTCAATATCTGGGTACCCGGCTAAATTCCATCTGCTGCTTACATTGTGTTTTCAACTAGAGCGGGCAAAAAGTATCAATACCGCACAGTCTTTTTGGATGAACGTTTAAACCATTATTCCTGCATGCGATATAACTCGTGTAAAAAGAAGTAAACACTCTTCGGAAAAGAGTAGGGGATTGTCTCCCTGGACATATTTTTATCACCAGAAGGACCCCACTAGAAATAAGTCCTCAGACTTTTGGGGATTAGGCCTAATCCTTGATGCAATTCCTCCCGAATATATCCAATCGATTGGAAATTTAAAAATTGTCATGCACAATGACTGCACTGGTCTGAATTCAGAAGGTTTTTGATACATTGACTTTTGAAAAATTATAAGATTCTATAGTTAAAGTTGGTTTCATTTACTTAAAAAATCTGCGCACATGACATCATAATTGAATCATAAATACGTGCATTCCCATATCTGTAAAAAAATCATAGTTTATTCTTATTTTTTCTTTTAAACCTTTTTTAGGTAATGTGGACATGGTTCGTAGCTTGCTTAATCAGCCGGATGTAAGGATTGATGCTTTAGATGAGGTATGGTGGACATTGTTTGCATCCATTGTCACATACTCTAGCCTATTCTAGCTTACAGTAGCAACTTCGTCATATTTAATATCCTTCCTTTGTGTATGTAATGTAATTTATACAAATTTTTTATAGTATTTCATATAGCGCTTAAACCAAGTTTCAAAGTACTGTTTTAAAAAATTGAAAAAAAAGAGATGTGTTAATTTTTAGACGGTTCTTGAAAATGTTGAGAGAAGGGGAACAAGATACAAGATACTCACCATTCATCACCCAAATATTTTAGAGATGTAATTTGAATTAAGACCAAACAAAACCATTGTATTTTTTTGTGTTGCTTCTCCAACCTTGTTAAATGACCATGACTATTAATGTCACTAAGAATGGCCACCTTTTTTAAGCATTTAAGACTTATATGCCTCTCCTTTACTTTTGCACTTTTCTCGTACCGTAAGTTTTCTTTTCATCTGCCTAGTTGGATATTCAAGCAAATAAGGACCTTTAAATTCAACATATTATTTTTAATAATTATGGTTAGTTGTTTTCTTCAGCCAATATGATTTTAAAATTACTATCAAAGATAAATGGAATTATCACATATACAGTACTTGTATGTTGATTTGTGTTTGTGTGTGATTGTTAACATTGTCATTAAAATCATTACTATCAGCATGGTTATATCACCATGGCAACTTTATAATCATCATAATCATCACTATTATCATTCCCATTATCATCATTGTTGTCATTATCATACATCATTGATACATTTTTTGATAAACATATATTTGATTTATTAAATCAGTATTTATCTTCCTGTAGCATGGTATGACCCCATTGCAACATGCAGCTTTTAAAGGGAGTCATGAACTCCTTCAACTCTTCTTAGCCCATGGAGCTGATGTTAACAACAGCCAACATGAAAACGCCTACACTGCACTCATGTTTGCTGCAATCTCAGGTTTGTTCTTGCAGCAGCAATTACAAAGTAGCTTACCATGGCAACCACTATTCTTCTTTAATTAATTATAATAATACATAAAATTATATATAGCCCCTCCATTCTTTATGCCACAAATGATATTATGAATCTCCTAGAAGTGTTTACTATCTCTGGCATAAGATATAACATTATGGTAATTAACCATCATGAGGTAGTAGAATTTGTTTTTAGCGGCTAGTTTTTGGAGCTGGTTTAGCCAATACTTCTAATCTATGTTAATTTTTCTTGTAGTGCTTGTACAAATCACTATATATCTCATGTTGAAACACATTATTTGTATGGTTTTTTTCCCTTATTGTTGTTGATCTAATGTTATTTTTGTTATTGTATTATTATTGTTTTTACCCTCCTGTTGTTAGGCCATCAAACGATTACAAAGCTGTTACTAGAGGCAGGTGCCAAGACAACATCACTGAACTCCGTAGGCCGGACTGCTGCCCAGATGGCTGCATTTGTTGGGCAGCACACTTGTGTTAGCATCATCAACAACTTCTTTTCAAGGGATAAGCTTGAATACTACACCATACCACACGGTAAGCTCCCCATCAATTTGTTTTATATATTCATTACTGCAATTATCTCAATTATTATTGATCCTGCTTATTTATTTCTATTGAATATTTTTTATTTTGCTATGATTTGTATAGGATTTGAGAAAGAGCCGAAGTTATCTCCCCATCTCAGTGGATGTGTATACAACCTTGTCCTCATCAACAACCTCAACCCTGTTAAAGTGAGTCTTAAGTTAAGAATGGTATTCAAATCAAATTTTCTATTTTTTTTTTTTTTTTTTTGCATATTTATTTTGGCATATCTACAAATACAAATTTCACAAAAAATAACTTATGCCCATTCTGTTTCTAACCCATATGCTTGTCACTACACTACATACTGTCATTATCATTGTCATCATCATCATCAACATAATCATCATCATCATTGTCATAATCAGCATCATAACCATCATCATCATCCTTATTACCAACATCATCATAATTGCTATTAATATTATTATTATTATTATTATTATTATTATTATTATTATTATTATTATTATTATTACTACCATCATCAACATCTTGATCATCAGTAGCATCATCATCATCATCATTGTGACTCACAGTAGACTCCGGGGCTTGGTAGCTATTGAATCTCAGATCAAATCTTTTTAGTATTTGTTTGTAAATAAGTATCTTTTTTTTTTCATTCCTTTCAATGTAAATGTCGTGCATTTCAGCCATCTAGCTGCAATTTGGCTTGAATAAATTGAAATTAAATTATATGAAACCACTTTCCAAATTGGAATTCAAATAAAGTATGGCCACCAATATATATCCAATTTCTCATCTATTTAATTAGCATTATGTATTCTTTGTTCAACACTTCCTGGTTGGTTGTCAGGTACAACAAATCTGCTGCCAGGTGCAATACATTAGAAAAAGCTCTCAGAAATTAATTAGAAATATTAATACCAAGTTTACATTGTGACAATGATTAATTTGTAATTGGTAATTCTTTGTCTGAGATGACATAATTTATTAGTTGACAACATTTGTTTTGCAGATATGAATGATTACAACTAGTAAAAGAAAGGGTACAGTATGGGAATATGTAATGTATCACGATACAACCTGCAATGTAGGATTGATTATCCTAAAATGAACCATTAGAGAAAATTCTAGAATGTTTATAATACTAGGCTATCTGATTTTATTTATTTTTCTATTCAGAATAATTTTCATTATGTTCATAGATATACAGTTACATGACTATGAGAAGAATTTACATTCAAAATGGTGGAATCTTTTAAGCAGATAGCTTAAATTTGCATTTTTTTTTTCATGTCTTTGATGTTTACTGAAATTGTAATATGATACTCTTTTTAGTCAAATTCTTTGATAAGTAATTGTGGAAGTATGGATACATATTATTTAAACAATTGTAAATGAGATACAAGGTTTCAGGCCTTGGAATTCATTTTATAACTAATGAGTATGTTGTAGGGTTTCACTACCTGTAGGTTAAAAAGATGTAGTACTTCATTTTGTCTTAATTCTAATTTATTTCAGGTATATTATTCTGTTATTGAAGGGAATGAATGTTAACACTGTACATGAGCCTCTAGTGTAATCTTAAAGATTGGTGAATGTAAATCAGGTGCCTTGCAATCTCAGAGTACTAGGTTAAAATTCTGTTACTTCAGGAGTTTTTATTTAAATTAAAAACTAAAAAAAGGTCTAAGTAGGCCTGTTGTAAGTGATTAGACATTTGCTGTTGGATGAAACTTAAGTAAATACTTTTACAAATGAATATTTTTTTTTATTTGAATTTATGGGCCTAGAATTGTAGAGGCCAGACATAATCACTTTAGAAAACCATCAATATATTTCTCCTTCAGATTTGTTTGTTTGTGCTGAAGAACGAAGAGATACTAAATAATGCAACTTGTATCGCAAGGGTTCTTGACTGTATCTGTGAGCAGCAGATGAAACAGAAGGACACTAACGAGGTATTATCAATGAAAATGCACTATTTGTCAGCTATCCTGCGGACATGTCACAAGTACTTGGTTGAAAGGAACGAACCTGTTAGCCAGTTCATCAAATAGTAAGTGCCATTTGTTTCGCCCACACATTAATGGTGTTCACTCCGATATAACGACAAATGTCATCTGTCTGATGATGCTTATCAGTTTTGTCGTAATCATCATGGCTTCTTCACTGGGAATTGATGATTGTTCTCCTACTATCATTCATTAGGCACACTTTTGTTGTTTCTAAAGCCCTGTCCAGAGTATCTAATTTTATGTAACCAAAACATGTGACATGCCTGAATTATACACCTGCCAACTCTCATGAGCATTCACTTTTTACATCTCCTGCATCATAAAAATGTTTATAAAAAATATAATGTATAAAAGCCGAATTCGTCATTAAAATGCGAATGCTGGTCATATAAATTTCTTTTAACAAAGCTACACCGACCACAGACTGTAATCCATTACATTTTTTTTTAAATAGCAGAGGGAGCACTATTTGCAATTATTACATAGAGGGCACTATGCACATTTTAGTTTCTTGGTTTTTTTTGCGCATTAGAACCAACAAAGTTAGCAAGTATATAGGCACATCATGACTACTCTATATATAGGCATTCAACAGTGGTTTTTTATCAATTCATATACTTTTCAACATTTCTTTGTTGCCTTCTGATTGTTTTTATACCAATTAAAATGAAATGAAATTCTATAATCTGGATAAAGCTTTTGTCTGTGGGTCATCACTTTTAAACCAAGGTGTAATAGACTATTACAACCACAGGTTGATGTTGTACTGCTGCACCTATTTGTTAAGTGACAGGTCAATCAATTTAACATATAAACAGCCTCCATAACTTTATATTACTGAGTGGAATTTTCTTTTTCAAGCTTGCTTATTGGCAGGGAAACTGATGGTGCACAACTTAACATGGACAAGTACATCCGAGTAACAATAAGGGACTTTCCCTATCATGATGCTGCTCTGTTTCAACAGTTGGTTCGGAGTCTAGCAGACCAAAGTGTAAGATATTTCCCGAAAATGTAATATTGAAATTGTATTATTTCTGTGCTTTATATTTTTAATGTCATGTTTTTATGATGCTTGTAATGGCGACCTGATCTGAATTGCCCCATGTGCGATTAATAAAGATTGATTGATGATTGATTGATAGATTAACAAATGGAAACTTTATGCACATGTACAGTATTTGTTTTTGGGAATTTATGTATATTTAATATTTGGTCTTCTTCAGAATGAGCCTGCTGCACTCTCTTGTCTGGTACAGGTCATTAATGGTCTACACATGGCGACGGATGAAAAGATTTGCTCGACATGTGGAGAAGCAGGTGCACAGAAGAAATGCTCTGCCTGTAAATTGGTGAGAATTACTGCACAAATCTTGATAATGTCATTCATTAAAAATATATTGTGTTCCCACCACTGGACTTTTTCTGAACAGAAGAAATACTTATACTTTAGTTAATAAAAATCACCTTATTTTACCAACATAACACCCCTCACTTAATCCCTGTGCCCTCCCTATCTCATTACTCTTAGATACACCACTGCATTTGGCAAATGCATGAATGAAAAGTTGTTCATTAGCTTAACACTGCTCAACATAGACAGTAAATCTTTAATGACATATTTGTTGTGCGTGATCATTTTGTGTAAATTCCCTATAAATCATGTTAAAAACAAATTTCATCATTAGTTAATGGCATCACTAGGTAATGACCAAACTACTGAGGATTGCTAGTGTATTTGATTAATTTTAAAGACATGGAACATTTTGGTCTATAGTATAATAATGTAATGAATTATCTATGCTTTTTTGTCTGGGTTTAAGCCATTCACATGCCTGTATTTTTTTGAATGACTTCAACTATTCCTCTAAGCCTTGTGTTGGGGATAATTTATTGAAAATCTTTATTTAATTTAATTTATTTTATTTAATATTTTTATTTTTTTTAAATATTCTATCTTAATTTAATTAAATATTTGTAAATATTGTGATACAATGTTGATTGATTTCAGTGCAATTATTGTGACCAATCCTGCCAGAAGCTTCACTGGTTCACTCACAAGAAAGCTTGCAAAAACCTCACAGCTGAACGCAAAAGATGCGAAGTGGAAAATAAACAGCAAGCGGAGAATGAGGAGGAGAGTCAAGCAAAGGAAGATACTAAAAATGGTGAGAAAGTACACAAAGGTAGTGAGGTGGAGGAAATCAAGACAAAAAAAGATGTAGGCAAAGGTAGCAATGGTAAGTAGTAGTGATTATGATGATTATGATATTAATATTGATAAAGGTAGATTACTTTAATGTAAAACTTAATGTAGCATAAAACAAAAAAAAAGATGTAAATTCCATTTATAAAGTAAGTAAATATTATTGTTCAATTTTCCTGAAAACCAAATTAAGAGTAGAGTGAAAAAGTACAGAAATAGATTATATATGCCAGCATTAATAATACATTGTATATTATTTATAATGAAAGAATTAGAATTTATTTCTGGTTTGATTTTATATATGTCTGTCATGTATTATTATAAAGCTTTTGTTTTAATTGTGGCCATTGTATTTTTAACTGTTTGTTTGATCAGTTTTTTAGCCATATGTCCTTTTGATGTAATTATTCCGCTTACAAAACAGGAAGACTAAGGAGCAGTCTACTTCACCTAAAGAATACTGAAATATATAAATTTTGAAAAATTAATAACATGAAATTCAGTATTTTGATTGCTTATTTTATATACTCATCATAGAAAATTAGAATTGTTTTAAAAATTGTTCTCACCAATACAAAAATAATACAATGCATAGCTTTGTGTAGATCCTTATACTCACTATATTTTTACTTTTAAATTCTGATTGTATTCTCTACACAGATACAGCATCTGAGGCTAGCAAACCAGAAGAGGTCACGCAGAAGGAAGCTAAAGAGGGCCACCATGCAAAGATCAAGGGGGATATGAAAGCGCTGTCTCTAGATGACATCACATTGAGTGAAGACATGAAGAAAATGCTGAAAGAGCATGCAGGAAAGATACCACTAGGCTGTCCATTTTCTGGGATGGGTAAATAGTAAGTAGGACAGCCTTTGCTATGCTGTTGTGCTTTCAGTCAGTCGATGTTAGCTGTTGCTCAGATCGTACAATCCCACATGACATTTGAGGGATCACCATTACATGTTTTTTCAACACCAGATATATGCATTATTTTGTCTACATCATTGTATTAACATTTCTCAAGGGTCATAGTTCATAGATGGGACAGGGTATTAAGCTCTCTACACACTATCAAATTTTCTTAGGCAAAAAGCTGTTATATGCCCATGTAGTCACAATGTGCCTATATATGGTCATGATGTGATGTCATCTTGACCATATTTAGGCATGTCACATGTTTTTGTCAAATAAAATGTGATAGTGTTGACAGGGCTTTAGTATTTTAAGCAGCTATAGTGTATGATTTAACAACCCTAAAGAGCGATTCATAAGAAATTCTTTTCCTTCCATACTTAAACAAAATAGGCAGCGGGAGCATGTGTTTACTGCTTGAAGTTTTTTTTTTTTTGCTACTTTCTATGTGAGGACTTGATTATTGTAAAATTTCTGGTTGAAACTCTTGGTCACTATTCATTTGTGTGGTTTTTAGGGTGGATTACAATTACAGTATGGGTTAATAATAAGTAAGTGCATACATTAAGCTGAGCTTTTGAAAATAATAACCTAGCACGATTTCTGTGTTGGCAATTCACATGAATAACTGTACAAGTAAGAGGTTGTCAACCTTTTAGTTATTTCTAGGACAGGTCTAACTGTTCATTTCTATATTTCACTTATGACGCAATGGTATTCCATCATTCCTCCAACTGGATTTACTCTTACAACTTACAAGAGAGATGATAGCAAAGTATCTGCTGCCCCCACAAGGAGGCAGTAGACACACAAATTTACTTAAATGTAAATCATTAGAACTTGGTTCTTTGCTTAAAATCAACCTGACATATCATCTAAATAGTTTTGGAGCATCTGTATGAAACTTGTTTATGTACAATTCAGAAGTGTACAAAATGAGAAGTTTGGTCGAACTTCCAAATTGGTCGAAGGGAGTTGAACAAGTTAATGAATCAATATTCAGAAAAAAAATGTCGGACTAAATATGTGGTGTGCTTACAAGAGACATACAGTGATTTGACCTAAACAATGTTTTTTTTAATATTGCTATAATATTAATTCATCAGACTTTACAAGTAATGCATTGATCAATCAATCAATCAAAAATGATACATAGATTTAGGTGCTTCAAAGAAATTTAGCTATCGTGTAGGGCCACATTTATCCAACAGAACAATTTTTCATGGTAGAATGTAGGTTGGTATTGTTGGAAAATATTAAGACAATTGGTGCAATCTTCTTATTTCGTGTCTCTTCTCTCTATTACTCACCATCGAAGTATTACTAAAGTATATACCTTTTGCACAACTTGTTTTATATGCATTGATAGATTGTACGGGTCTATGAGTTACTGTTAAATGTTGATATTTTGGTGTTTGTTGTGTTATAGGTGACATCGTATTATCTAGTTTAATGGTTGTTGATTAGTGTATGCAGTGGAATATTGTATGCTAGGCAGAGTTTAATTTTATATATGGGGCAACTTCTATACTGGGAGAAAATACTAATTAAAATAAACTTTTTAAGTACAGTGACTTTATTGAGAGGTGAGATTTTAAATTACCATACCTATAAATACTTCATGTTTTACGGCTTAAATGTTCGATTTATAGGGGTCTCAGGTTGGGAGGTCTATTGTATTGAGCTTTTTTAACATATCTTGATTGTACTTTACTGTGCTTCATCATATCATTGGCTAGCTAGCTTAAGTAAAACAATAATGCTCTAGTAAAAACATGCAAATGTTCTGAATTTGCAGGAGATAGGTTAGTCTCTTGGAGATTTTTTTCACAATTCGCATTAATCTTTGGACCAAATTAGTTGTAATTGAGAATTGGTTGTCAATTGGAATAAAGTAAATTTGAGGTTAACCTGTTTTAATTCATAGTTACCACTCAAAATGTGAGTGCCATTCACATAGAATGTGCATTATAGCAAGTTAATCATTCAGCCAGCAAGACAAATCTGATAACTCCCTATTTGGAGGTTAGCAATACTAGTGAAACCATCTTGTAGTTTCTGTTGACTGAATAGCTGTTCTTGTGTCTTATACTGTATTGCATTTCAATGATCATTCACTTTACTCTTATAAAAACACTATGTACTAACTGAACAAAAATAGGAGCCATATTAGTAAGATAATCAATGCAAAACAAATAAATCAAGGTGCTACCCATTTTATTTGTTTTATAGTATGTGTTTTTAAAATTTTTAAAATACTATACAGTTTTGTGTTGTTGTATCAACAAATATATAAGAAAATACTTGGTGTCCAAACCAAGGATTTCTGTGCTATTGAGCCACTTTTACTGTTGCTTTTTGCACTATGTAGATTTTGGAATCAGACCAGTTGTAAAATAGAGTGTATCCAGGGTCCCTGGTTGGAAGAATCTGCATCCGAGAGATCTGTTTAAATGAGCTAACACATCTTATTATATTTTGCTGTGCCTGGTGATACCAATTGGCACTGACTTCCGGGAGAGACAATTGATAATACAGTAGCAAAAATTTCAAAAAACGTAGTGAATGTGCAAGAGACGAGTTATTTTTCCGGTACATTATTGCTTATTCACAAGAGTATGGGAGGATTTCAGAAGACTTCCGCGATATCTGGGAGACTTGGGAACCCTGGTGTATCATACTTTTGGTGTCGTAAATGAACATTTCAACTGTGTAATTGATACTGTGTAATAAGTCACTGATATTCAAGTATTACACTGCTGGATACTACCGTATGTACTCTGTATTCATTGATGCACATTTTTTTGTTGTTTGTGGTTTTTGCAGAATGTATATAATCATGTCTACACACTGTATGTGGTAATATCTTTATGACAAACCAGTTTATCACCAAACTTTCTGTAATCTTTTGTAAGTAAAATGTATGTACAGTATAATTAAAAGTTATGCGAAAGTGATGCCTTCTCTTTTGTTAGAATAAGCTTAGTTGTATTCGAGTTCCAACTTGATTGGTGTTTAATTTCATGTGTAAAGATATAATTGAAAATTTCTTTTTATTTATCTTCTCTCTAAATGTTCACGCTCAACGATCTTTATACAATGCTCTCTCAGTCGCACAACGCTATCTCACGCTACAGTATGCCTTCTTCCTCACTCACCACCACAATTACAGATGTAACAAATATGATCACTATGAACTAGTATAACTAGACTTACTATGTCTGTTTGAACAACAGAACATAGGGTTTTTCCCCATTGCTTTAATGAGAAATGAATGCAAAGTTAAACACTCACGCGACAGGTCTGCATCGGGGACAGTTGTATCTTGGAATATTAAACATGTTTAATATTCTCGCGACGACCTAAAGGCTGCTCCCAATGATAAATCGCGTCAGGCTGCGTTGTACAACGCTGTGTTGACCTTAAGTGATTCGACAGTAAGAATTTTTGGCTACGGCTGAGGGATAGTGCCATTTACAGCAACAACTGGATCCACCACCATTTATTTCCTTTGGTGAGAAAGCTGTCTGTCAAGTCTTGCTAAGCAAATAATATGGAGATGCATTCTAGCATCTTATGTCCCTGTGTCGACCTCATATAAGGATATGCATTTCCTAAGGTCCTGGTTTGTTAACTTTTGCCACAGTAATCTCTAAATTTTGCCAGACTTTCCATTTAATAATTTATGTGACATAAAAATCTTGACTTTTTTTTATTTCGGCCACCATTCCCTCTTACTTTCTTTATATTTAGGCATGTCATATACCAAACCCCTTTGCTGAACATTTAAAAAGAAAAACTGGACACATTCTAGTTAGGATACAATGGGCCTTTCCGCTAAGGCCTGCCCCTTGGATATTAGGGAGCTTTTGATTTGTGCGACAATGCGACGCTAGAACCGAATCACTCATGCGTGACTGTCCTACATGGCGTCCTATGTTCTCTGAAGACGTAGATTTGGCCAAATTGCATTCCAGAATCCACTAGACGAGGTGACCTTAACGTTCTCGCATCCGCAGATGACTTTTAGTGATGTCATTACGTTCTACATCCTACCGTCGTCGTGCAATCGAAAGCTCCCTACTGTTTTTCTAAGGTCTCACAAAACAACAGCGTAAATGTTTGTGGGATGTGTGTGTTTGTAGGACGTGCTTATTCCTGGCCCTGTTCAGAGTGGTCAGTTGTTAAGATTGATTGGCATTACAGAAAGGTCCATCTTCCCATTTATTTATCTGTCACACATAATTGTTTGATGTTTTATAATGACAACTCAAGATGCTAAACATACATTTTTTGAATACAGAGCCTAAAACATAACATTAATCACACAACTGTACAAAATGATTAAATGGATTTACCTTAGGACATGTTTTATTCAACATTATGTACATTGTACTTTGAGAGGACTACTGTATTCAATATGTTATTGTACTCTGTTTTAGAGGGAAACATGTCTTAAATATTGACCTTGAGCTTTATAAATATTTTAATTCACATTAAAAAATATAAACGGTTGAATAGAATGTAAGAAATACACATTCAGACACACGTGTGCAATAGAATTGGCAAGATATGGTATATAGTTACATAAACATAAAAATACTGTAGATAAAATTGCGCCTGATAAAAATTACAAGTAGCAACAAAAGAAATCTGTTTACTTTGGAATTGGCATAAGATTTTTAAAAATACATAAAAAGAACGGCCATAAGACATACATAACATTTAAATTTCTGCCAACAACAGTATATGTAACATTTGAGCAACTGTAGACATTGTATCACAGTTAACCACAGGTCTGAGAGCAAAATTTAATCATAGACAGACTTTTTGAATGTGGAAAAAACATTATTTATTCATAATCCAATTGAGATGTCAATATTTGACCTTCAGTGAAATGTTCATTTTCCATTCTCAGCAGTATATTTTGCCAATAGTACATGATATGTTTGATCTCTTATTAAAAAAAAATATTATAGTAGCTTTCTATGCACTAGAAAATTTGTGGGTCTTAGAAGCCATTAGTGCATTCAGAATTGGTTACAATGCTTTGCCTTTCTATTTTTAGATTTGCTAAACATATTTATTCTCAAAACTAACAACTCAGCACATTAAACCTTGCAAGTGAGAGGTTTAATTAAGAATATATTCGATCCTGTAATTGAGTCCCTATAGCACTTGGATTAGAATGACATTTTTAAAAATAGAACATTGCAATAATTAGGAATAAAAGTACGTTTGGAATAAATAATTATAAAAAAAAATAATGCTTAAAAAAGAACTTGAAAATGACACCATGATGTAGTCAAAACATCATTCTTTTTTAAGTGTTAATTTTTTTTTTGTCCCAATAAATACCATCAACTTTGTCATCAGCAACTACATCATCATCAGCAACAACACTGTCCTCATCACAATACACCATACCCTCATTTGGACGGATTTGTGCACAAATATTCATTTTTATAAAATGCACCTTAAGAATACAAATACTTAAATACCACATTAAAAATAAAATCTATTAACAGTTTTATAGTCTTTAAGTATTTATTTGAAATATTTACAAATAATACCCAATCTGATTATCTGACAATGCTTTTGTTGAAGACTTCCAATATAATACATTCATTTCAAATGGATGACAGAGATTTAATGTTCAGTGTTCCGCTAAAATCAATGCCACTCGTATACACTGTCCTCAAGGCAAACTATATGTCGCCCAGGGAACACGCACAGGAAATGCTCTCTGTAACACAAAGTTGAAAGAATTATCAGTGGAATAATACAGTAGTTGCTCCAAAACATGGATGACAGTCACTGGCCATCTTGTATATAGAAACTTACATCAATGAAAAAATTAAAACATATCATATTATTTGCCTAGCCAGGTTTTCAATTTTCCAGCATAAATTCCATCAAAAACTGAAAATGTGTTTAATTGTTATTGTGATTTATCATGCCTGAATTTGTATAATTGTTAAAATTATTTAATAGTATGGTGGTCCAACGATAAAGATTCATTAAAAGACAGAAAAAGATGTTAGTATTTTTCTACCACTAGTGTTCAAGCTTAATGAATAATGCCAAAAACATCAATAGAAGTGCATGCTAAGTGGTTAGTGACCATCTATTTTACCTGCGGTAGATTTTGTTCGGAATACCGATTGAAGCGGTTCTCGAGAGCAGTGGTTCGAACCCAAGGTTTACTGATAGCTATAGAAGCATGCGGTTGAGTCCATGGTGCTTGGCTATGCATATCGCCCTACGGAACCACATAGGCATGGAAAATGAAACTAAGTGACTAACTCATGCATTGAATGAGGATATAGAAAGAGTGAAAGAAATGTGAACATATAATTAAATTAATCTGCCATCGAGGGCAGCATATTAATTACTTTTTTGATGTGACATTCTCAAAGCTGTGCAAACAGTACATTTAGAGTGCGGGCATGTAATGTTATGACTCAGCGGGTGTTGAGGTGAAAGCCCCATAATAAGTTTGTGCCACCCCTGATGATTTCCTGAGCAAAAAAAGGACACTTAGCTAAATATCACCTTTTTACCCCAGCCAGAAACCCTCACCTTCCTATACCACCTAATTGACCCCAAGTTACCCCCATGTTTATACCCCTATATTCCACTCTGATATGCACTGTGTCAACATGCCCCCTAAATTAGGAAATTTTCAAGTAAATACAAAACAAGAAATTTATAACTGTTTTTGGGGAAAATTATATTAATTCCTGTTTCAATAAATTGAAGAAAATATTGAATATAAAAAGCCATGCAAATTAGGAAAAAAATTGACTGCTATAAATGAACTAATTACATTAAAAATGAAGATGTGCAATTTGAAAGTGATTTATAACTGAATGAGCAAAAGTTACATCAGTGGTGGCTCCTGAAATTTGCTGATGACGGGGTCTGAAATGTCCGACAGCAGTGTCCAAACCAAGGGGCTGACTAGAGCCTTGATCAGGGTCCCAGAATAAAAATTTCGGGTAGGGTCCTGAGCAGAGTTTTTATGGCTTAGTATGGCCCCCACCCCCCCACCGGTACCACCACTGGGTTACATTATTTTACTGACTGCCATGTGGAAGGGATACTGTAATTGTTTCCACATTTACCACTACAAGTGTGATTTATGTAGTAGGACATCTTCTCATCATGCTCTTTCAGTACAGGGGTGACGCCAGGATTTGCCCAACGGTGGGTGCAGGGTCCCCGACGAGTGGGAAGATTCCCCCAACGAGAGCAAAGTGGGCGCTTTAAATGTTTCGTAAATAGTCCAGGTTGAAAAGCCCCCGAAAAATTTTGACAATTTAGGCGTTTCAAGGCTTATTTCATCGATTTTAGGGTCTACTAATATGTACAAAATACATATAATTTCTTTTCTCCCTGACGAATTGTGGTTTTTCTCCCCGACGAAGGGGATGGGGGAGCTCGCCCCAACGGGGTCCCTGGCCCCCCCCTGCTGGCGCCACCTCTGTTTTAGTATCAATTTAGCACAGAGAATGGCAAAGTATGTTAGATAAATTTAAATGTAAATCAACAAAAGCTTCAAGAATATGCCTGATGCTTGATCAAGAGAATTAGGATACAGTACACAAGAAACCTGGCAAGAATAAGCCCAATAAAAAAAATTCTTGTGTTGGCCACATTTTGGTAAAATCCAAAAAATGGGTAGGTCGGTAGGAAAAGTTTTTCTTTTTTATTATTTGTTTATTTTTTTTTACCAAAAATTATTTATGCCTAAAAAGTAGAAAATACACAAAACTTAAACAAAGGCCATATTAAAATATATATTGAAGAGCAAAACGATCGCATAACACTGTCGCATTGCCTACCGTCACAAAATAGGCCTATTCCAGCCTTTTAGCTCATTAAAAAATATTTTTCGATGTAAAAAAAATAAATAATTAAAATGCCGACTCTCAATTTTGAACCATTTGGGTCGGTTGGGCATGGCCAACACAATATTTTTTTTTATTTGGCCTAATGCCATTGCTAACTTCTAGGGTGAAGGTCTATATACAATGCAATGAGCCTATGAGCTTCCACCATGCAGACTACAATTAACATGTACCTGATATTCCTTCTCCATGTCCAGGGACAGGCGGTTATTGGTGGTTTTAGGAGCACCATGGCCTGGTTTACCCCAGGCACGATCAAAGTTTGTGTGGTGCTGGGGAAATAAAATGAACATCATATGACAATTTTTGAAAATAGTGAAGCAAGATACGTTTCAGCGTAGTACAGTTACAGTTCATTTGATGTTAAATAAATTATTATTACTAAGTAAAGACAAATAGATAATTATAATCAAAACATGATCAATAAGATACAAAATTATACTCCAACTTCCAATTGGAATTTAATAACTCACCTAAATATGCAATTCAAATATACTGTATACTTATTTTTCGCTCTAAGACAGACAGACATCACTAATTTATAATATTAATTAGTAACATTAATTAATTACATTTATCACAATTATAAGCTTTCGCAGGTAGCCAATCCTAGATTCATGTTTAACTATTCTTCTGTCTTTAAATAACTGAAAATGAGCTTCATACCACCAGACATGTGACAAAGGATTAATATGGTCCACAATACAGTTTGTAGTTACATTTCTTATTCTCTAGCTAGCATACCTGGGCAGATAAATCCCTTGAGGCTTGTTTTTCCGCCTGTTTGTTGATGTGTCGTTCCCTGGCTTGCTGTTCGAGATCACTGTTGTACTTTATCATTTCAGAGGGCCTTGCATGAGAACGAATATCCATTCTCTGCAAAACATCAATCACTGGTTAATATTTGCATATATTTTACAGATTTGAATATCCATTCTCTGCAAAACATCAATCACTGGTTAATATTTGCATATATTTTACAGATTTGCATAGATATGCATATGTCTGTAAATATGTTCAGTTTGGCACAAAACTTATGATATAATGCCTGGGGCAGATACAGGATTTGTCGGTAGGCAGTGTGTGAGAGTCTACACCACACCATCACCCCCACCATGGTTGGGGCTGAGATGAGAACATTTTGAGAATGGACCTCTACCTGCCCGAAAATTGTACTCTCAGTCTGTCATGCCTTAAAAATCTTACCGGTACTATGTTCATATCAACAATACAACAATTTTTTTCTTAATACAATTTAGGGGGGGGTGGGATCACACTGTCTGCACCCCCTATGCATCCGCCCCATGCATAGCATAAGTTGATTTCTTCTAATCCGAACAGTTCTTATCTACAAACTCACTAGCTTTGTGACATCTGAAACCGGTTTATGGTGTACAGCAAGCACTGCCCCAGTCACAGGGTCCTTTTTTGGATATCCAACCTCTTTTTCTCGGATCCATGGTCCAACCTCATTACCAGGTCTCTTAATTTCTTCTTCGATACTTCTTCTTAACAGCTGTTGCTCAAAAATCCCATTTTCTTTACATTTAAAAGGTTAAAAAATACTAATAAATCCACTATCAATTATTGGAGGTTGTTGTGGAATCAGGCATTGCAAGGCAAAAGGTATCTATATATTAAATTTGGGTTTGAAATCATTCAAATTAATATATACTTTGGATTAAAATTTAACCAATTTATTAAATATATTGAAACTTTAATTTAGCTGAATTAGGCTTTACATCGACAGTGATAATTCCACAATACAACATTTTCAAAGGTTAAAGAATTATCATATGATCCTAACAATACAATTGTATATAGATAAAATACAAATTCAGTGAATGTGAAGAATATGGAATGAAGAATATGCAAACAATATAAAAATACTAAGCAAATAATTATTAAGAACATGCATATGATATAGTTTTTGGCAGTTGTTTATAATCAGGCTACAAAGCAGAAGAAAGAGATTGATAAAGGTATCGTAAATTTGCATGTGCAAAGGAGAAAGAAAAACTTACTAAGGTCAGACAAATATTCTTGTTTAGCTTTCAATTCGTCAACATTTGGCTTTGAGTAGCCAAACTTGTCGGTCATCATCTTCCCACTGATCCCAGCGGCTAGGCGACCTTGTCCGTCCATCAAAGGAGCGCCTCCCCCAGGTTTTCCCCAAGGATAAAACCCACCATCTAGCTTTGTTTTCTGACTGTCTTTAAGTATTGGCTCTGTGAAGTAAATACAATGAGTGAAGTAGGCCTATATCCTAAAGATAAATCTAAAACTACAACAAAAACAGCAGTGATGGTGATAAAACCAAAATCAACAACCACAATTATTAAAACAACAAAAACAATGAAATTTTTTTGTTAAAGTTCAGTCACCCCAAACAAGGCCATGTTTGTGGTGACTTACCCACCTAACCACTCAAGGTAAGGGGTTAGGATAGTTAAAAGAAAATGGTTGACAGATTTTAAGATTTAAAATTTGCAAGATGAAAGAAAATTGGAATACTACTGTATCAGCTAGCTAAGTATTCCAAAGAGAAGCCAAATGATGAACAAATGAATTGAGGTGAGGATGAAGATGAAAATAAAACACTCTAAATAACAATTATGTCATAAAGATGATATTAATATAACGAAATGTTAAGTTAGTGGAGAAATTAAACCGGGTGAGTATGCAGGTGAAATTGAACAAACTAGTAGTGATGTTATTAGTATATTAGTGAGATACTTACATGGATAAACCGACAGGAAGGGCATTGCCAAGTACCGATCAAGCTTACGATTGGGCCTAGGCCCTTCACAAACTTGTAGCCTGCAGATAGTCGGTTTATCCAGGAAAGTATTTATAATGTGGGTAGGGTGCACAGGAAAACGTGATTTGATACCTGAATGACCCCTGGCTGTACGAAAACCTTAGGGAAAAAAGATACAGTTTGTAATATTTTACTAAATATGAAAGAACGTGGGAAAGAAGCAATTAATATCTAGCATTAAACAAAATGTTTTTGTCTGCCTGTATAAATTCCATCAAGAAAAATATTAATAAAAATATTTTTTTTTTAAATTTTTATTTTATTTCAAAATTTGTAATTCATCATTAATTTTATGTAAATATATATGCATAGAGAGACCTCCTTAACAATTCCTGGAAGGAAGGTTTTGTTGCTTATGTGTTCTGTTTTTTATTTTTGTATCTAGATGTTTTGTAAATAATAAGAACAAAATAAAACCTTGTCTTTAACTACTCACCTCCGGTTCGATCGTGGTCAAGTGTTACAGAAAACTTTGTTCTTTTCTCCCCCTTAGCATCAACATTGAATCCCCCGCCTCCAAAAGATTTAGTTTCTAATGCACCTCCCTGCAAAAATTTTAAATCAACTTTCATATTAATAATTGAAAATTGAAAATATTACTGCAATACACCACATAGCAGAACTCATTTGCCATTGTGGGGGTCTCCCAGTCTATTCCCCTGTTCATCATAATAATCATCCTTATTATATTTGGCATCAGCATCATAATTCAGTAATCTTTGCTATCATCATTGTTGTTGGCATAATTTTCATTATCCTAATTATAATCATCATTGTTGTCATCATGAACTTCACCATTTTCAGCACCACTGACCTTTGCTTTTCCTACATGTAATAATTTAGCTGATCAGTAAGAACCAATACACACAACTGACCAAAGGACAAATGCTATTACAAATTGAAATACATTTATCAAAATATAATTTAAACTAAGTTATGAATAATTTATTTAATTGTTTAAGATAAGATAAATATAAACTCACAGATATTTTTGGATCAATAAAATCATGAACCCCTGTTTGGTTTGCCCAAGGGTGACGCTTTACACGCCCCTTTTCATCTCGATCTGGAGCTCCGAAGCCTTTACCCCATGGATCGTAATTACCATCATCCTGAAAAAATTATTTGATCAACAGCATTATAATATTATTTTTAAAATTGCTTAATCCCCTTTTTAACAAATGCAAATAATTGAGAATTTAAATGTGTCAAAGGAGTTTAAAATGGATTAAGACTTTTAAACTGGTTTCTATTAGGGACCTCATCCTCTAAAGGATTAGTTTTGCCTAACAATATATTGTAACTTGTTTCATTTTTACTTCAACAATTGAGTAATTGTGCTCTTGAACAAATATAGCGAATCTTGATCTTGTTGAGTCCGTGCAAGGTGGACCCAGAACCTCACTGCTGTTATTGTTGTTCTAGTTGTTGTTATTACCAAACTTTAAAACCGTTCAGTTTTGAACGCACGTGCAGGAAATTTTGTACATTATTTCCAAAAAAATGTTCATGGCCCCTTTTTTCAGTTTGATACAAGGGTGCCACCTACAAAACAAAAAAGGGGTTTTAGCAAGGACTGTACATTACTGCAAGGACTGTACATTACTGCCAGCACTAATAGGGCACGTCACATGGATGGTGCGGTCGGATAAGGATGTGTTCTAAAAACCAAAGGTCATGAGTTTGAATCGCGTCTTGGTATTAAATTTTTAATTTCTATTTTTTTATTTGAAAACATTTTATTTTATTTTTTTTATTTATTTATTTTTTTATTATAAACCCTTGCCAAAAACCCAATATAATAATCTATGCCACTGTGTACTGTATTTAAGCATGGAGGATATTTCCTCCATGTTTTAAGCATTTTTTAATAGTATCAACAAAAAGCCTCATCTGAAAGGTGCATACACAAAGCGGTAAACGCTGAATAGAACACACCAACTCCCTGAACACACGGACCGGTGAGCGATCGCTCTTGTTATAACTTCTAAATCCTACCTCAAAATGACGTGGTGCATCATTATTTGATTTCATATTCTCTGATTGTTCTGTTGAAGAAATTACAATATAATAATAATAATAATATAATAATAATATTGCTTTGTATTGTGTCTGCTCTATATAATAATAATAATAATTAGCCCTAAATGATGCAATACTGTTGCACGATCAAGCTCTTAGGTTAAATAAGGAATAACTGGCCAGTAACTAGGATTCTTTAAAGGGAGGGAGAGGGAAAGGGATACCTATGACATGGATACAAGGACTGTATAACCCCTGGTTGGGTGCAAGGGAAGAGCTTGAAGTAAGGAGTTAACAGAATTCTCTTAAGCTGAAGTATTCACCATGGTTAATTTCATCATCATGTTGTATTATATAGTATTTAGTGCAAGGGAAGGGGTAGCCAGTTTGGCTTATCAGAGTGAGTTCACTTAAAAGGTGGTAGTACAGTGAAAACCATGGAAACCCTCATCTGTTTACAAGCCTAATAAATACCAGCACCATGGTACTGTATTAGTAAGAATAATATTTTACACATACAGCACATCAAACTACAACAATTTCTCAATTAATTACTTGGGGGGTAAAGTGTTTATTGAAAATAAATGATTGATAAGGTTAAACAAGCACACAGCAGGTGTTACTACAAGAGATTAAACTGTAAACACTTTCATTGAATGGACATGTAATTTGTTTGTGGACAGTGTGTTGTTATTCATCCCTATGCTTTACATCAAGGTCTAATGCCACTCAACAAATGTAGCAGATGCACAATGCTGAACCTTGCTTATTCACTTATTTCAAATCAATAACATTTATTTCAGAAATCTATTTTCACTGTTATGCAAACATAATCTAAAGTGTGAAGAGAGTATATTAGTTTGTATTTTAATTTGTTTGTATCATATTTGAAGGACCCCTACAAGGACTTTGCATCTTTATCAGTTTACTTCTTTTCAGTTAATTATTTGTATTCAAATTATTATATTAATTTAATATTTTCATTTTTTCAGTTGTTTAATTGTATTCAATTAATATTATATTTTATTTATATGGTGTATCTTTATTAAACATTTCGTTATAAAATTGATTTGTGAGATTTGAAATTTAGATATTACATTTATATATTTACTTATTATCCTATATACCATACTTACCATTGTGATGTGACTGCAAAATTTCTTTTCTGAGATGGCGATGTTCGATGTCCCTCATTTCTTTAGCATCCTTTATCAACGTGATGTTGTGACGTGTTTGTAATTTACCTAGAAAAAGATTTTAACAGCTTCTAATAATTTAAACATTGTACTAATATTTTACAATTATAATATTAATAATAAGAAAAATAATTTTGATAAAATTATTTGTATAGGTTTTGGAGAGGACTTGGTCACATACATTGCTTTAAACGATGCACATTAACTCATCCAGATGCTTAATAGACGTTGATGAAAGCACAAATATATGTCGATAGTAAATTATTATTATTATAATAAAAAAATATTCATAATAATTTGATATAACAATAATAAGCAACAATGTTAGTAATTATTAACAATAATGATCATGTTTTATTATTTAATTGCACTTTTAAATAGTAAAAAGAAGCATTTACTTTTTAGCTACACTTACTAAAATGCAAAACACATTTTTTTTCTCAATTACTTTCAAACGATTAGCACATTATAGCCAATTTATTACTGTTAAAAAATGTGATTTACAAGCCACAGAAGGCAATAATTCAGATGTAATTCCTCAGAATTCACATTATTTGCAATACAACTCGCACTTTGTTAGTGAGAAGAATAACAAAATCGATTGCACACACCAAATAATGTCAATGTATTTTTAGAACACAATCTACAGACAGAATCAATCATAATGATTTTTTTTTTCTAGAATTGATTTACGAAAACTAATATGCAGTGCAGAAGAATACTTCAAACATTCATATTATTATTTAGAGAAAGAGATGCATAATAATTGCATAAGTGTTGAGTTGTAGGAATGGCAAAGCTTCTTTGGTAATCAAAATGGCCTCTATGTGGTTTCCACTATTAACTTGTTCATCTGGATGATCGGACCAAACACATATGGAACACATCTCGGATCCCTGGAGTAAATTCCATAATAATGCAGCTTAGTAATTAGTGCACAGCACTTCCTCTTTGAAGAAAGACAACATAGATTAAGTGCACTGCCCAAGAACACAACCAGGTTGTGACTTGAGATTCAAGTCCCAATGTTTTAATTGGAAACACAAAACTTTAACCTTTGTGCCACATGAGTTCAAATTAAACTTTACACAGTGTTGAAAAATATGCCAAATATTTCTTAACAATTCTTCTGGACATTTTTTTTGATAATTTAATTCCACTTATATTATATCAAATTTATAGTATTGAAAATTCAGTTAAGTTATTCAATTTTATATGTTGTTAGATAAGATAAGATAAGATTCATTGGTTCTCTCTTTTATAACAGAGGAACACTCTCACGCAGGAGAGGTTTGACCCGTACAACAGTTACAAAACAACAACTGACAATATATAAAAATTAATTATTATTGTTACATATCTAACTCGGCGGCTGCTTATTATAATACTTTACCTGAATTAGTCTTAAGTGGAGCTCCCCCTCCTGGCAGTCCAAATGGATCGTGTTTCCACTAAATTAAAATCAATAGTAAAAAATTTGAGCATATATTCTATTCCAGATTTCTAGCAAAAACAGCACACTACAATTTCATTTTAGGTTTTCTTTAAAATGTGAATTAATAAATCGTTCTTAAAGACCAAATGAAATTTGTTTTATATATATTTTTTTAAATTATTTTTTCTCATGTTGAAATAACATACTGTCTCTGTTGGGATAATAAAAATTAAATTCAATATCCCAATTGCTTAAATATGTACAGGGATATATGAAGTAAGTTATAATTATTTCAATTTGTTCACAATTTTTAATAGAAATGCCATAAATAGCGAAATTTTAAAACCCTCAAATCGTCTGAAGATAAGGGGGATTCAACCCTGTGGACACCCACATATCCATGCCCTGTGAACCAACCTATACGATAGCCAGGGTGAGCTCTAGATCTGCACCTGAACCTCCAATAAGTAATTAAATGTTTTAATTGTTAGTGTTTGGTTTCATACATTAACATTATACTATATCTAAATTTTAGTTGTGCTGACACGATTCAGAACAACTCTTTCTCCTTATCATTATCATATGAATGATAAAACAATCAGTTGCAATTTAATATTAATGGATGAATTACATAAAACCAGGAACAATCACTCAACAGATACAATGATTTAAATTGAATTTACAGCTGAACAGGTGATGTATTAAATAATGTATTATCTCATCCCCATGGAAACTAATATTGTTTTCAACAATAATATTTGCTGAATAGCAGTTCATCTCCCATAGAGACTTCTGTTGATAAAAATATACTAAAAAAATATATGTCAATTGAATGACGGTCGCTGATCGATTGCTGCTATGACGATCAACCCTACCGTTTCTTTCTCTTGCATCTTCTCTAAATACCGTTCCTTCTCTCTTTGAGTCCTTTTTTCAAGAACCATATTTCCTGAAAGGAAGAAGCACAATAGACAAATACTTTTTATACAATATCAACACAAAAGAGTCGCCACACAGTAGTGAATGAGAAGCAACAAATTTCTATCTTATGTATTCCTAATGATGACATAATAGGTCACAAAAAAATAATGCTCAGAAATTAATTGCAATGCATTACACATTTCAGTTTTATAAGAGCAATTTTTATCAAAAGACTATATTGTTACAGTTATTTTAAATTGATCTAGGCACTTCTAAAGATTCATAAATAAAATTTTATTTGGTAGTCAAATATGCATTATTTCATTTTTGTGACTTTATTATTAAGCAGGGAACAGAATAAGAAAAGAAGTCATGTTTGCTACTTAGCCTTGGGCCTAGGAATCTGGTCATTAAAAAAAAACACTAAAAATTAAGCGATAGGGTTTATTAATATCACTGATCAGAGATGATAAATTTACAAGACAATAATTTGTCATAAAACCCCATACTATGAAATTGCCTATGTTACAAAAAAAAAGTTGAGTTGTACGCATTGAAGAAAGGGTTTCAAGATGTCACATTTAATTCGAGAAGCATTCATGAGAGGGAGTTCAGCAAAATCTTTGAATGAAGGATCTAAGATGATTAGCAAGTGAATCAGTGCTAATGATGTTAGCAACTGGCACCATTCACCACATCAATACTTCCAACATTTACAATACAAAAATCAATGAGGATTAAGTATTCTCAGGCCTGATGCAGTACTGTATCGACACAATAAGCAGCAGGGTTTAAGGTCACCTTTCTCACTAGGTGACTTGAAGCCACAATTTCAAGCCTACATTCATCCATTTAAAATCTGTTTTCTATTCTTGCTCAGCCAACGTGAAGATGATTAACTATCTCTTGCCTTTCAGTACATACAATATCATTCTAATGACACATATAGAGCAGTGGTGGCCCCGGGAATATGAGGGGCATCAAAATGTCCAACAGGGGAAGAGGAGGTGTTACAATTCAGGTTTACAATTCAACTTTTCAGGGACAGTTTTTACATTGTACTGTATATTTTTTTTATCAGCCTTTCATATATATATATATATATATATATATATATATATATATATATATATAGGCCTATGTATATAATCAATCAATTAAGCATTTAGTCAATTCATCAATATCATCAAACTCAATTATTATCAATCTCAATCACAATTCAATAACATTTAAATAATGAAATCATCAAATTCTATATGGTTGCTAAGGGCCTTATTGTAATTTACTCAAATAGGATTATAAAGTATAGTCAATTTAAATTACTTTTCCTCACCAATTTTATATTTATTATTAAAGTTAATCATCATTATTGTAATTAATAGTAATTATTGTATTGGCCTATAATTGTTATTATTGTTATCAATAATGTTCACATTATGCTTTTCAACACTGTAATATTATAATGCTTTTATTATTGTTATAATAGTCATCATCGTTATAATAACTGTCTCTTATACACATCTAGATGTGTATAAGAGACAGGCATCAAGGAAACCAATTCTATGTTCACTTTGTTTTGTGGTCATGACAATAAGTTTATTTTATTTTTGAATATTTAAAAACTGGGAAAATGGGAGGTGTTATGTATACCATAACAAAATAATGAATAGAATATCTTTTAAAATTTGAGTTTTGTGTGTAGATAGAGTTAAGTAGATTTTCATTGTTTTCCATATCAACTATAGGACATAGCAAGGTCACAGAGTATTTTTTATGAATGAGAGTTGAATTTATTATTAAATTAAATGAGTAATAACCTCACTCTCAAAAAGATATTTCATCAATATAAGTGTGTTCACTCATCTTGCTAGCATTTTTTTTGTGACTCTATTGATTTGTATCTCATTGTATTCAGTAAGGTTATAGTACCATGTTATATATCCATAAGGCAGCACACTTAATATTGTACTGTGATACAAAAGTGAGAATATTTCTATGCAGACAGCTTAGTGAATGAATTTAGCTTTCTTTATATTTAAAGTATATTCCAATTCATGTTGTCTATAATGATTCCTAAATACTTATTTTCACTACAGTATCTGTTTCAATTTACTCAATTTATTTCATTTCATTATATTTCATTTCATTTCATTTATTTCTCTCAAAAATAAAAAAAAGGATAAAAACAGAACAGATTCAATGAGAAACAACAAGAGGAGAGGAAAACCAGAAAGCGAACTAAATTAATTATCGAGTGGTTTCCCCACAATACAATAAAAATGTCAAAAATATTAACAATACAAGATTTACTTATTTGTCAAATAAATATATATAAAATAGAAAAAAACTCTGTATGATGATTCGTACGGTACAAGACTGCAATTTGACCATCATCTTACCTAACTCGTCTGCATAACCTTTCCCTTCGTGACATGGCACTGCGTAGCGTGCATGATTGTTAACAGCTTCTTTCATTCCTTTAAGGTCGCAGAAACGAATGTCATGATTGGCACGGATACAAGTGACTTGATTACCAGAATTGGTTCGTAAAGGTGCCCCATGGCCTGGCTTTCCAAATGCAAGAAATTTTTGCTAAGGAAAATAATAAAATGATTTTGTAGCTGCAACACTATGCAATAATCCAGATCATAATGAAGTACATGTGTTAGATGGGTTAAATCAATTGAGGCAGGATGCCATAGAGGCATTGACATATGCCTAAAACTAATGCATTATAATAGAGTACAACAGTTGTGTCGTCACAACACCAGGTGGCACCCTCTGGACATTGGTTACCGTTCATATACGAAATCTTAATGGTTTTGAATAGGCTTTCTGGAATAGGCATTTTAAAACCTAATAATTTACCATCAAAGTATACTAAAAACACAAAAAGCTCGCATTATATTAGTTATCATACACACATTTAATCATCAATTAACATTTACAAAGAAAAATTAAGATACAACTTTTGAATAAATTACGTTATAAATTGAGATCAATGGTTTGTCAGTGGAGAAAATGGCGTTAGTTGAACGCATTTTGTGTCGCCGATAGCAACGGAGTAGTATCACAGTATCGTGACGTAACACTGTAGTACTGTACTCTATAGTTATAACTACGTTTTAAATCAAATAACTATGATACTGTTCATAAGCTTTCTGCACAAAGCCTACATAAACAAATGGAACAATGTCTTTGTTCTTCAATGTATAATGATGGGGGGAAATTTAACCATATCTGTTATTCAGTAGCTAAAAAAGTAAATAAAAAAATTAAATATAAAATTAATTTTTATAAAACATAATAAAAGCAAACTTCAATTAGATGAATATTTAACATGAAAAATGATCCATAAAAGGTCTATGGAATGTATTAAGGTTAAATAACATAATGTTCCTGATGCTCTACTTACCACAGGCTCCCCATCATATAATATTACTGTATCAAGAGCCTTAGTACGTATATTGGTGTCCCTTTTAGGAGCCCCTGCCCCTGGCTTGCCCCATGGCTGGTAGTCCCTCAACATCTGTAAATCCTGTAGTCAGATATAGGAAAAAATAATGAATACTTGATCCATTAAGTTATCTACATAATTAATTAATGTTCACAGTGCATAGCATTGACGATTAGATTTGATAAATGTAAATACAGTATTTGAAAGTTGTACTATGGTCTGCTGTACAATAAAATAAGAGTATATTAGATACAAAGCCATTCAAAAGTTAGATATATTTTCAGCTGATGGATCGAGGGTTTGAATAAGAGATGTTTCAGACATATTAAAATCTATTACAAACATGATCAATTAATGTAGTTTATATAGTTTTAAAAAAAATATGTTCATAAATAATGTTAATTACACAAACCTTTCTCTTTTCTTCTCTTTCTGACAACTGCTTATCTAATTTTTCTGTCTTAAATCTTGCTATATCCTCCACTGCTTCTTTCATTTGATGTTCTCTTTTCCTTTTTTCTGCAGATCTAAAATCAAAGAAAATTATTAGCTTGACACAATTCAGCATAAAATGCTACAAAGTACTGTAAAATTATGTTGAATGGATAAATAAAACAGAAAGCTGGGGCGGATCCAAGATTTCAAAGAGGGGAGTTCAGAAAATTCCCAAAAAAACCCCAAAAAAGAAAGGGGGGTCCGGGGTCGTCCCCCGTGAAAAATTTGAAATGAGCTTTCCCGACTTCTGAGGTGTCTTTTAATGACCTTTTGAGTTCTTCAAAATTCAAGGTTTTTCCTCTCTTGAAAAAGGTCGGGTAATTTTATCTCATTCTTAGGCCTATACATAGAGAAAAAAAATAAATAAAAGACATATGCATTGTATTTTTATATTCCAACAATATTGAGTAGTTTGATATGTAGTCTTTTCTCCAAGGATTGATGGGCCTGAAGAACGCACTTTCATACATAAATTATTACGACATTGAACCAAAAACAGTGTTTGTTAAATTTATTTAATTGAAGGCTAGTTGGGCCAAGCCCAGTTTGTCCGATCTGCCAACCTATGCCTAGGTAGGTTAGCATGCCTTTTGTAAGCCAGGACCAATTAGTATTTTGTTACGCTTTTTCACAGAGGGGGGTTCATCCGAACCCCTTGAACCCCCCTTCATCCGCCACTGGAATGATGATGATGATAATGATGATGATAATATTAAAACATTAAAACTATCATGAAATGAACATTCATGCTTAGGAGCAACAAAAATAGAATAAACCAATGTCATCTTCTGATGCTGCTCTCATCTACAACATTATACTATAATGATTGAATCATGACAATTGTAATTACTAAATTGTTTGTTGAGCTACAGTAATAAAATTGTAAAATAAATGTCAATATTTAGATCGCCTGCTCTGTGTAAAATATTACCTTTCTATTGAAAATTGGTTTTTCTGCTCATGTATATTTTCGGATTTGCTCTTCGTTTACATTAATATATTATAGTGTCATATAATTTTAGTCACCTTTTATTAAAGCAAATGAGACATCAGTGTAATGCTCAATTATCACTACATTGCACTATAATAATGTTCTTGCCAATTAAATAGTAATACTGTAATTAATAATAAAATTAGTTTATTAACAATATTTATTGGTGGCACTCAACAAACCTGCATCTTTTTAAAGCAAATAACCTAAAAATGAAAAACTAACAACTTATAGAATAATACACCAGGACAAATAAAAAAAAGAGCTTAAGACTATTTGCACTGCATTCTAAACAAATATCATGTACTAACAGATATTTTCATTTTATCTTCAACATACTTTTCCTATCCCTGAGAAGGCAATACTTTTTCATATTGCCCAATACACTGTATTATTGCCTTCAAAAAATCAGTCGGCAAATTCTATGTTTTTCAATTAAAATACTGGGCATTATTATTTTTTAAAATTCCACGACAAAAAGAACACTTTTGCTTACGTGATATGTTCCTTGTAGAAGAGGGTCTTGAGAGGGAGTGGATCAGCCCTGCTGGGTGCCATCCTGTTAGTTCCATACTCAATGGTGTTCTCCGGGGCTGGATCAATGACACGTCCTTCAAAACAAATTCAAACATGCATTTAAATTGCGATATGTCTTAAAGTAGGAACAGTAAATTCTGATCAAATGTTTACATCATACTACAGTATGTATATTTTTTCAGGTGAGTTTGCATTATTTATAAGGAATGCACTGCATCAGAGTCAATCACAAAGAAAGAATGTTGATATTTTGAACAAACAGTGGCAGATCCAGGAATTTGAAATAAAGGGGGCCCAATTAGAAACTTTCATTGATGGAGGGTCCACCCACATCAGCCCCACGGGTTGGGGCTGAGGCGGAAAAAAAATAATGATTATGGCACCTCCAGATGGTCGGAATGGCACTCTCAGGCCTAAATTTGAATATAATTTTCTTTTTCTCTCCATTTTTAAAAAATAATTTTTACAAAATTTAGGGGGGTCCGGGTCAGCTGGGCCTCCACCCCCCCTGAATTTTCCACTGACAAACGTAGAAGGATGAATTAGGAAAGGTGGCTCACATAAACATTTGGAACTGCAAATTTTAGTATAAAGTACCAAAATAAGGACAAAACAATATTTTTAAAAAAAGCCACATAATTAAAAATTCACACAATAACAAAATAATGCTGTAGGTTTGAACAAAACAATCAACGAAGAATTAACCTTTACATTATTCGTTCATTTGGTAATTAAAGGCCAAGAAATGGCAAATATCTACTCAAAATTAATACAAAGACAAATATTGCCTTGGCTTGTCAATTCCCACCAAGGCCTTAATGAGATTCTGTTACTAGAACCAATGAAGACTGTTACTCTGTTTTGGCATACCGTAGTGGAGCTAATGAATGCTTAAATTATCTCCCTTTTTTTTCCAGAATAATAGACTTAAAATGAATTAAAATAAACCCTTGAAACCATGAATTCGCAATTTTAAAATTTTTACAAAATTATTGTAACTTTGAACATTAACATAATAAAATATTGATTTATGTACTGAATAATTAATTTACAAAGTTCAATAACTTTCAGACAGTCTCGCATAGAACAGATATATGTTACAGTACTGCTGTACCAGCTGACCACTCACCTCACCACAAAATAACATTTAAAAGGTTAGGATAGGAGGGATTGGGGATATATGCTTAACACTGTACATGCATAGAATCACAAGCACAGTTCAATTAACATTAATTACATTGCATGCTACAACTATTTAAAGTAACAATAAGTATTTCTAGTACTGCATATAATGTATCTGTCAAATTAGCAGGCCATTTAATTTTATTCACTGAAATAGATTGTACATGGTATGATGGTTTCTTAGTAGGGGTAAATTCTGGGCAGGGTTGCCATTCCATTTCAGAATCTTATTGGCAGCAATGAATTAGCTATTTTGACATTCAAAATAAGTAAAGGGGATGGGGTAGGGGGGAAGCACTAGCAGATTCAGAGAAGTGCATAGGAATGTTAATCTATGTGCACTCCTTTGTCATCAAATCGAAAGTTGTGTTCGAGCAGATTAATAAAAAATTCTGTGTTAGTTAGAGGTAGTAGGAAATTGTTAGTGCTACATAATGATGGCGAGATTAGTATACAAAAACAGAAGAATTGAATCATTAAATGATGGGGTAGTTATGGCTCTTGATATTATCAACTTGACTATTATTAGAAGCTATACATATAAATGATTATTTGAAGCCTGCTAATATAGATATAATAAACAGATTAAGAAAATCAAATAGAGATCATTAGAGTGAATACATTGGAATTTGATCGCCAAGAACGACAGGTGTTTCTTATAATGGAATTTTTAATTATCTGCGATGATTGTGAAATGGGGATTCGGAATAATAGGATACAACACAGCACATCAAACAGAGAGAATTTAAAAAAAAATAGTACCAAGAATATTGTCATTTTGGGGATCACACTTCACATCAGGTGGCAAACCTAAGAATGAAAATACTTGTAAACACAACTACAATGGTCAAACATTAATGATAATCATAAATAAAATAATTATAAATAACAAATTAATAACAATAATAATCATTAGCAATAACAAATAATTACAATATAACAAAATAGTAATACTGTACCAAAAAACAAATATATTTACATTGTTATAATTTAATCTAAAAATATAACAATAATTTTGAAAATTATTAATATGATATTATTGTTTATTTATGGATGTAAAAATGTACAAAAATATAAGAAAAATCTGCAGGCATGAGAAAAAAGAAGTCAAGACTCAACAACACAATTTATGCTACTGCTGTTACTATCAGTTCATACAATGGCTGCAATGCAAATACTGATTTTAAAAGTTTCTATAAAAAAGGTAACAAGATATAACTCCACCCCTGTCTACTGGAATTAGGATGAAGAAAAAATAACTACAAGAATATTGATGTAGCCTAACATAAAACTTACTACATTCGCACACTAACTTACTATAATCAACATAAAAAATTGTGTAATATTATATTTAAAGTGAATTAATGACATCATACCCTTGACAAAGTGCTGTTTTTTCCTGAAGCTGTGATTCAGAAAATCAGCCTCCGGTACTCCAGGGGGACCTAGCTTTGGCTGGGTCCCTTCGCTAAAGTTATGAGCTGGGAAGCCACGGAAATGATAATGCTCACGCGCAGGATGCTGCTGGTTAAGATTCAGGAGTGTCACATCCATTGGTGTCTCTGAAAAACAAACAAATCAAATTCATTTAATAATATCTTTATAACTTTGTTAAAAATCCAGAATTTAATAAGATATGTTTAAAATTGTATTGATTAAAAAAAATTCTTTTGTAGTAATGCTACTGTATGGAGGTAATATCTCTATCATGCTGCACTTTTCCATTATTTATTAAGCACTCATCATTTCTTGCAACATATCAAGTACAAAAATTATATTTTCTCATTTATAATAAAGCAACATCATGGCATAATTCAACTGAATGAGAAAAAAGTGAATATTATTAATGCTGCCACAGGCTAAAAATTCATATAATCCCAAACCAAAATACATCAATAATGGTAAGAGGTCTATGTACATAGACAGTACATAAAATTAGGATGCCATGCTCACACGAATTTAATCTATGTATGATAAAAAAAAAATTTAAAAATCAGAAAAAAAGCCACAGTCCAGTGATGTTAAATCCAAATCAAAAGAAAACTCTTTCCTATCTTATCTTACCATCATGTACCAGCTTCAAAGGTGCTCGATCTGAATCGAGTGTTTTCATAGTGAACACTTTCTACCCTGCTTTGCCGTCCACTTCCGCATTAGTTTTAATACAGCGACCACACACTGCTACTGAAATACAGCACTCTACACCCGAAGTCTGAATAAACAAGAATAAGATCCATTCTAAATCCACCACAAAGTAAACGTTGCTAGGCAGCGTACGCTTTACTTTTTTAGAAGAGCGCCGCCAATATTGATAGTTTGGTATTTAGATATTTGCTAGACTCTAAATCCAGGTAGATAAACAACTTCATGTTTTCATCAATCGGTCTGCCACGCGCACATTGCGACCACTTCAGCGACACGGCTAGAAAGCTCGGTTTCTCTGCGTGTGAATTAGGAAGGTAGCCCAGTTAGCCTAGCCTAGGCCTAGCGTCATGGATTACTCGGGGTATTCTTATGAGATTGAGTTGATAGAGCAGTTGCAGAATTCGTTTGCTAAGCATGAATCAACAATGATGTATCTTTCACAATTAAGTGATCCTCGAAACTCATTTCTGTTCTTCTTTCCGATCGTGTATTCACTGAGCAGGGTCGTGGGCTTGAAAGTTCTTTGGGCTGCTGTTATTTCAGAATGGGTGAATGTCATTCTAAAGTGGTAAGCCAATTTGTGTAGGCATTAGTCAAGGCCAAGTGTGGAAGGAGGCGCTCAATGTATTTTTATTATTATTGAGGGAGATACAAAATTTATATTTTTGTTTGTGACCAGATTCTGAATCTGAATATTGTTCATCTGAATATTGATTGTTCATCACCCGCCCATTGTTATCTTGATGTTCATTATGATTGGACAGGTTTTGATGTTAACCAAAATGTCGTTCAAAATGTTCAGTGGAATGTTAAATATTAACTAACATATTCTTAAACCAATCAGCACTTTACAGGACAAATCTAGCTAACAAGTTTCTGTCAATAAAAAATAATGAACATAAATAAAGAACTGTATATTTTATTATGTTTTATGACACATATCTGTAACTTTATCTTATAATAGTCATGACTGTTTCTTTCTCTATGGCTGCCCAGTAACAAATGAAGAATACAGAGAGAAAATATTTTTTTTAAAATTTTTTCTCCAATTATATTTTTACTATGCCAACCTTGTTCTTCTGAAATAAAAGATAAACAGAATTTTTTAAATTAAGTTTAATTTTTTTTTTTTTATTTACACAATTCAGGTGTTTGTTCGGTCAACGTCCTTATTGGTGGGTTCAAGAAACAGATGTATATGCAAATGGAGGGCGTCCTAACCTCAAACAGTTTGAGCTAACTTGTGAGACAGGACCTGGTAGGTGTTAATGAATGCGAAAGCATTGAATAATATGTACTGTAGGCCTAAAGTTCAATAATATTTTTAGACAAAATTGTTGTCTTTCAAGTTTTAATGTCTTTGCAAAGGCCCTTCAATTTGCTGTTGACAAATTTAAGGATTTTTGTAGTGAAATGTCATTAAATCATTAATGACAAAATTGTTTCTATCCGTATATTTTTGGAAGTTAATAACTTTTTTAATCCTTGTAAATGAGCAATCCAATATTTTATCATCTTTTAATAATTTCTAGGTTATACCATGGAGTTGTTATAGTAAAAACAGCTCCATGATTATACCACCTTGTTATACATATTACTATACTGTATGTGTGAACATGGAGTTATTATAGTAAGTTTATTACTGTAATCAGTCCATGGTGTGAACTATAAACTATGAATAATACAACATTATTAATGATTTCTAGGTTATACCATGGAGTTGTTATAATTAACCATAGTTTCATGTTTATATTGCTATATAACTGTATGTGTGAATATGGAATTATATAGCAAGTTTTTACTACCAGTCCATGGTGTGAACTATAAACTATGATTAATACAACAGTATCATTCATAAATTCTTTTATTCTCCAGGTAATCCATCAGGGCACTGTCTCGTAACTATGGCTGTCTGGTTTATCATGATGTCAGCCTTGTCTGCCGATCTGGAGAAAACCGCCCTCAAACAGCCAGCAAAGAAACCTGCAAACTTAAAGGAAGAGAGGGAAGCAGACAAGAAGGTGGTGAGTCCAGCAATCCCGTGGGGGTTGTTGGCCGCTCTTGCAGTCCTTGTTTGTATCTCCAGGGTGTTCATAGCAACACACTTTCCTCACCAGACTCTCATTGGTGTTGTTATAGGTAAGCTTAATTTTTATGTCCTAATTTAATTCATTGACGGTCACAGTAACATTGCTTAATAGTTCAGAATACAATCATCCTGTTCATATTAAGAAAAGTTTTGAAGAAATAAAATATGTTCCTATTGTAAACTACTGCAGACATCTATACACTGAATTTGCTTTTAACAGCATATCTAATGGCAAAAAAAATATATGAATACAAACCCACTTTTCATTGGTATTTATTTAAGCATACAATTACTACAATTATTTATATTGATATAAATAATAATAAGCAATAATCATAATGATAATAATAACAATAATACTGAAAATATGATAATAGGTATAATGAAAATATATGATAAAGATGTAGGTGATGGCAGATGATCAGAATCAGTATATACTAAAAATGTATTTACCCATAACCAACAGAGATGATATAACCTCCACTAACAAGTTGGAGAAGCAAACAAATGTTTACATCATATAATATGTATACACTGATTTACATTCTAAATGGAAACAAACTATCATGAAAAACTGACAATTAATTCATATCATTACAGGAGTGATTGTTGGTATTGCAGTAGACAGAATGGATGTCACAAAGGTCGGCCTTAAAACCTACATCACTGTTACAATCTTCCTTGCTTCTGCAGTAGTAGGCCAGTGCTTATTAATGCAACAGCTAGGTGTCGACCCAAACTGGACCCTTCAGCTTGCTGCAAAATGGTGTGCACGACAGGAATGGGTGCACTTGGACACTACAGCATTTTTCAGCATCGCCCGCGATCTCGGTGCGCTATTTTTCGTTGGGTTGATGCAGTACTTGCCAATACGGCCAAAAGGTGTGCTGTCATCATTGCCAATGTTCCTGACCATGGTTTCTTCGGTAGTTCTCTCTCAAGTTCTTGAGAAGATTCCTCTACAAGTCGATAACATAACATTGTTTTATATTTTAGGTGGCTTGAAATATGGGCTTATCTTGTCATGTGTTGTCCTGATTAACTCACTTTTTTCATATGTTTTTGTTAAGGATAAAACGGATTAAATAGGATAAAAATTTAATATAATGGTGCTATAACGTTTTTAAAGTGTATATTATTTTTCTCTTTTATTGTTTGAGGATATCACCCACTTTTATTTCATTCTATGTTTATTCAAATTTTATTGAATTAAAACAATATCCAACATAACAAATAGGCAAGACAAGATAACATACAGGGAACTAATAAATGTTCAGCAAAGGTCAATCCATGGCTAACTAATTAATTCCTACAGTACTTTTGTCATTTAATTTATTTGCTTTTTAATCCACCATGACTGACTAGTTATTTCAAGGTACTGTATATTATTTTAGAATTGTTTTTGTTTTTAATAATATTTTTCATAATTTTAATGATAAACTTGTTCATAAACTATCATTTAAAAATTGCTGTCTATGGAGAAGCAGCCACAGTCTATTTGTGGTTTATAAACCTGGTTATGCAAATTAAAGGGAAGTTGTAATCAAGAAAAACAGGAACCAATGCTATCTGTACACGTTGCAAGGACAGGACTGTAGAGATACTATGCCCTAGTATATAACTCTTTTTTTTTAGTCATATAGTCTGATCCATTCATGTAGTAAGGAACTGATTCAAATGTAAACAGTTACTTTTTAAATGTCTTAGCAGATCTGTTCTGAAGGGATGCTATGTTTATCCACTTTTTCACAAATACAGTATAATAAAGCATACTGATTATTTTTTTTGCCACACCCTTTTGGAACGTCAGTTAATATTGTGTACTCCATTTGAATGCTGCAATATATATAAATTAGAATATTATATAATATAATTATATAATATACAATTAACATCACACGTCGGTCTGGTCATATATATTGTAACATAAAGATGAATAGAGCAGTCTATTTAGAATGTTGCAGTGTACTGCAAATACGCACTATTATAAATAATTTTATATGGTTTTTTAAAATATTTTTTATGGTTTTTTTGAACTTAATAAAATAAAATTTATATGTAAGTATATGTAATTTACATTTTCTGATATCTTATGTAATGTTTGTAACATGCATAGTTACGTAAAGCTGTGTTTACACTATCTAGGCCTAGATAGTAATTTGGTTTGACATAAACCTATCATTTCGTCATCTGATTACAGTGACCCAAGTATATTCACTGCCTAATTGTATAATAAAGTAACGCTGCTCTCGAATAAGCACCACACTGAGGCCTCCATATACAATATTTGTTATGGGCAGCAAAAGAAAATATTTATACATAAAACAAAGAGCACTATAACACTAACATATTTGAAGATTTTCATATAACAGATTTGAATATTAATTGTTTTATTGAAATCATATTGCAAAATCATGACAATGGAATATACACAAATATACTTTATATAACAAATGAACCTTAACATTTACAATAATACTATTTACAAAGAAAAAATATAAAATGAAAATTAATCCAAAAAGGCTTAAAAATTAAACTTTTCACTTTCAGCTTCATTTTAGATATTCTCAAAAATTTAACTTTTCAATCATTTTTAACAATATAACAAAACCACCAAAACAAAGTTATAAAACAAATATGTGCTTCTTTTTTGTTTCTATATAAATTATATAAATTTGCAATATTATTAAGAAATTTTGCAGAAAATAATCAGTTGGGTGTTATAAAAAGTATTATACTTATTTTAAAAATGCATATTTCAATAAAGGTGCTCATTTCATATTTATTAATTAAATCTAGTGCAAAACTTTCACACAAAAAAGTACAGTAACAAATCCAGTCAGTGTGTGCGCTGAACCATGGAAATCCTTGGGGCTATTCCACCTTTACTTCCCAGTTTCTGCTGGAGGATTGAAATACAAGTTACTACAGTATTCTCTTGGAAGAGATGTTTAAGCCATTGGTCCCTTGTGCAGCAAATCTCTTGTATGTTTATTGGATGGAAAGACTGGGATCCTATCACAACTTGCAGGCAATTTATGAACACTGTATAAGATGTAAAGGCCCAATGTAACCCAGAATCTTGAAGATCAAGGGTGAGCTTTTTTATGGAAGACCTAAACTATAGGGTAAAGTTTTCTTGTTATATATCAAACTGTATAACTAAAATAAACAAACTAAATCATGCACATATTTTATAATATTTCATAAATAATAATTATATATAGTTAAACTACTAACCTACATAAACAAAAATACTGCCAAGTTTCATTGAGCTCCCTCAGTGGTATAATGTCACAACAAAGAACTTAATTATTAAAGTAAAATAGACATAAATATAATACTGCATAAAAACTGACTTTTGTAATGTGAATATTTAGACATTGTATACTAAGATCTCCATGTGTATCATTTTACAGCATCCCTTAGGTTGGATGATGAGTTGTAGGGCCAGAGTGTGTTTATTGTGGCAATAAACATGATTGCATTGATGCAGGGGAGTATTACAAAAACAAGTGAAATTATTATTATAAATGATCGTGTGTTAAAGGTAAATGAATAGAGTTAAACTTCTAGATTTGAAGGATTGTCCTTTAGATTTAGATTTTTTGTAAACAAATTTTTGTCTGTTAGTTTACACTACAGTAAACAAAAATCAAATAACATATGGATATTTTTACAATGTTTGAATTCTGTATACCTTGCCATGAAGTTTCTTTAGTTAATAGCAAAGATCTTATAATAACAAGATAGCGTTCTCTGCGATTCTGCATGCAAATTCTGTAACAACGCAATGTAGGGTGCCCTCTTGCAAAAACAATTACTTTTCAACTTTGACATCGTTAACTAAAGATAGTGCATCTTGCAATTTCTGCATGCAAACACTGTAACAACTAAGATGTCCTCTCTAAAATTTAATTACTTTTTATGCTTCTTTTTACTGAACATCAACGCTTCTATTCTGTTATGCGTAAAATGGTGGAGAGCGCTATCTTGTTTATAAGATATTTGGTTAACAGCCAAATGGTATGTGGATGTCTGTCTGCCTAGATACATACTTAAAAACTGAATATAAATTATATCATTACAATCACTTTCAAAACAAAACAAAAAACAATATTTCAAATAAGAAAACTTAACATTTTTATGCAATAGTAAATTATAAATACCTGTAATATCAATAGTACTAATTTAGTTATTATTAACATTATGAGAGATGGCCTGAGAAGAATAAGTAAATGATAAATTATAAACAATGAGTATGTTTGTAACTCAGCCCATATATGCTAATTAAATGATTGGAAACAAAAATGCATACTAAAATTAAACTTTAGGCCTACAGATAACAGGTTAAAATGAGCGAATGCCAGTTTGAGTGAGTGCCAGAGTGAAAACAGAATTATTTTTGTGGACAAAACCAGGTGATATCAACTGGTACATTAGGGCGATTTCACAACCTTACGATAACGAATAACAATAATCATTATCATCATTTGTGCTTAAAACATTCTTGATGATTACGCTGTATGTACTGAATACGACCCTTGATTCATGCACAGGGCTTGAATCGCATACGCTGTGACAGATGTGCTACTGTGGGGGAAGGATTGTCCAAAACTTTGATGACGTCACCGTATTTGTTATTGTTTTCTTAACCTTGCAAAAACTCCCTAATGGCACTCTTGAGCAAACAGTTTAACCACAGAATCTTTATATTTTTCCAGTGTACATTTAGCTGGAGGACTACAACAAAAATTTTCCTGAAGTTAGCATTTGCACAACTGGTAAATGCTTGAAGTTTTTGTCCACATGTAATGGATCGAACTGGTTTCATTCAAACTGGCATCCACTTGTTAAGTACGATCTAAGATTTGGAAGGTATATTCTATAAAATCAGTGGAAGACAATTTAAAAATAAAGTTCATGTGAACAAGAAAATTATAACTAAAGCACAAAAATATAATTACATAAACTAACATAATAAAAATGATATTTTAGAAAATTCAATATCTGATGTACATTAATCAAAAATTTTTTTAATGAAATGTTTATACAACAGAGAGTATGTAAATAAAATCAGATGATTGGCATTGGGCCATATTAAGGGGGGTTTTTTAAGTAAAAGATGGTAGCTGAGCTGCACACTGTTATAAATTTATTTTTGTGGGTCGTAAGAAAATTGCTGTCGGGGCCCCATGTTCCCCCCCTGTGGTGTATAATAGCAAAAACAATATTTTAACCAAAATATCCTAAAAATATAACACCAGTTTCAAGCTGAAAAAATTTTAATGAAATACTTTCCAATCCATTGAAAAATCCAGAATGAAAAAACATTTTCCCTGCCAATTAAATTAAGCATAAAATAATACTGTTCCAAAAACCTTTACATAGATCCTTAAATTGGCTGGTAATAAGTTTAAGGAATTTCACATTAAATGGTCTGAAATTAATATGTTTAGCTCCATGTATCATTGACCGATAACTTTAATTTATTAATTACATTTTTCTCTTGATGTTACTTAACAATTAGTATGCAGTTTCTCAACAAATAGATCTGTTTGCATTCAGTACATATACAGAAGTGACTGACTGCAATATGTAACATTTGTAGCAGTAAGCATTTAAAGTGAACCATGATTAATCAAGAAATGTGGGCTTTGTTTAGCACTATTTTTTAAATTCTATCTCGTACATCACGCATTATCAATTTTACATCACAAATGAAAATACTTGAGTACATGCGTTAATAACATGTTTTGAAATTGCACTTTTCCCATGTTTTCTATGATCTTTTTTAAGAATACTTTATATCCAAGTTAACTATAATCTTATTAAAAAAAGGAAAAGTAAACTACCATATATCTATTGAATGTTTACGCTTTAGTGGAGAACTTGAAATGGAAAATTACTACTGTATTATACAACCAGAATGAGTTTATATTTTTTTAACATGCTGGTATAAAGAGACTAAACTTCTTTAAATGTCAAGAGGGAGGCAGACAGAATACATGCTATACACTATATTACAGTACTGCTATTCATTTCAATTATTATGTTCTTAGCGCTTGGGATGATTTTATTAATAGCACATATATCTACTTATGAAAATCTAATAGGTTATTATATTTGACTATTGTAATTATATTTTTTCGTAAGTCAATAATTTTGTTTTTTATCAACACATATATTATTGTTTCACAAGAAGTTCAAATCCTCCTTTGGTTTGGTCATAATGCATGGATTTCCACATTCTTTTATAAATCCAACTTTAATATGACATACAGTATTTCAATATGCAAACATTGGTGGCAGCATTTTTACTAGACTTCTACTTCATCAACAACAATTTCAAACACAGATTTCACAAGCAATATGCAATTTAGGACAACTTTAAAAATATTCTCCAAAATACTTTGACATCAATGACATTCATTTTTTTTTTTTTAGAAATACATACTTTGTTGCATATGGTTTGCTTTTGGTTGTATGGACAGGCATTTGATGCAAATGTTTTTCACAACAAAACAAAAAAATGAGCTGAAAATTGTACAAGTATATAGTCAACAAAACCTCATGTCCGTCTTCTCATAGTTTCACCATGCTTTGCCTATGTGTCTAATAAGTTCATCATTGTTTCTTGAAAATTATATACAATGTGCATCATGGAAATGCACATTACAATTTGGTGTTTTTATTTACATTGGTACATGTGACAACATATAGTGCTAATGTGTTGCCAAAGATATTATTGGCCAATGACATGACAGTAATATTTGTAAATTTTTTTTTCATTGGCCAATCGCATCATAGTAATGATTGTGAGGTTTTCTGTTGGCCAATGGCATTGCTGGAATGATCATTATATACAAGGTGATTAGGGTATTTGGGGAATTCTTGCATAAATTACAAAAATTATGTGCTAAATAGTAATTGTTTTACATACTGAAGTGTAGATTAAACTATACTGGATGCTGAGCATCTCATGTTTAGAGACTTTTTGACACAGCAGTAAGTGCCTGTTAATTAAGGAAACCAGGCAAAAAGTTTAGGTAGCACACAAGTATTCCTCAGACACAAAAACACAAATATATTATAACAAAGGCAATTATTCTAACTGGCAGTGATCCAATTAACTAGCGACCACTCACTTTGACAGTAGGTTTATGGAACCACCATTAACTCAACTATCACCCTGCTAACAAGGCATCTCTAGAATTCAACATGCTAGGGTTAGTTTCCTTATGAAGAATATTTCAAACATGATCACCAACTTTACCAGTGAATTTCTGCAGACTATTTGGATGTACATCAAGTGTATCCCCCATTTAGGATATATACTCTGTCTATATCTATCATTCGCACACTGATTATTGCCAAATATACTTTCTCATCATCGGTCCAATTTATTCACCTTTAGCAATATGTGGTAATCTGCCATTGGACATTAAAAGTTTTGGAGGCTTTGGGATCCAACTGGTCGCTCGTGATTTCCGCACTTTGTACATGTACTGGAGAACCTTCTGGAATATGTAACTACGTACGGATGCAGTGAAGCGGTTCACCAAACATAAAGAGGTTCCAATTGCAAACAGACCATTATATACGATAATGAAGTAGAAGTTATCCAACCAATCAAATTCTCCGAATGCACCAAGAAGATCAAAGTTTGTGATACCTGCAACATAAAAATAGTTTAGTTTTTCAGCAAAAAGTAGATAAAATCACTATTTAAATACAGTAGTATTAGTATATATTTTATATAACACATATATGTTTTTAGACATTAGAAAAACAGAAAATATATTTAAATGCTAGATCTCTATATTGCCTGGTAAATGAGGAATTTCACCCTTACCAAGACTCCTGGAAACAACAGGCAGCGCAGAGCTTAGGATCAATAAGACAATGCAATTGACTATAACTTTGGTCATGGGTGTTTCCTTGTGTTTAGGGACAAGAGAATGTAGCCATGGAACGCTGTAAAATCCTACCACTGATGCTAACATTAAATATCTGAACAACTGGTCAAGGGAAACTACTAGTATTTTAATTATGGGTTGTTTTAATTGAATGGATTATAAATTACTGCAATGCAATAGATACTATTATGAAATACAGTACAAATCATCTGTAAATATATCATTTTTTTCATTTGAACATATGCTTTTTTGCAGCAATACATAACAAACTGGTGCATCCTACTGTAGACCCAGGCATAAAAAATGAACTATGAACTATGAACTAAAAACATGATAATCAACACACAAATCTCCACACCTACACACACACTACACACCTAAATTTGTGTTATTCTTGTACTTTTCACATATATCATTATCTATGTAACTGAAAGGATACAGTATTAGAATAACCTCAAGAAGAGATCCAAATATTCCCAGCTTGGAAAAGGAAACCTTGCCGAGCCCTGCTTCCTGTGGGAAGAGATGGAATGAATGAGACAGAATTAATGATCATACTAAAAATGTGCAGTTAGCACTTGATTTTACACACATGACGTTTATACTTCACTTGAACTTAAACTTATGTGCAATTTACATTTGAACTTTATACATACGAGCAGTTTACACTTGAACTGACATGTATAAGTGGTTTACACTTGAAGAACTTATAAGTGTGTGCAATTCACAATTGAACTGACAGTGTACATAGTTTAAACTTGACCATCATATAAGTGTGTGCAGTTTACACTCGAACTTACACGTATGTTCACTGGGAGTGTGTCAAGACCGAACACCATCAGGAAGACATTCCAGCAAACCATGGACAAGGAAATAATCGTCAAAATGAACAGCAGAATCCATAACAACGGGTAACCAAGGTTACGTTGCCATGCTGATGACTGGACTCGCCTCTCCAGATTTTTTCTCTTGCGTGTCAATTTTACTAGTGTCTCCTGCAGCTCCTCCTGGTTCATGTTTACAGTATGATTTCCATTTGTGTGATTAACTAAAATATAAATATATTATACAATTTATATAATACTAACAAACAAAAAAATTTATAATATGCGAATGCAAAGTTTTATCAAATGTGCCAAGTGGAAACCAAACTTAATTCCCAGAAACAGCATTTATGCATGATTTCTTCTGTAGGTTTTTCATGACTAGGAGAAAATACTTTCATAAGAAATGAAAAAATCTAATTACTATAAAGTCAATAAGCCAATTCATAGTGAAGATCAAATGACATAAAACAATAATTTAACACACACAACATAGGCCTCCAAATAGGCACAGTGTTTTGGAATTGTCCAAATTTGCGGGAAGTTATAAGTAACAGAAAACAAAAACAAAAAAAAACCCCATAAAAAACAGAAAACATAGATGTAATCGAAACAATGCTAAGAGAACTTGCCGAAGCCAGTAAGAAATGTGGTCTGATGATGAAGATGCAGAAAATTAAAGTAGTAGAGGGCCCCCAAGTCCCCCACAAGTCAGTCATAGTGAATAGAAGCCAAATAGAAGAAATAGATGAATATTTATACTTAGGGAAAAAATCATTATTGGGGAAAAGAATCAAGATCAAGAAATAAACACACGGATTAAACTTGGATGGAGAAAATATGGAAGACTAAGTAACGTCATGAGGGGAAAACTACAAATACGTTTGAAGAGAAAAGTTTATAACCAGTGGAGAAAGTTTAACCGCAGCACAACAAAATATGGAAAGGAACATGTTAGGTGTTACATACAGAGACAGAAAGACAAATAAGTGGATAAGAGAACAAACACAAATTCAGAAGTGGGCATGACATGTTAGCAGAATGTCAGACAACAGATAGACCAAATCACTAACAGAATGAAGACCCATGAATGGCAAAAGGAACAGGGGAAGACAACGTAAAAGATGGAGAGATGAGATCGATACATACTGGGGAAGAGCAAATGGGGGCAACACAGCAAGAGAGAGATTGATTTGACATCAACATGCTGAGGCTTTTGTCCAGCAGTGGACTGGCAATAGCTGAGAATAAGTAACAGTTCCAGTTCTTCATCTTTACCATGAATATTAGATTATTGATGCAAGTATTCCTTACACTATGCATCGCATCACAGTTTAATATTTTCAGACGATTTTGAATGCTGCCGTCAGTCTTTATGCCTAGCCTACTGTAGGCTATTTTGAGTCTTAATGATTGTTTATGTCGAATGACTTTCACTACGGACATGTGCAGTTCAAACTACAGATTGGCTTATTGTTGAAAGTATATAAATATTAAATATATAGTGTTCACACACATAGGACAGAAATTCCAGGTGGCAACCAATTTGTTAATGTGTAGGATGACAATTTTGATTCAAGTTTTATGTGACAAATAACTGTGCATTGCCAATACATGGATAGGATATGAGATGCAAAGAGACATGACATATTTGGACAAATCACAGACACTTGCCACATAAAACTTGACAGTGAGGAGAGAGCTTTACATTGAAAAAAATGTAGAAAGAAGGAATGAAATCTAAAGAAATACAAATATGAAATACTTGTCGGTGAATAAAATTAATCAGACTAAAAAACAACGTGATCATGTGATACAATCTTATAAATGTGTACAATACCACAAACAAAACTTAGGAAGGATTCAGTAATAAAAAACAGACTATATATTTAACAAATTTACAGACACAACATACAATTTGGATTACTGTATACTGTATTAATATTTTTATATAAATGGACACAGAAAATCCTAATGAGTGTGCGACATCAATATTTTATGTGCATAATGAGAACTTCAGACATTAATATCATGCACTTATTAATAATTCCTATGAGTGCATGACATAAATATTTAAAGTGTATAACATGAAGGGGTAAAAAATGGGTTATTACATTCCGTGCAACCGACACCATCAAACGAAGAGGGCCCTTGACTACCTTTGAGCTTTCTTTGCACATCATCTTCCTCAAATTGTGCGGCGTATAGTTTCTCTTCAACATCCTCAATGAAGAATGGTTTCACCACTATTGCTCCAATTACCGAAAACATTCTCGTAAATCCCAGAGGTGCGGAAACTATAGTAAAATTCAAAAGAGAAAAGTTAACAATAGAAATTTTAAATACAGCAATTCCAACTACTGATGCTCCTTAATGTTATCTTGTCTGTGATCTTGTCTGCGATTTTCCTGTTACTATGCTAGTCTACTGCTTATTGTCTAGTTATGGTTGGCAACAAAGGATTCAATGATTAGTCAATTTGAGTGAAAACAGAGACTCGCTGATACCTTACGGTCATTAAGATGATCAATCAGTCAGTCGGCTTCATAACCTAGAACTAGTAATCTTCCATCAATTCTATTTATAGTCGTCAAAGTGAGCTGAGTTTTTTTAATTGAGTGTACCAGCACGTTTAAAGAAGTAATTCCAAGTAATGCAATACAGTGGGATTTGTTGTTGCAAATAATACCAAAATCCCTGATGCACTTATCTTAATAAGATAACACACACAAAAAAAAGTCAAGATAGGTAACAAAATGCAAAAACATGTGATTCTGCAATCATTTCGTAAGATAAATTCAGGTAAACTTTCAATTCTTTATTATGCAAATTTATATCATTATGACTAAATATGGAAATCAGAATTTTGTGTAGGATAGATAGCTAAGAATATTTACTTTTCAACATGATTTTTAGGATTAATTCAGACTTGTCAACGAAATTATCATACACAAAAATTGGACTGTTGAGGTCGCTACTGAACCTGTAAACATGAACACAGTACATCACTCAACTAACGAATTACTTCAATCAGCATGGACGTAAGCTAGGAGGTGCATACGCACCCTACCCACCTCCTCCTCCCATGGCAGCAAATTAATTAATCCCACTAAGTGAGTTATAATACTACTAATGATCATTAAGCTTTCGTTGAGACAGAAATTTAGTTTCGCTTTCTCTATTTTCGCATGCCCAGGTCCGCATTCTCAATTTTCGCACCCCCGGATGAAACTAGCCTACGTCCCTGTCCACGCTCTGTAAGCTGTTGCCCGACACAATGCTAGTCTTCTTTGACCATTGGTGAAAGTGTGAACAGATTGTTGTTGGAAAAATGCATTGCGTGATGCATCATTGTGATTTTATGGAATTGCATGAGTTGCAAACACAGTGTGCACAGCTTTACAAGCAAATTGACTTACTCAGCAACATCAGTACACCCAGTATGGATATACAGGAGTAGAGAAAAGGAAGATAGTAGTTCCAAACACCTGCAAAGAGAAAAAGAAATTACAGATGGTAGATTAGCTGTCAATGAACTTGTAAAATCAGTATAAATTCCTATTAGTATCTTTATTAAATACACAGCATAACTGTACATTCACATGTGAGCTAAAACCCTTTTTAAAGGTGAATAAAGTTTTATATTTGAAATAAAACTCTTTCGTTTTTGTTTTTTGTATGCTTTTGTTTGTTTTAATTTAGTTAAATTTTGTCAAGGGAGATACCTTCATTTGAAAGAGGAGGCTCTTCATTTAATATTATTTTTTATTATATTGTGTATATATTCAGTTTTGTATTCTGAGACATGAAATACATGAAATGAAATATTGTGTTCATATATTCCATTAATCATTATTTTGAGTATATGATTTGAAAGATGTCCTTGAAGGATCTGTGAACAGATCCATTTTGTGATTATACAAAGTAAGTCATGTGGAACCTCTCGATTAATGTTTATTGAAAGTTATAATAACAATATAATAATTAAGTCTTTATCTATTCAGTGAACTTTCCATAGTGCATCTTTAGTAACAAATATACTATGAGGGGACATTATTACTTGAGTGAAAATTGCTTATTGAACAATAATAGGCGGGTGTGGGTTAAAGTGCTCCAACCTTGATAAAAAAAAAATATTTTCATATACCTGGTTTCATTCCACTATGTGGATTTAAATTGTTGTGTTTAAATAGTGAAAGGTGGAAAATCAGTATTATTCTGCTAGATTGTGAAAGAGACATCAGCTGATAGAGGAATTAATAATAAAATGATATTAATAAAACTAAATATGTTTGTTTTACTGACTTGTGAAAGACTTCCTGCTTTTTTTATCTCCATCAAACAATGCTGTGGCAACCCATGCAAGTCCGAAGACCAACAACGCAAAGAGGAACAACATGATAATTGTCTCGTACAGCCGGGAAATGATGCCCTAAAATAGCATACAAAATTATATAAAAAGAGAAAATGAATGCGATAGACAAATGGTAAATGACAATACATTCTAGCCTTTTTTAAGTTATATTTTGTGCAATGATTTAAATTCTTTTCACAAACAGTGTTACAATAGGAGACATATGTGACATGAAGATGATTCTTTAATGAGTCCTGTGTCTACATTCTTCTTTCTGCAATAAATGTTATCTTTTCATATTATTGTCCTACTCCATTCTCATTACCATTGACAGTACACATAATACATTTTGATTTGATGATACTCTATCTAAACATTGAATAGAAGATCAATAAAATATATGTGCAGCATATTTGTAATTATTTTAAATGATGATGTCTCAATGGAGTAAAAATATTTTAGAGTTCTATCTATTTATTTAAGGAAAACATTTATCTAATTTGAAAGTTAATTTGATGTTAGAAATAACAACAGAAGAAACAGTGGTGATACAAAATATAGATACAGAAAGAAGATTAAAGCAATTCTATCGAAACTTCGAGACATTCAAAACTATCTACATGGTTTACCACAAGCATTAAATATATATTATTACTTCGCCATGAAAACCTTCAAACAAAATACAGAATATAACACATTTTAAATAGTAAGGGAACAGTGATTTTTTTAGGGAAGGATATATATTTGGGGAATTCTATGTAAAGATCTAGAGAGGGAAGTCATTTAGTGAGATTTTTTTAAGGCAATCTCTTAAAGTTTATTTTAGAGAGATATTATTTAAGGAACATTTTTAAGGAGGTTCGCAAAATAACTTGGTTAGGGTTCAGATAAAGGAATTATGTAGGAATGAGATTCTTTAAGCAAGTATTTTTGGAGAGGATTATTTCATGGTTGTAAGTACTTTATCTGTAGCTCGCATGCTATTCTATCTTAAGTTTACTCACCTTTTTAGAACCTGAAAAACCTTCAGACTCCGTGAATAAATAAGCAAAAGGAATCAACACGAACAAGGCAAAGTTTGAGAATAGGAATATTAAGTTCCAAAGACCTGAAAGAGTACATAAGATAAACAAATCGTATAATTTACATTTCTTTTAATTTTTCAGGGCAAGCTCTACTGTAAATAGCTGTTGTGTATTTATTTAATTTAAATCATCCATGTTTATTTTATACCTTAAACTATTTGTAGTACATTATTATTTTGTCAGCCTACAATAACCTATAAAATGCATCATATAATGATTAGAGATGGCTATCCAAATTTCTCCATTTCAACATAGAGCTTCAAATTCTAGAACGTTCTTTGCTCAACACAATATTAATTCAGTCTATTCCTTGCCCTTTTCCCATATAATTTAATCAGCATGCATTATACAGTACTAGCAAATCTACTGATCTCATATTTTTAGAATTTCAATTAGTTTTTACTATTCTGTATTATGTATGTTTTTGATCCAGATTTTCATTTTGAACAATATTTTAAACTGTTACACTAAGATAATGTACATGATAACAGCTAATTATAGGATGGAAGAACATGATGTTCTCTGTAAGCAAAGTCTCATTATGAGGCATAGGGAAAGCAGAAATGTTGATAATATTTTGTATAATAGGTATATGTAAGTAATTTATTTTGCTTTAAACTGAGCCTGGGATACAGCACAATATTTTATAGAGCTTTCAGTAATTTTGTTTCTATCTTGACTACTGTCCTGCCAATTTTAAACCAAGTCTATTTGTTATTAGGTCACCTTGATATGTTATTCAATACCTACCTGGTAATACTATCATGACAGCATATTTATAGCAGTACAGGTAGATGCATTTTTTATAGAACTGATTAACACAGGATGTAAAATTTAAGTCTATTCCTTCTTTCAATAAGCATGAAAGCACTCTATCTTAAGACTTGCCTAGCTTACCAGGCAGGTACTGTATTACTAGTAATCTTTAGCTATAGTGGCAAATCGAGTGGCCGAGCTGTAAGGCCCAGGTGCTACTAACTACAGCCTTAACATAGTGCTGGTTCGAGCCGCTCTTCATCCAGGGATCTGTTGGTAACCAAGTCTTCTCAGATAAGGACCTAAAATGGAGGTCCAGTGTACACATCTGGCTTGTGTGCATTTTAAAGAACCCATTGCCTCTTTCGGAAGAGTAGGGGGTTACCCTGATGCTACAGTATGGTTCCATTCAGCCCCTGTTGTTGAGCAATGATGTGAACATGTAGTTACTATAAGTGCCTCTTTACGGTGGCTTGGTACAGTAGTCACGAACAATGCCCACACACAATTCAATAATGCTACGAGTTATCAGTTATCCTCCTACCTTTACCTTTAAAATAGTTTCACTTGAAATATTAATTGGTAGACTATATATGCAGGATGTAGTGATTTAATAATTAAAAAAAAAATCTTTCCAGTTCGCACTAACCTGCCGTGTGTTTTCAAATTTGCAATTACTCAGTTCAGCATGGTTAGTATCTGCACTATACATATCTTTGTTTTCAATGTATGTTCATATTTTCTTTAGTATAATTAAATTTCCAGTAAGTATATTAAAAATTTCAGACATTTTAGGAAGATATCTTTTTGTAATAACAGATTATGGCTACACTTAGTAGAAGAGAGATGAGATAATATTATTTATATTAAATCCAATAATGTCCATATTAATTGGCAAACACCACCTCATAAATTCCAATGCCACTTTTTAATAACTAAATCACGTCTTACTTTCTGCATGTAATAATGCACGTTTCAAAACATGTGCATAATGTTATGAGAAATAGTTTTTTGTTTTATTATATAAACAATTTAAGTTTTGCTGATGATATGGTCGTTCTTTCCCCCTCAGTCTCTAGCCTACAAAAACTTATGTCAACAATTTGCTGAAGAGCATGATGTAATGTAAAATGCAGAATGTCTGTTTGTATGGTGTTATGCCCTAAAACAAGACTGTCCAGTGTGCCAAATACGTTTCCTGTAGGTAAAAAACTAGACTATATTGATTCTGTTTAGCACCTGTGCCTTATAATTTCCAATGACATGAAAGATGAGAATGACATTATGCGGCAGTATCTCTCCCTTTGTATAAGTAGAAACATTCTTAGAAGTTTAAGAAATGCTCTAACAATGTTAAATGCATACTCTTTAGTTACTGTATAAACATTGTGCTTCATTGTGGGCAAAATACAATGTAACCACCATTAGATCTTTACAAATTTGTTACAATAATGCTTTTCACATGTTTCTTAATTTGCTGAGATTTTGTAGCGTTAGTGGGATGCTTGTTGTTCGAGGAATTCCTTCATTTTATGAGTATCATGTACTTTTAAATTTCGTAGAAGAGCCACTAGTAGCAAAAACATATTAGTAATTACAGTGACACAACACATGCTCAATAGCTCCAATGTATGTGTTTGTATATGTAAGTATATATGTATACCTGTACATTTAAGACAACTTAAAGTTTATCTCTATCATATTATCATTACTTATAAATAGCATTTCTTCGAAGATCTTGTCTTGTCGTCAACTGCAGATAAGATATTGACCTCTGTTTGTTGCCATGCATCAATGACTAGTGGTCTGATACGCATGCGAGCACATGAGCGTGAAGGAATTGGATGCTTCAATCAGATTTGAATTCCCAACAAACCCCCAATGGCCTAGTTGGTTGAAGATTCCTCTTCTTTAATGTTTATGTATTTATTTATATATTTTGCAGCATTGCTACAAGACATTTTAGAGTTATCTCTATCATATTACTACATATTTATACATATTGGTTGTATATTATGTTGTTCTATGGAGTTATCCCAAAATAAAGTGAAATAAATGAATGAATGAATTGACTGAGTCTCACCGTGAACCAATGCATCATTGAGCCAGCGCATGTAGTAGTTGTTAGGGTAACGCAGGAGTACCTCATTGCTGGCGATGGTAAATGGAAGTAGTAGGACTGCTCCAAATGACACAGCTAAAGTGAATACACAGATCCAAAGGGAAACCTTATACACCATGGCATCTTCAACGTCATCTGCAAAGATTGCATAAAATAAAGTAAAATATTTTATTTATATTAAACTAAAATTCAAAAAGGAGGGGTCTTTTTCCTTTTTTGCAACCTGACATTAAAACCATATGATGTTTGTGTCAATAATGTCCAGGAATCTCTACGAAACTGTATGTTAATTTCTGTTAAGAAACCCTTAGTTGGGTTATATTTTTATATTGTATTTTAGTTCACTATCATCCAACAGTGAGTGGCTCGACTCTTACAGAATGGGAGTGACGCTCTATGAATTTCTGTTCATTAGGAAAAAATAATTGTGGTACATTCGGCTGAGCACTCACTGCATCAAATCCAACTCCGCTCTCTGTGAGCTCTAATCGCCCGACGACTGGTGGGCGTAGTGAATGGGATTTGAGCGCAGAACACTGGGATTGGAATGCAATCTTTTAAACCATTAAGCTAAAACTATCACTCCCAATAAAAAAAATAATTGAGTGGAATTCCCAGGATTGCAAAAACAGTATGCAGTATGCTCTGCACCTAACCAATCACACGAGTTCAAGGAATTTATATTTTTTAACAGACATAAATATATGAATATTGGCTATGCATATAATTGATGGAAACATTGGAAACTGTTAATTAAAGCCTACCATTGCTAGCTATCCTTGCTCTATGCTATTACACGCTATGCATCCCTTTTGATTCAGTTGCATGTCGGGGATGGACAGAAAGTGGCCAATATACGTGGCCAAATTAAAGCCTACCACTGCTACAGTAGTTATCCTTGCCCTATGCTACAGTATTACATGCTATTCATGCCCTTTAGATTCAATTGCATATCTGAGAGCGGAAGTGAGCAGGCAAATATACATGTTCAAATTAAAACCTACCATGGCTAGCTATCCTTGCCCTATGCTATTATGCTATGCCACTTTTATTCAACTTTGCTTTTGGGGTGGGAACAAAGCGGGTAAACATCACATGTATTGAAGAAATTATGGTGTAATAGTAGGGCAGCAAGCGTGTAGAACAAATCATGGTGGAAGTATTAAGAAGTCAATCAAATCTCTCAGCATATTAATATTTCTTCCTTTTGTAGCTTATTCAAAAACATGTTCAAACAGGTTCAAGTTCAACTTACTTATCCTGACCTTGCTCAAGGCCAATAAGATATATAATATGTTAAACATTTTTATAAATGACATTCACTGACGACCGTATACTGAATGCTAATACTGGTTTGATATTTATAGTTTTTTTGTCAATATAATTCTATTAATAATTAAATGGGCTCAAGGCCTTCTTAATTAAAAGTTATACCCTGTGATATGTTAATTCTAAAATTCTAATCTGTGGATGGGTAGGAAAGACGAGGACAATTTGATTGATCTGGCGTACTGGTAGGTGAAATTCCAATAACCCAATTAGTAGTTTGAATTGCACATGCCCGTATAAATGTTAATCGACATAAACAAACATACATACAATAACATACGTTTATGATGAGTGAAACAACAACATTACAATAATTTTTAATCTTTGTCCAAAAACTGTAAAGAAACATCTGGGAGAGTCAATTTAAGCACACACTGCTTTGTTGTCTTGTTTACTAATTATAACCATGATGCTTCTTCTTTAGTTTATTAAATTCAGTCGCAATGCACTAAGATTGTTTGGAAAATTTAAGAGGAAAAATTGAGGAGTGAGGTTTTTCTTTGGGAACATAGCACTGGGGACTGCAGACCTACTCTAAATGATCCTACCCTGGGATGCATAAATGTACTGTACTTTACAATTTGTTTATTTTTTTGTATAGAAATTTTTTCTAAAATAGAATATTGAATTATTTAATTAATTATACTGTAGTTAAGTTTTTATGTAATTTTGTTCTTTATGTTAAGCGGCCTAATAATAAGTGATTACAGACTCTTCTCTACCAAAAGATCAAGTTGAATTACTGTAAAATACAGTACTGTACTATGTTTGCTATGAGAATCGGATATTATTTTGAACTATTATTTTTTTGTTAATAATTCATTATTCTTAAATATCATCTCAGTTTTTTAAAATGAGTCATAATCACAAAACCCACAATTATGTAAATTTGTAACAGTCAAATTATGGAACGATTTCAGTACAGATGCTTGCTTGAAAATTGGATTATGGTACTGCAAATTCAAAGTATAGATGAATTCACTCAAGTCATTAAAATGATCGAAAACACAATTAAAAATATAGACTGATAGACAATGTGCCTTCAATATTAATTATGTGTGTGCAATAAAAACTGAGATGTGTACAATGGACTCTTCCATTTGCTAAGATGGTATTAAAGGTTTAGACAGTACTCAATTATTGCTCAAGGTTTATGCCATAATTTATTTTCATTATTCTGTGTGTAAGCCATTTTTATCTCAAATATAATTCTAAAGACCCATGACAAATTTAGTTGTAGTGTTCTCATATCTGCATAACCGTATCTCGATACATGTTTTACGTTTTACAATTGTGTAGATCCATGCTTTTAAAACTGATTCAATGAAATCATTGTTAAGGAATGCTCCTGGTACAAGGCATACAGCAAATGCTGATTGTAATATCCACAAAGAAAGGATGCCAAAAGGCGGGAAAGTAATAACCCCATTGTCTATCGGGACCCTACAGTATTAACAATCTACAATGTTACAGTTTAACAATTTAATATAGAAATTTATGGACCTCGAAGACCAAAAGTGAATTGTGGGTTTGTCTTGTTGACATAGGTGTCTTGACACACTCCCGTGAACAATGGATGCTTCTTGGGAAATTACAGTGTATACTTTTATCATAGAATGTAGGGAATTGTATTAACTAGACTAGTATTACAATGTATAATTTGTACGTGACATAATAAACAATTTTTCCCTTGCTTAACTCCATACAATCTAAAATTCACACTTTTGGAGGCCTTTACAACAAAAGTGCCAAATTGCTTCATTACTATTTCATTTAATTTCAAACAAAAATATTTTGTAATAAACTTGCAGTCTTAAGCCGAGCCGGGCACTCACTGCTCACAACGGTTGTCGACCGACACGATTATATCGAGAACGCAATGCCACAATGCGCCACAACAAGCGAAGGATCGTCTTTAACGATGATAAGTTCACACTGACGCCGACAAATGTTGTATAGCGCTGAACCGGGAGTGGAGTTGGAGTCGTCGTACCACAAAGTAAGCGCCAAGCTTTAGTATTAGGCGAGCCTTTTTTTATACCCTGTGTTTGGTAATCTACATCTGCGAATAATGATAATTTGAATATAAAGTGATATTTTTGGCTTATTATTATCACCACACCTGCCACTGTCAAAAAAGCATTCAGAACAATACACAATTTTCATATTAGCCTTTGATCTCTATGCATAACTAATTTTCTCTGATAATTTACTGTATTCACATTATTTATATTCATAATTAAAAGAAAGTTATTCATAAAATGCTATTTATTATGGTGAGTTGTAGAATACAATTTGTTACAAATTAATAGCAATTTCTGTACAAATTATTTGATAAAAGATAACTACAAAATAAATACATTCTTTTTGCTTACTGTAGCTATTGTGGAGATGATTTTGGCATGAATGTTTTCCGTCAGCATTTTAAAATGCATGTAACAGTTTGCGGATCTTGTAATACCTGTATGTGAATTATTGTTGAAAGGGAAGGGTATCTTTCATTAACGGTAGATAATGTTTGTGATTAGTTAGTTAACTAACTTGAAGAATTAAGAACGCAAAATATTTTTATTGCCTAGTTTATTATGTTGTTACAGTAGCTTTTATAACGAGACAATAGTTTTTTTGCCAGTGCATATTATAATAATGTTCCTATCTATGTATAGCAGCAACAAGATAAATTATCTTTATTATTCTCTTTAAGAATGTTCATACAGTATATAGCCTACAGATCTGTAAATAACGGAAATTGTAATTGCTCCAATGCATCTTATTGGACAACTTACTTGAGTCTATAAAATGATTAATTCATAGTTTCAATTTAATTTTTGTGGGTTTTTCAAAATTCTGATAATAGAATGGTGAATTTTGTCATATTTGTTTTTACAAAATTGGCCCGAAATCAGTTTTAAAAACATGTACTATGCAGCCTATATTCCTAGGCTTATCAAGTGTACTGTCTTTTCTTAAGCTGTACAGATTTTATTATCACATTGAATAATTGATTTTAAGTATTATATAAGGATAATAAATCTATGAAGTTATTTTAGTTTCCTTTTCAAAGCATAGAGGTTTCAATATAAGGTCAAAGTATTTCCTTATTGGAATAAACTTGTAAATTTGGTCCCTGGGAATCAACCTGCTACTGAATTGAAGAGTGCAAAGGGAGACAACACCTTTTAAATGCTCTTTTATGAAGATTGTGTGTGGAGGAGATATGGAACTTGAAGGTCATTAGAGGTCTCTGTATAATAAATGTTATATGTGCATATGGGCTACTCAAATATAAAATAATATGAATACGCCTCTAGAAACCCATTGTTCAGTTGATTACAATAACACAGTTACACAATACCATATGATTAAAGGTCATTGTTTACATCAGTGACATGCCTTGATTTCCAAATCCAATAGCAACTTAGCATTTATCTGCTGGTACAGTGCAACTTGGACCCCAGATGCACTGGTCAAGACAACTGGACCTATCATATGACACACTGTAGTTCATAATTTCATTTTTAACATTACAAAATTTCCTAGAAGTTGGAAAATTTCAGCAGAAATTATCTATAAACATTTAACTTTGTAAGAAATACAAAATAATAATTTTTCTTTTCTACAATACTTAAGAAACCAAAAATGTAATTATAATAATGGTATGCAAATGTCCCTCCTCTCCATTATTAGGGATAAAAAAAATGTATACATTAGTTTTCTCAACATTATGCAAAAAAGAGTAAAGTTTTTTCTTGACATTTAAGAATTGAAAGACTCAAACTTTTACCAGTATCATTGTTTGTTGTTGACTTTGTCTGCTTTCTGTTAGAGGTCACCTTGTGACAAGTGGCAATGACACTTCTAGAAGGGATCCAGACCATTCAATATACTTTTTATTCAATAATATACATTTATTAAGTCTTGACTCTTATGTATAATTACATAAAAAATTACTTATGTTATTGTTATTTTTTTGTCTTTGATGGTCGAATAAATGTAACTTGAACGTGAACCATTTTGAACCATAAAGAATTAAAAGGCAAGATGGTAATATATTGTACAGTGTTCTATAATGTATTTCCTATTTGCTTCCGTACCTTTCTGAAGTTAAAAGCTCTAATCAATACTCTATTTTTTGTGCTATTAATTTGGTTTTTTGTTTCTGTATACAGTAGGTCTACTGCTGTTTTAAATCAAGTCAATACTAAAGAAATAAATAATGAAATATTGAAATGTCAGAACACCAAAAATGTTGGTAATGTCATCTGATAGCAGCTTTAAATTACTGATCTTATGGAAATAGTTTAGGTCAATTGAGGACACACATGACCACCAAACCGACAACAAAATATTATAATTGTAAATGAAAATGTGTGGTACTGCCATAGCTAAAATAATGTAGCTGATGCTACTATGTTTTCCAGTCAATCACCATTGTGTAATTAATTAATTCAACATCTGTGCTAGCTACAATTTGAACTTTATTATTTTAAAGCCAGGTTCCGGGAAAAAAAAAATTTATGTTGTACTACTGACACAATAAGGGTTTTTGACAAAAACTCGGAAACGGTTAATGAGATGTGCAGATTTTTTAATTTAAAAACTGGGGCAAAAAGGGTTTTGAACATTCGAAAAATCTGCTCTTTTTTTCAAAACTCAATTTTTATCTTAGAAAAATCAGATTCACAAACAAACATTTTTTTTCTTCTTGAGCCCGACTTTAACTTTTAAAACGTAAGAATCTTAAAATACATTAGAAATGTTTTATTTTTAATGTCAAGAAGTCAATGAAAAAGAAGGTGCAGATTATCTAAAATAACTAAAACAAGGAAATAAAACACAAACGAAACTAACAAAAATAAAATTCAGCAAATAGAACAATCCATATATTGGTCAGTGCACTTAATGTTAAACCTACTTAATTACTTTAAACTAATGTATACCTGTAATACAGCAGGAATGTAGTTATAGTTGGTGAGGGCCACCTAGAAGTTTTCCACCCAGTCTAAAGCTAATTTCATGGCCCTCCACCCACTTTTATTAACCTCCTTGACCATCCTTAAAATCCAATCATTATTAATTAGAGTTTACCAATGTTATCACCCACCCACCCACCATGAAAATGTCTACAGTAGTTTTAGTTTTCTACAGCTACAACCCTGAATACAGTACATTAAATAATACTACTTTGCATTTCTTGAGCTTATTACATCATATTTCATTAAAAAAATTAAAAACATTGATCTCCATGAGCATTTGAACCCGAGATACCATATCCACATCCTTGTGGTTACCATTTATTATAAAGTGGAGTCTTGCTGTTTTAATGCCATATCCTACCACACTAAGCAGGAATTAAGTTGCCATACAGATTTAATTAAAATTTAACATTACATCAAATCTTGCATAATTTATTGATCCGATTTAAGTCTTGATTTTACAGCAGAATCTACATTACAACATCTTTGGTCTTTCATGTAAAGATCAACATCAACTTGTATTATCACAACATTTCACTGTATATCATTTAGTACATAATGATCCATTATCTGAGCAATATTCTCATTGACATTAGCTTATGCCACGGTTAATAGGAGCTGTTAACACTAGTACCCTACATGATATTGTTTGAATGCTAAATTATTGTACAGTTACAAGCTCATTAAATGTTAATTATATGAGTCAAATGGCCAAGCGGTTAAGGCAGTTGCACTGCAGCCTACAGCCATAGTATCGGCGCTGGTTCGAACAGCACACTCGCCTATAGTTCTGAAGGTGGAACAAGTTTTCTTGGATAAGGACTATAAACCATAGGCCCAATGTGCAATTGGCTCATGTGCACTATAAAGAACCCAGTACATCCTTCGAGACGAGTAGGGGGATACTCCAGTGTATTGGTACAGACAGCCCCTATGGTGAACGATGAGAGTTGCTAGTACTGGTTTAACGGGTAGCACAGACACCAAGGGATTCTGAGGGATGATAAAAGTCACTGAAGTGTCTTGTTATGGATACCGGCGCTATATAAATCTACACTATTATTATTATTATTATTATTATTATTATTATTATTATTATTATTATTATTATTATTATGTAATTATAAGCTATATTAAATATATTTGCTCGAATATTGATAGAATTATAATATTTAAAGATGTAATATGGTTGTTTGAGAAAATCTGTCTCTTTTGCGTAACTTATCATGAACGATTTTATAATAATTCAGGGATATTTCAGATTATATCACTGCCAGTACATTTTATTAAGATGGCGAGTGGAATATGATGTCAAATACAAAACATGTTTGTACAATACTTACATGAAAAATAATCTTCTTTATCTGGCTGTCTCTTGAATTTGTAGATTATTGCATATGACACCATATATAGAAATGCAAAGAACAGGAAATCAATCTGGAAACAAACACAAAAGAGAATACACTCAGTTTTGTTGAAAAATACAATAAGAAACTGTTTACTAGACAATATATCATCATTATGCAAAATATTAATAGATAACAGATGATAACTAGAAAACAATTCAATAATACTTTTTTAATGCATGGGTTTGCATCTTATATATAAACATATATTTCTTGAATATAAATTGTAAAAGGTGTTTTAGCATTATTTAACAGTTGGTGGATCCATGAATTTGAAATTGAGTGGGCACAGGGAAGGACTTTCAAAGGAAGAGGGTCTATACCACCTCATGCCCAATATGGTTGGGGCTGAGGTAACAAAATTTATGATTATGGCACCTCTAGATTGTCGGAAATGGCACTCTTTTTTTTCTCCATTTCTTTTTTATTTTTTAAAATTTCTAAGGGTGGGGGACTGTTCCCCCTTGAATTCACCACTGTTTAAGGTGTTAAAATTGATAAAAATCTTAATCGGAATATAGTCATATCAATGAAAGATTGTTATTCTGTCCAGAAACAGACGAGTTTAATACATTTGATTGTAATTTTTTATAAAGCTTTTATTTTTATTAATTCCTTCGGCCAGATCAACTATTTTTCTAAGTGGTTATTAAAAATCCATTGTTAAATTGTGCAGCAAAAACAGTCTACACACTCTTTCCAAAAAAAAACAAAAAAAAAAACAATCATTATAAGGTTGATACACCACTAAATAGGTTGGCAGAAGTTTTAGCAATTAATCAAATCATTATTGCTTTGACACACTGTACCTGTGTGTCAATGACTTTGGACTGACAAGGTGACTGCTTTGTTTATGAGCTTGGGAGAGAGAGGAGGTAAAAATCGGCAGAGAGTCAAATTCAATTTCTAGTGCATAACCATTTATTGGCTTTGAAAATACTGCTAACAATAACAAGTCATTTTATTGGAATTTGAGCAGTAATATCATTGCTCACATCACGAACTAACACAATTAAAGTAGATTGTGTTAGTTAACACAATCAAAGTAGATTGTGTTAGTTCGTGAAATCAAGAAAGCGTGTCAAAATACGCGCTGCTGTTGTTAAGGACTTTTTGTGTGGTAAAGAATACAAAATTGCTTGACAACCAATACGCGCTCGTTTTGACGCGCTACTTGATTTCACGATCTAACTAACTAACTAACTAACACAATCTACTTTGATTGTAAAACTCAGGATATTCAGTACTTTTATGACTAGTTTATTTATGACAGTACACAAGCTTTTGTGCACACAGTGCACTTCTTCAGGTGAATGTGATTGTGTTAGTTCGTGATGTGAATGACGATATGAAGAATTTTAACCATAATAATTGGCCCTATTTAGCAGAATCAGGTCCTAAATTGTACAACCTATCTCATTTACTCAAACAATGTGTATTCAATGTGCTTCTTTCCCATTATTTTATCTGATAAACATTTTAAATGTTTGAAAACCTTACAAGTTTGCTGCTCTTAATTTATTCACCATGTTTATTAAAATCTACTGCACAAAAAATCGCATACTGTAAATTCAAGTCTCTCCAAGAATTCTTGGAGATTAACCAATCTCCAGCAAAATCATGACACCTGTATTTGCATGTTTTTTTTACTGTATTATCAATTGATGGGCATCAACACTCGCATTGTCGCAACAAAATAAAATTACATGTGCTAAGAAAACTTATTTAACCAGACCACTCGGAAGTGGCTTCTTTCAACTTTTGACCCCTGTAAAGTGCACAGCGATTACGCTAGTACCAAAGATCTTATAATAACAAGATAGCGCTCTCCGCGATTGTACACGTGCGTTCATGTTAAGTAAAAAGCAACAGAAAGTAATTGTAACTGAGAGGCCTTCCTAATTGTTACCATGATGGTTGTTGTTCCAGGACTTGCACATAGAACATAGATGTCAAATTTCAAAAGTAATTTTAATTGCAAAAGTGCGCCCTACACTGCGTTATTACAGAATTTGCACCCAGATATCAGGAAGAACACTATCTTGTAATTATAAGATCTTTGCAAAAGTCCCCGTACACGCTACTTTTTTTTAGAAGTTTAGTGTGGAGGTAGTACTATTTATTATCATTAGAGAAAGAATAAGCAAACCAATTCGAAGGGCTTTATCGCCATTACATTAACTAAGAGCAATGCAAGGTTGTTCGACTAGCCCTAAAACACGCTACTTTTTTTTAGAAGTTTAGTGTGGAGGTAGTACTATTTATTATCATTAGAGAAAGAATAAGCAAACCAATTCGAAGGGCTTTATCGCCATTACATTAACTAAGAGCAATGCAAGGTTGTTCGACTAGCCCTACCTAGGCCTAGGCCTAGGCCCTAGTTCAAATTTCGGTGGTACCGCCTCTCGCAATAAAAACATGCAGAGCAAAACGCCTAGACTAGGCTCGCCTTTGCTTCCTTCCTCCTCCTTACCAGATTCTCTCGAACAGCATCATGGAAAACTTGTTCGCTTGGGTTCCAATCCCGTTCTTCTGCTCCTGCCATGATATTGGAAAGAAGACTATGTTTGGTTTTTGATTAAAATTACCGTTCGATTAACTAAGGCACACATTATTGTCAAGCTGAAACTCAGAGCTCTGACTTGTTTTTTTATTTCACAATCTCTCGCACTTCACAGATTTGGAACGATTTTGAAATGTAAATATATTATTATTGGCCTTTGACATTTTGTTGGTCTACATCATCCATTCGTCTTTTAGTTTTACTGATACAATATAGCGCAAGTTATCAACTTTGCCATGACTTTCCACATCTAAATCTACGTGGACAAATGTATCTCTATATTTTTTTTTATCATATGTTTTTTTCCTTAATGATTGGTTACACATATAAATACATAGAGCTATGGTATTATTACCATAATCATTAACAAACATATTATATTCAAATTTATGAAACGAAATATAAAAGAAAAAACTGTGGACTTGAAAACTTTATCATGAATTCAATTAAAATTGTAATTGTTTTAAAGATCAAATAAGGTATAAAAGTTTTCGATTATTTTACAGACTTTTAATAACGATTTGTTTTTATATTGATATATATGCAAGTAGGGCCTACTGTCCCATATATCTGTCACACTTTAGTATATAAATCAAGATAGCCGTTAACACTGCTAAATGCTACACGATGTCCCTCGAACATTACCTTTCTTTAATGATTTATATATAATTTAACCGTGTTAACGGCTATCTTGAATTATATTATGCAACTATTTGTTCCAGTCGTACCTATTGTGTATTAGAGCGTATCTGGCAGTTATTTTAAATCTGTTCAACCATGAAGTCTCTGTGGTCTAATTATTATGATGCTCGCCTTGACAGCGAAAGGTTGCAGGTTCGAATCCCGTCAGAGGTATTTTATTACACAATTTCTTTAGTCATATTATAGGATACGGTAACGTCCGTTGAAAGCTATTCTACACGATGTATTACCGGTATCATGTTCTTTATTCAAACACAGTATATACATTTCTTTGATGATTTAGTCTCTCTCTCTCTCTCTCTCTCTCTCTCTCTATATATA